CCTCCCTCTCCTTCCTCCTCATCGCAACATCCCAATTATACACCCGCGCAAACGCAACCTCCAACGTCGTAATCTGCTCGCGCAAAAACTCCAAATCCTCCTCACAAGTGCGCAAGCTCTCGCGCGCCGTCTGCAGCTTGCCCTCGAGCAGCACCGTTGCCTCGGGGATCGGGTAGGCGAGCATGACGTTTGCGCCGAGCCAGAGGTAGACTTCTGAGGTGGGGGGGATTGAGGCGCGAGCGTAGAGTGTGTCGTTTAGTTCAAAGGTTGTTTCGAGGGGGGGTGGGGGGGAGGTGGAGGTGGTGGGGGAGTGGAGGGCGAGGAAGCGAACGGTTTCGAGGGTTTTGAGGATGTCGGGGATTTTGGTGCGGAGGCCGGTGGCGCGGCGTTGGGTGTTTTGTTGCATGAATTGGTATTTTCTGTGGAGTGTTAGTTGGAGGTGGATTGGATCATGTTGTTTTTCGAGATGTTGGAGGTGGATTGGATTAGGTTTGTTTTCGAGAGCATGCTGGGGAGGGATTGGAGTGGGTAGAGGGTATGCCGTATGTAATAGTAGGAATATAAAGCAACTTACGATATCATCTCCTTGAAACTATTCACCGTGGCGTCGACTTGAGAGCGGTCGCTAACATAGTCCTCGACTCTAGCTTCGAATCAGCAAGAGTGGTGCTGGGTACACACAGTCTTTCGCAAACCACATACCTATCCACAAAGGGCGCATAGGGTATGCCCCGAGCATTTGTAGGCGCGCTGTTGGCATTGTTAGCAATTGGGTAAACATACATTGGCGTGCTCTCTTCATGGTGACTTTGGGAGTTCGTTGGTCTGCGCACAAGGCTCAAAGGATTGAAGAACGAACAACGCGTGTGGTCGACGCGTCAAAACAATCAACGTATACAGCAAAACAACATACCTCTCTGGTTTGGCGACGGTTGCCATTGTGAGCCCGCGATCCAATTTTGGGTATTCGTGGTACTGCCTCCCCCGCATTCTGATATTCCGAGCTTGAATCTCAGAGCAGCTTATCGATAGTGGAATACAGCTAGACTCAATTCACACTAGCGCCGTCAGCCCTTGACCACGTTGTGGCGTTGCTCGTGGCGCAGTGTTTCACCCAGCCAAGCCACCGGAATCAAAACGCATGATTTGACCACATCGCATCCGCGCACCCTTGCGACGAATGAATATCGATCTCCGTCCCGCGGATCTCGATATCCCATGGATTACCCCATGTAAGCTAACATCGTACTCTACACCTTACTGCATCAAAGATCGATGTGCATGCATTGTCTGTCCTGCGGTGCTGAAAACCTCCCAACGATTGATGACTTTTTGAGAAATTCGGGGAGGAAGCGAAGCATCTAGACTCGAAAGCAATCGCTTTCCAAAACTGCATTCTCTTCCCCTCACACCCCTCCCATCTCACTCGCTAAGCAATGCAAGCATCCAAGCTGGCAATCCTCGTAGCAGTGAGACCGAGGGACGCGGAGGTAAGCGCTACAGAACGCCGGAGGGTTCGGAGGACACGGCTTCCCAATGCTGTACCAAGCCAGCATATACGTTTTTCTTTATACGGGGGAAAAGGATTAAGCTAGTGCAAGTGCAAGTGCAAGTGCAACAGTGGCTTTTGCTACAATCTATGCATAGGTTAAGAAGCCTCACGTCTGAGACCAGCGTGCTGACCATGCGTCCCCTTTGCTGCACGGCTACATCGCTGCTGCGCAAAGGCAAAGCGAACGCGAAACTCCAGGGCTCAAAACCTCGCACTGAATGCGAACTACCAGTGCCCCATGTCAGCGTAGCATTCGCCTGCGTGAGCTACATGTATACTGGATATTCATACGCCTCAACTACCTACCCTTTATTCGTTCGGAGAGATATGCCTAGTCTTAAGACAAAGCATCAACCAAGAGCACAAGCGGCGGCTGTATCCACGTTCCTCTGCTCGAACGTCCCTTTGCCTCTTCTTAGCTTGTACTATCTATATCTACTCTAGATACGCCTCGGGACTCCTCAGTCTATTCTCCGATGAAGTATCGCAGGCTAGATATCATCTATGCTAATGCAATGGGCATGTATTACCATCTCGTAGGTGACTTCAGGCCGGCCGCTTCTATTTCTAGCCCCCAACCCTGGAGGGTCTGGGCGAAGTGGTGGCTGTGCTGAGAATTTGAGTCCTCTGTTGCGGCTCTTGTTCTTCTTGGTTTTGGAAGCTGTGCCAATGGATGAGGGAGTTCTATGTGAGTCTGAAAATCGTCGCAGATGGGGAAATTGTAATTGTTACGGCATCGGGAAAGGCAGAGTTTCATCTTCAGTTGCCACTACCCAAATTTCAGAAGACAGTCTAGATAATACTAACACAACATTTCAAAGCAGCGAATACGGCAACACTGTTTCAACACTCGGAGAAAACATATTGTTAGGTTCAAAGGTTGTATTGTAAATCCAGGTAAACTAGGTGCAGCTAGCCACATAGATGACAAAAAAGGGAGAACGTGTAGTCGTTAGTGCCGAGAAAGGAATGAGGTCGTGTATGTGTGTGTATAGGTATCCGCAATGAAACAGAAGAATATAGCAAAGGAAGTGAGAGACAAAGTGTAAAAAACATGACAAACGCCCCAAGCTCCGCTAGAGTCGCCTTGCCAACCCAAACCCAACACAAGATCACAAAAAGGAAACATAGGAAGGAAAGAAAATAAGCCTCCGTGTCTGCCAAGGAAACAGTGATCAAAAGCCAAACTCCCACATTCTAGTGCTCAACTCTTGAAACAAGAAAATGTATGCAATCTGGTACATATACACAAATTTAATATATATAGTTCGATTCCGCCTCTACAATTTGAGACCCTTTTGGATGAGCTTGCCTAGTGTGGCACCCTACAATGATTTGTTAGTATCTCTGTTTCGAGTGGAGAACGAGTAAAGTCCCAACTTACATGCTCACCCTTCATCATCGTGAAGTGATTTCCCCCCATAACGGCGTACTCAAAGTTTTCCTTGGGCAACAGCTGAGCCCAGCCATTGTCTGAGAAGTCCGTTCGGTTGTTGAGCAGCCATTTCATTGGTGCTGGATCCTCGCCCTCCCCTGGTGGTGGACGGGGATCGTCTGGATTCGGACACACACCATCTGTACACCAGATGGCCAGGACAGGCGGCGCAGCCTTTGGATCCATGGGCACAGGGTCGTAATCTTTGAGGTTCTGGATTGCGGACGCAAAGTGAGGCAGCAGCCAAGGCGGGGTACCGCCAGGTTTACCCGTGCCGAGAAGACCAATCTGGTCGAAGAATATGTGGAGGCGGGCAGGGAGGGGATCGAGAGCGACTGGGCAAGGAGAATCAATGAGAACGAGGCTCTCGACCTTCTCACCGGCATTGACCATCTGCTGAGCAACTTCGTAGGCCATTACACCACCGGCAGACCAGCCGCCGAGGATGTAAGGACCCTTGGGCTGACGGCGCTTGATCTCGTTGACGTAGAGAGCAGAGGCACCTTCAACCCCACAGGTCCATTTCTCAGGACACTTCATAAACGGGCAGTTGAGTCCGTACACAGCCATGTCTGGTGAGATGTTGGGAATGGAGATGTACGAAGTAGCGCTGCCAGAGCCGTCAGGCACCAAGAAGAACTTCTTAGTGGCAATCTTGGGGTTTCCCTGGAGTAATACCGAAGTAGCGGGAGGCAGGTGAGAGACATCAATAGCCTTGGCGAGCTTTCGATTCACCTCAGCGAGCTGAGGCGACTTGGACGGAACCTTGGGTGCCACCTTTGCCGTGACTTTGACCTGCTGCTTCGGCTGAGGGCGCATACCGAGAGCAGTCTCGATGTCTTTGATAGTGACATTGACAGTGAGGAAATCAGCGGGAAGATCTCTTCCAGTCTGCTCTCGCATAGAGCCCAGGATGGTCAAGCTCATCAAGGAGTCCATGCCAATGTCGGTGAGGTCGAGATCATCAGTGATCTCAGAGACATCGACACCCATCTCCTCTGCAACGAGCTTACGAGCAATACTAGCCTCGCCCGAGACAGTTTCGCTAGAAATCTTGACATCAATGTCATTACCATCCTCACTCGGAGCAGAGCTGGCTGGGGTACTGGTAGTAGCGTGCGGGGTGGAAGCATCAGATGGCTCGTCGGTAGTGTCGGATGCCGCATCGTCAACGACAGAGACACCCCCGTCATACTGCGCAAAGTGCTTCTTCAACTCACCCACAGTGGTGCAGTCAGTAAAGAGGGAGGACGGAATGTCCATCTCGAGTTCCTCGCGGAACCTGGCAGAGATGGTAAGCGAGAGGAGAGAATCAACGCCGAGATTCTCGAAAGCAGCATCTTCGACGAGCTCGGACATGTCCACATCGATCTCCTCGGCAACAATCTTCATCACCTTGCTAGTGACCCCAGTGTTGGCTACCACCTTGACGGTCTTGGGTGCCTTGGCTGCTTTGACGACCACGCTCTTAGATAGAGACTTGGATTTGCTTGGTGCGGCTTTAATGGGAGTAACAGCTGGCTGTGCCTTGACTGGAATCGGCTTCGCAATCGCCTTGGGGACAGGACCAGTAGAAGCCTTACCCGAGGGCGGCATCATGATGTTGAGCGCGCGGCGAGGAATGTTCTGGAATTTGAGTCCCATGACCATACCAATGATGCGGTCGCCGTCCATAATGTAAACATCGCCAACACTGATATTACCGGGAGCAGGCTGCATGCGCACATATGAGCGGTACTTCTTCTCACTAGAGAGTTTTTCCGCAATCTTGATCGAGCCCCATCCGTGGGAGATGTAAACCGAGTTCTCAGAGTCAAGATGATCGGAAGCATTAACAATGAATCCCGAAAGGTGGGCAAGACTGTCGATCCAGTATGGAGAACAGAGGAATTCTCCATCTGCAGCCGTGGTCTGGAACTGAACCGAAGCTGTGGCTTCCGTCTGCTTGCCATCAAGAATGACCTCCTCCATACCGCGGTAATTATCCGCGTATGACACAAGTGCCTTGAAGAGCTTGTACGCCATGCCACGAAGTACTTTGTGGGCAGCACCAGTCTCAAGCTTTTGCTTGAGGGTATCAATTTGAGCCTGGACCATGTATTGGATGCGACTCCACTCCGTCTTCCAAGCATTGACATCCTCATACTTCACAACACCGACTGCATGCTCCACGAGAACCTTGGATCCATCCGCAGTAACAGTGCGGAACTTGATGCTGACTTGGTCGAGTTCCAAGTCTGCTGTACCTTCGATTTGCAAGTGTTGACCGCCGGCAGGAGGCGGGTATTGAGGAATCAGAGTCTTGGTGACCTCCATAGAGCAGACGTTGAGACCTGGAGTAGGCATGCCAGGGCGCAATTGCTGATACAGGTAATCGGCAACAGTCATAGCCTGATCAGCGTACAGAGATGAAGGTGTAAGGGGAGTGCCATTGACTTGATGACCGGTAATCGTGGCCTTCAATTTAGGGTCCGACAGGTCAGACTGTACAACAATAGTACCGGAATTTGCATGTAGCTCCTCGCGAATGATTCTGTGACAAGACGTAGTGGAAAGCTTGGAGGGCGCCTCCTGTACCGGGACTTCGACAGTCGAGACAACAGGAGCAGTTTCGTGAAGCTCACCCTTGGTGAGGGTCCAGTTGTTGTGGTAGTCGAGCCAGTATCGCTTGTTGTCGAAAGCATATGTCGGCAATGTGTACATTTCATGTGCGTCGTTGAAAACCCTGTGGTACTCATTGAAGTCGAAGTAGACACCAGATAGGTAGAGTGTAGCGATGCTATTCGAGAGGGTCTTCCAGGGATCTTCATTGCGACGAAGACTGCCAGCGGTAACGGGAGCTCCGCCAAGGCTAGACTTAACCATTCCGCTGCAAACTGGGTGTGCACCAATCTCAACCCAAGCAGTCTTTGCATCGAACAACTTCTCCTCCTGGCCAGTGGTAAGGGCGCTCCAAAAGTCAACAGTCTCACGCGCATGGCGGGCAAGGTAATCAGGACCGATAATGCCAGCCTCACGGATGATTTGGCCAGTGAGCGGCGACATGACCGGTACTTCAGGCTTGTTGAAAATGACAGAAGCTGCGACAGCTTTGAATTTCTCCAAAATCGGATCAACCTGTGCGGAATGGAATGCGAACGGTACGGCGAGCTTGGTAGCCTTGAAGTTCTTCGCAGCAAGAGCCTCGCTGGTAGACTCCACGACCGCAGTCGTACCGCACAGGACAGTCTCCTCTGGGCCATTCATGCAGGCGACCTCAGTCATCTTGTCTCCAAGAGCGGCCTTGATGGCCTCCACACTGCCCTTGACAGCGAGCATACCGTGGGTGTTGGCCGTGCATTCTTGTTCAAGAAGTTGAGCACGACGTCCGACTAAGAGGATCATGTCACTCGCGGAAATCACGCCTGCGACGTGAATTGCAGCATATTCGCCAAGGCTGTGGCCAATAACAGCAGATGGCTTGACGCCCCAAGAGGCCCACATGCGCGCGAGAGCGACCTGTATGGCGGCCATGCCGAGCTGGACGACGACGGGTGACAGAGTAGTAACATCAGTACCTGCAAGTAGCGGCAAAATAGAAGGAAGTGAGTGGATACGGGCAAGCTTTTCCATCTCATCAATGTCGGCCCTGAATGTCTCCAATTGCTCATACAGCTTCTGGCCGAGCCCAGTGTATTGTGAGCCCTGACCAGTAAATGTGAAGGCAGTTTTTGTCGGCACCATGGGCAGCGGGCTGTAGCTGTCTTTCAACTGAGCCTGTAGAGCTTCCTTGACCTTGGACATCTCCGACACACAGATGGCGACGCGGTAATTGTGCTGAATTCGGCGCGCAGTCGTCGTATATGCCAGACTGGGAAGTGTGCTATCCGAGTTCTCATCAAGAAATTGCACCAGGTTATCGATGTTCTTCTTGAGCGAAGCAATAGATCTAGCGCTCACAGTGACAATGTGCATGCTTCGGGGATCGACACCCTTGGGTTCCTCACGAAGAGGCCCATCCTCCAATATGACAGCTGTGTTCCCACCGGCTGCGGAGAAGTTGTTCAAGAAGAGCTTACGCTTCTCTGCACCTTTGCGAGGCCATGGGACCATCTTTGTCTCGATATGAACATTGCGTTCTGACAAGTCTTTGGGAAAGGTCTTATTCATAACACCTTTGATACCAACATTGGCAGGGATCGCGTTCTTCTTCATCATCATGAGGATTTTGACGAGAGAGTTAATACCAGAGGCAGCTTCGCCATGTCCAATGTTGGCTTTGATAGCTCCCAGGTGAAGTGGCTGATCGGGACGACGCTGGCGATGACGCGGGGCAAAGGCGTTGGTGACCGAGGTCATCTCAATACCATCCCCGGCCTGGGTGCCTGTACCGTGCATCTCCACATAGCTGATATCGTGCGCATCAACACCAGCATTGGATAGGACTCTGTTGTAGAGGAATTCCTGTGCACCAGCGTGGGGGTGCGTAATGGAGACTGCCTCAGCGCTGTGATTGGTTGCGGCACCCAAGATACAGCCAAGGATGTTGTCCTTGTCCGCGATGGCGTCTTCGTAGCGCTTCAGAACGACTGAGCCGCATCCGTCACCACGGCAGTAACCGTCGGCGTCATTGTCATATGTCTTACATCCACCCGTCTTTGAAAGAAACTGGCCTTTGCTGAGCCCTGAGAAAATATCGGGATTGGTCAAGACATTGAGGCCACCAGCGCAAGCGGTGTCGCAATCTCCTGCCCACAGCGATGTACAGGCAAGTTGAATGGCAGCAAGAGAAGACGAGCAGGCAGTATCAATGCTGAAGGATGGGCCGGAGAACTTGAAATAATAATTGATGCGCCCCGGCGCAAACGCTCTCACACCACCAGTGATGAAGTACGTGTCGATGTTTTCGGCAGCATTGATCTCCCGCCAGTCGTCAGATGTTTGACCATAGAATGTACCAATACGCTGTAATTTCGTAGATGGTGTACGATTAGGGACGTAACCGGACATTTCAAGAGCTTCGTACGCCGTAGTGAGGGCAAGACGACCCATAGGATCAGTCTGTGCAGCCTCACGAGGCGACATGTTGAAGAAGCGGGGATCGAACAGACCTGGCTCCTCGATGAAGCAACCATAGGGAGTGTGACTCTTGTTCTTGCCCTTGCCGGAGGGATCACAATGGGCCTGAGCATCAAACCGATCGGCGGGCACCTCTCGATGCACATCCAAGCCTTGTGCGAGCAGATCCCAAAGCTGTTCGGGACTGGCAGCACCAGGGAAGCGACCAGACATGCCAACGATGGCGATCTTGTCGTTTTGGGTACGGCCACGGCTCCTGTCGGTCGTCGCAGTCCAGGAATTATGGTCGCGGACCGTGACAGACTTCTGGCCACCATGTTTCAGCGCTGCAGCCATACTGTTCGCAATGGCCGTGATGCCAATCGCTGTGATCGTGCACTCGGCACTGCTGGCTGCAGTCACCTGGTTCACAATCTCGCCAAGAAGATTGTCCCATCGCACCTGCTCGAGCAAGATCTCGCCCAAGGCAGTCCTGACTAATTCGAGGGTGTTGGTCGAGACTATGCATTTGCCTGTGGTAGCGGAGTGCACCAAGGCAAGAGGACGAAACTGCTGCAAATGCCTGATAGCGTCTTTGTCTAGTATGCGCTCGATGTCGGCCTGGGCATAGATCTGCGGTGCGTGATATGGCGCATAGACAGGAAGTGGTAGTCGGGAGTTGGATTTGAACGCTTCGACCTCGTCAAATAATCGTTGGGTGGTGGATGGTGGACCGCTGATGGTTATGGCCATGGTGCTAACGGCGCTAATATACGCCTGCGCTGCGGGTGGTATCCGCCGTTGTTCGTGGAACGATGCGAGAGCGTCCTTGGCAACATCCTCAGAAACACCAGTCACGGTCGACCAGCTTTGCTTGGAGTTCGGTGCTCGCTCGAGCGCGTCTCTCGCAGCCCCTGTCATGCAGCCAACCCGGAATGCGATGCGAACAGCCTCGGTCGAAAGCGGTAACAGCTCACTTAGCGATCGCGCCGATGCGACCACTGAGGCTGCAAGCAGACCAGTACAGAGACCAACCACGCGAGTGTTTGCGGGACTTGGTAGTTCTGTGGGGTTTTCTCCATAGTATCTGTTGAACGGTTAGCCGCCGTTTCCTACCGTTCTTCATGCAACCTACCCAATAAAATGCGCCAATTGAGCAATTGTCACCATACAGCTTTCCAGCTGAGGCACCTTCACACCTTGAGCAAAGTATGCTTCGACAAGATCCCATGTTGTCAGAAAGTCAGGAATCTGATCTCGTTGCGTTCGTGGAAGTTTCTGCACTTCTTCCCGAATAACAACACTGATTCGATCCAAGAATGTCGTGAGCGAGGAATTGCTCCTCAGCGTGCACGCCTTTCGAAGTAGTGCATACTGGTCGGATGTCTGGTCCCCGAAAATAAGAAGGTTCATGATGACGCGGTTATATGTGATCCAGCAAAAGGCGACCAAAGAATGGCAATGTGCAGGGCAGTGAAGCCACGCGACGGGATAGCAATGAAGCTGTAACTACCCGTAAGAGGGAGCGAGTGCGAGGGTATAGTATAGAGGAAGCCTTTGTTTGAGAAACGGCAAGTATAGTCTATGCAACTGGTTGACCCAAGGATTGAGAAGAAGAATACTGGATGGAACTAAACTTCGAACTCGGCGGTACCCCTATATGTATGTGAGCAGTGATGGACATGGGACACATAACAGTGGCCCTGGCGTGCATAGCATCATGACAAGCACACTCCTACCGGATCTGTGACAATCCATGTACTGCGGAACGATGTACTACAGCAGCATGTTGGCGTGAAAGCCATAGTGGAGCACGGGCTAATGCTGCTCCTGGCTAGTATAGCCATGGCACAAGGATCAATGGCGTGTAGTAGCCGGGCGCGCCTCCGAGTAAGATACAATGCCTATTTTCAGATGGCGCATGCTAGGCTCGTAGAATTGCAGCTGTGATATTACGCTCATGCATCACACATGAGAGTGACAATGAGACTGGGGACCTGAGTGTCGAGGACCCTGTCTCAAAATTGCCTTCATACGATCGGATCCCCTCCCCTCCCCGAGTTTGAGGAATGGCCCGTGTGCTTTCCTGTCACTTACAGCGTTACCCTGCATATTTCGTACTAGATTGATGCAAGCAAAATGTAGATATGATGAAGTCGCTTAGCATCCTTAGGGACTTTGAGATATCTTTCTCGCTTGTGGATGTGATGATGTCCAAGGCAAGGGAGTAGGATCCTTGCGCCTACATCCAGGAGATATGCGTCGAAAGCAATCTACCATTTCTCGTCCAGTCCGTAGCTAAAAACTATAGCAGTTTCAATCACCTAGCAGCCAGTGGTCCTCGGACCAGCGTGAGCTACTGACACGCCAAGATTCTGCAAGCTGATAACACCAGCTCTCGCTGGCCTCACTAAGCGTGGCAACCTCATGGAGCAGACATACTGGTTCCACCGCATTCATGGCGTTACCCAGATACCAGGAGACCCCTCTGAGTCTCACAAAGGCGAACATGTACCGATTGCTCGACTGGGATGAGGCAAGGCTCCTGGTTCGAGATGGAGGCGCAAGATCCTCTCAAACTGTTCTGGAATTAACCAAGCACCGGTGATTTGGGACAGCTGAGGTAAGATGGCAGAGGCAGGCTGTGCATTTCCATGTCAGGTTGAGTTGTGTCTAGTCTTCATTTGATGCGTGGCATGAGCAGGCGAGTTTGGGATAGGCATGGTATTGACAGCTGTCTCGCGGCCGATGGTCGAATCTGAAGCTTGAGCTGAAGATGGTCAATCCGAGAATCGGGTTGGCGTATGGAAAGCTAGAACGTCTTCTGTCTGTATACCGTATCGACGTGCTATTTTATCCGGGATCCCCCAAAGCCGAAGCTATCGACACTTCTCCCGACGTATAAGAAGAGCTGTCAACGCGACATCGCTAATTCTCCTCAGCAGGTATCGATTGAACTGGGGTAAATGGTGCTCGCGTGTGTGTCGGGGGCTCTGAGCCACTGGCAAGGCAGCAATCCATCATACCTACCCGGCGTCCCGCTGCACCCTCAAGCGGCTGGTGGTGGTAGGTGATGTCTGTTGGACGCGGTTGCCAAGATCTCACTGCATCCGCTCCGTATCATCTACTCTTGTCTTTGAATGATCATCCTATGGGACCGCGTAACAGACCTTCAGTCAAAGGTTGCTGAGAAATGCTTCTGATAGCATAATCGATGATGTGAGGAAGTTGCGGCTGGAACAACTGCGGCCCCGCACCTCCGAAAATGATCGACGCTTATGTCAGCGGGGTATTTCACCGCCACAGTTCAGCGCAAACCATCATTTGGCAGTGGCACCATTCTAACGAATTTAAGGTTGTTGATATCTATCAGTAGGGCGAGAAGACGTTTTTCTCTCTCTCTTACAATAAGCTTTGAGGATGTTTCGCCCCAATATATGCAAAACTATGGTAAGCTGGACAACTCCGCAACGTTAGCCCCCCCATAGAATTCAACAATTAATCTTATCTTCTATCATGTACATGAACGGTATCAAAGACCAAGATGACACTAATGATCGGTACAGTACTCGCTCTGTGACGAGCTACGTCTTACGCGGGTACGTGGTTCCTTGAGAATATCATCATGATGAATGTGGAGGGTTCCAATCTAAGCATCCTCACACGAATGCTCCCTTCTAAGGGGGGGGGGAGAGATTTTGGCTTTCATGAGTAAAATCCGGGAAAAAGTTGGTCTCTGCAACTTATGCTACAAGTGAAATCCTGGGGTCCTTGCAGATTGGAACCACCGTTTGAGGAGATCAATTGCATCTCTTTTGTCTCAGTCTGAACCAGCCGCTAATCGACATGCTCCAAGATGGGATACTGCTAGTAAGTCCATATGGAAGAAATTCTTGAACCCGAATTAATCCAGTATGAGAAGCTAGGCGGCTGGGTTAAAATTTGAGTCACATTTTCGCACTGAAAGTTCTGACCTCGCTTCATTCCCGTTCCGCCTGTTGGTCTTACGTACTCCCATCGGGGAAAATTTTTCAGGAAGTATTGAGAATCCTTTGCGATTAGACCGGATAATTCAGTAACGCTACAATGCTGTATGTGTCTTACCATCGTAACTCAAAGCGAAGTCGTTTTGTATTCTGACATTACGGTTGAAGACTGCTTACCAAGCAAACGACGATATCAATAAGAACGATAGGCCGTAGGGAAATGCTACTTAATTATGCGAATGTAGATTTTTGTCAGTCTTCTCTGCGTAGATGCACCAGCAGATACAGTGTCCTCCACACAAGGTTGGCTGCAGTGTCGGCCCTGAAGCGTTCAACAACGAAGCCTGTCAATCGTTCGACAGGTGAGAGCCAAAACAGCACACGCACACTACGGCTCCCCAGCATGTAGGTGGCTTGTATACCCGAAGCCTGGGCTCGTGCACGAGTCAAGCTGTCAAGTCCAGTGCCGATGCGAACGCTGTACATGAACACTTTGACCCAAAACCATGGCTGGCGTCTGGTCATGCCCAAGCGAGAGAAGGATCTTGATTTCCGAATATGCGGCCTTGAAATGCACTGGAATCTGACTATGGGGATGCTTGTCTAGTCCGCTGGGATCATGGTGGAATGTGGCAGACGGGCCAGGAGTACCCGGGACCCTGCAATGAACTACAGTGTGTTCACCCATCCACCCGCAGACTATTGACGCGAGACATTCACTTGCAAGCTGAGAAGTAGCCTACGATAGTTGTCGAGTTCATTTGCACTCCCATTCGTCGGGAACCTTTACCAGACCACGATCTTGAAGTGGGGATGGGTGTCTCTTGGATCTTGCATGAGGTGGGTCGCATGCATCATCACATCTTGATGCTGAGCTTCTGTTGCATTGACCGGGAAGATTTATCCGCCATCCTGGAGGTTCTCATGGACTGTATCTCCGTGTAACCGAAAGACTCGGTCTTATTGACTGGAGCATGGTATAGCATAGCATGGGATTTGGCGTAGCAGTCTTTGGTAGATCGATCTGGTCACAACACAGGCCGATTTCAAGATTAGGTTGCAGAACTCGCTTGTGTTGAGATCTTGTACTCTTACTCTTTTGGTAAGACGCGGCCGAAATTGCGCTTTCACCAGACGAATCAGGAAGTGTGAAAGAGAAGTTGTAATTCAGATGTCATACTAACATCCAGTGATTACCTTCAAATGGCTGAATACCCTTGCAATGGGCCCACGTGCGAAAGCGGAAGGATTTGAGGATGTTCTCTCGAGAGCTGATTTGATGTGAAGTTGGACAGTGATCATGTTTGGACAAGGTACCATGGAGGGATCTTTTGATTGATTCTGCCTACACTCAGTTGCAATGCGTGCATCAGGCATTCGATGCCGCGAGTAGATTTTGAAGAGACGGGCAATTCCACGCAGGACTCTTTTTTGGTTGAGATATGTAAACAGACAGTGTCACACTGACAAGGCGATGGGATCGGAAGCGTCCATTCGTGGGTGGGTCCTGACTCCTGACGGTACTTTCGTGGCACGCTAATTCACTTAGCTTCAGCGGCAATCGCCCCGAGCCGTTGGACACTAACTAAATAGCATATAGATCCGGCCTGTGTGCAAGGCTGTTTCTTGGAGATGCCCAAGAGTCTTGGAAAGTTGGAGCAATTGAGTCCTGACTCGCAAGAAGGCGTCCAACGCTGTGTTCTAACGGTAAAACAGACGTAAGCTTACCGATTTCCATGTCGAGTAGCCGAGAGCCGTCCCTGGCCATTACTTAAGTTTCATGTCGAATAAGTCAACAATTAATTGCTCCAAAACCTCCCGGTTGACGATGCTCGGTTTAGTGACATTGTCGGGATCGATCGTGCATCATTGCACTAAAGCAGCATGTTTGAATCGGATAGCCAATCGATGACGATTGCATCCGATTAATAGAGAAAGTCACGTATTACGGCCAGTACGGCGTGTAACATTTGTGTTGGATTGGCACGACAGTAATGTTAGTCGTGCTGTTAATCCCTCCGAGGAGCGTGAGAGCAACTACCGGTACGGTCAGAGGAGCTCGCTTGGGAGGGAGGCCGTACGCTAAATCATTGACGACATACGGTACAACATGCTGTTCGATGTAAATTGATGGACGACTACCGTATCGCCAATCCTTGCAACACTTGCTGTTGCGACATTACCGTGATATGCGATCTCATGATGCAATATAATAAACACCACCATGAGGACCACGTGTAAGTCGGCCCGGTTACTCGACCGTATCCTGCTAGCCCTATCACGTTCCCATTACATGGGACGAAAGTTGAAAGGGCCTCATATATTCCATCTCGTCACCACAGGCTCATGAAGTACAGGCCATAGGACGCAGTGTAACTACAGTGGAGTGGCACAGCCATTGCAAGGGGCCACAGGCCCGCCACAAGTTGACAACAACGACGATAGATGCATTCCTAATCTGGATTTCAACGCGGGTAACATCCTCCTCGTCATATGATGAACGTTGGTCGCGACGGATGATAATTTCAGAGAGACATCTCAATTTCTCTCGAGCACAAAATATTCGTCGAGTCTGACACGATGATGGCGCAGAGCTCCGATCGCCGCCTTACCGGTACCTATCGTCAGGGTTCAAGAGTATGTTTGCGATCATCTCAGTCGCACTGTGTAACACCCTGTTCGTGTTCGTACATGCTCAGACACATTGTTGCCTTACATGGCACAAGTCGCCTCGTAGTACTCTAGAAGACACGATCTTGTACAACGTATTGCAAAATGCGTTAATTGGGTTCAAAGCCACACCGCCGGTCTCCTGCCCGGGCCTCCTGGTTCCCCGAGGCTTCGAAGCAGGTGATCATTCTGTGCTCCCAAAGCCACGCGCAGAGCAGCCGAACCACGTTGAATTGACGCATTCAATCTCGTGGTGCATAATCTAGCCTGGTCATACTGCCTTCGGTGCGCATTTGCACGAGCGTAGCTGTAATATTGACAGCGTATAATGCGTACCCTCCGGTGATGCCGAAGTATCCTGTCGCTTGGATCTCATGGGTCTGGCTGCAGGGTCTTCTGCATTCTTCTTCAAATACAAATAGTATTCTGCAAGCCACAGGTTTGTGATCCTATGAGAGATGGGATGTCGAGTCCTTTAGCCTGGTTCATTTCCTTCTCTCTTTAACCCGACTGGAGGCGTCATCCGCTGCAGACTGGAAGTACGGGTACTAGCCGTAGACACGAGGTTGACGATAAGATAGGCAGAGGCCTAGAATCATTCCCATCGCACTTACGGGAGTACCTGCTTGACTCAATATCGGGTGCAAATTGGTTGAGCAGGTTGTATTTGTGTTCATATAGCAGCGCCTTGATATGTGGGATGACATTATCGAACAAGGATAGGTAGTGTTGGCGGGCAATCGTTCGCAGCTCAAATTCACCGTTATGCAGGGTTACCTCTCCACCGCATACTCGACGTGTAAGGCCAAATAGCTGGCAAAGTGGTGATGCAACATCCCTTCGCGTACCGAGTCAACTGTGCGACAGCCTCCGGAAACATTGCGTATGGATGTTTACGATTATTTACGACTAGGCACGTACGGTAAGCTTGATAGTGGATTAGGAAGAATACATGACCGCTTAAATTTACAGCTTATCGGGGCACGGGCGTATAGAAAGCAGGACTCGAGTATCTGTCAAGGTTCCAAGTCAAGCAAGACCCTTTCGCTTTTGTGATAGGACATGAGAAATCGAGCTGATAGCTCAACACCAAGTGCGACTCGATTGCGAGTGCGAGCACATGAACGATAAGTAGCATCGAACATCCGTACAGGGGTAGGTTTGTTTATTGCTCGCTCGCACGCTTGCACTCTCTATCGATCGCATGGCCGATGAGTCGACTCCCACAGAGTACATAAATGGGATTAGACGATGTAAGGTCTTAGAAGAGCCAAGGTCTCACACATGGAGAGACATTGCACTTTGGCAGGTCGTTTCTCGCATAGGGCAGAAGTGCGAGGTTAAGATGTCATGACCAGTATGCAGTCATGAACAATACGCAACATGGGTATACCGTATGAATAGCCAAGGGGCGTATACGCGTGGATCTGTACTATTGGGGATATGAGCCGATAACGTGATCTTATGCCGATCGCATGTTTGGGGCAGATCTTGTCAAGTAATTATGCAAATCCGCATGTTGTGACTGATGGTGTTTGTACGCAAAATTCTTGTTGCTTAATTCACAGGCCCCAGACCGTGTACTGGAATAAGCCCAGAAGACGCCTTAAGCGCCACATCTTAGTTAAGCATCCGCTGTCAAGGGCGGTTAGCGAGCACCAATGGACGGGAGCATCCTTCAGCTCAAGATTGTACTCTACCGATGGCAGCGAGGAAGAAGCATGCTCACTGCATAAGGCTGACTATGTAGTTTCAAGCCCTTTGCTGATGTCAACCTGGACTGCTGTTTGCGCCGCTACTGCATTAACTCGGGGTACAAGGTGGAGAAGAGTGGGCACTGGGCATTGGCCAAGTCGGACCGGTATAAACGCACACATTACGCTTTGATATACGACAAAGTTGTTCCGTAACTGGGTCGGCTCAGCCAGAACAGGGTAACGGTATGCGTTGTTTCGATCTTTTAGGTTACGTGGACGAATTCTCAAGAAGGCCCTGACCGGCTGGAAAAGTTGTTGGAAAGGTTGGTTAGACGGCAAATCTCACCCGACAGCGGGTAATCAGCGCCCAGATTGTTTGCGAGGCAAACCTGGACAGTGGTACCGATCCTTCTCCATATTTAGCCTACCGCAGCCAGTTTTCAAATGGACTATTGCATGCATCCAGAGTAACGACCTTAAGTCGGATGAGAATAGGCGCAATGCATCTAGGTGATGCAGCAAATGTGGAGGTCCAAGGTGGAGGGGGGGAGGGATATGGGATGCCTTGTGTGGACGTGGGCTGCGGACTGATTCCATCCTGCTGTGGGGGTATCTGTACAAGTAGGATGATGTTGCAACACAGTACAGTATACCTAAGTCACCAGGCTGTGTGGACATGTGTGTGGTATGTATGTGGTTGCTGATGAAGATGCAGATCCTTGGAATCCCAGGTCGACTGCGAGATCCAGCACGCTAATCCCAATGGGCTCGAAACACTGCACCGCCACCAATACATCCTACAGTAGCCCTGCATGATTGCCAGAGTCCCTCGCTGCAACCGGTCGTCTTCGAGATGCGGTTACTACCTTCATGTGGAATGATTCGCTATGGCCATCGAGTCTCGTTGCCCAGTACTGCCAATTCGTGAGCAAGAGCGGTCCGTGCCGTTTAATTAAGAAGCAGTGGTAGTTGTGGATATGGGAAAGGCTTCTCACTAGGCTTTGCGGCACGTCTGAGACGAGTTTATTCTCCGCCGTGGAATGTCTCGGCAGCTAGCATGACCGCTTTCCGCTATTTTTCCTATCCAGTCAGAAGTTGCGTTCTCTTACCATAAGCCTGTGATTTATACGTGTACAGATGCCGTCCCCGACTCCCCGCATAGCGGTAATAGATCAGAAAGCGTAGAGAATTTTAGAAATCTCGTCTATTCTACAATCCACGAAATCAGATGAATCTGGATAAAACCTTACACATTTAGCGTTCAGCAACACAGTGCTTGCACTTGAAAAGATAGAAAATTAGTCGGGTGAATGTGAACCTCTGGAAACTAGGGACATTCTGGATACTTGAGATCGAAGAAACTTTGCAAAATAGATGTCGTCTGGTAGGACATTGTATCTAAGAAAAAAAGTTGCTACTGGACTTCTATTTGGCTTCCGAAACGCCCCAGACCGCCACTGGGTCCACCAAGTGTATCCATGATGTCATCATGCCATACCTATCTGCTGGGGTAGACTGTGTTGCCAGTACCAGTAGAGAAGCTGAAATGAAATCGCTGCTCATGGCACGGCCTTTTATTGAATACCCCAGCCATGGTACCATATGGTACGCAAACAATGATGAGGCAGTCATGCTACCGCTGTGGTGACAAATTCATCTGGCCATGATTCGAAAGGGGAGGGATGCAGCGATCGGCGATCAATTGAGCGACACAATAAAAGTTGATGCCATGCGGCAAGATGGAATGCTTAGGTGTTTGCCAGAAGTGAGCGGTGGCAGCTCTGTTCACGCGCTACCATGTTAAACGACACGAGCCAGGTAATCGCTACAAGTGCTAGGTGTAAGTTCAATATCGGCTTGAGGCACATGTTCTATGGCTGTGGTGTCCACTGAAGATGGAGCGGTAATGGAACGATACGTAAGGGCCCGCAAAACAATTGCGTCGGGTGCACGTGATGTCCCCGTATGCACCACCTAGGTACTGGTAGGATGCAGAATGGCGCTAGCAAAGCTTGACCGGCCAGCGCGCAAGTATTTTTGGATTTTTGTGACCACGACCTGTGACGCAGTGTTCACACCGTTCCAGTCCTTCGCTTTCAAGACGAGAGTGTCCAACAGGTCGTTCAGCAGCTCACAGCAACACGGCTTTTCAGCACGAAAACGACAAGCTAAGACGCCGTGGCATGTTGGACGATGCTCAACTCGACTGTTGCTTTAGCCTTTGGGTCGGCGAATTCGTCAGAGATTGCTCTGATTCAATGGCCCAATACAGCCTGAGCAACCACGATCCGCGGGGGTTGCAGCAAACGCATCGCCATGCATCCAAGTCGCTCAATCCGGCGGCCACGTCGAGGACCTGAATGTTCAGCGCTGAATGTCGCTCTTTGAAACAGGCGTGGCAATCTCTGGTGGAGGGACTGGGGCGCCTATCGACTGCGACTCAGCCGCGTGGTGCTGACAGCCGTTCATTGCATGTCATCTTTGGTATGCTCATCGCTACCTGCACGAGCAGCTTGTGCGAAACCATGCCTCGTATAGACGGCAATCACGGGTACGCCCGTTCTGGCCGCTGGCGCTGGAGGATGGGAAGAGGTTCACAGAGTAGAGTAAGCGGCCCATGTCCTCGAAACCCCAGACTGGAAGAAACCACAGCGGCTGACTTGCCGCACGGCAGCATGTAGATCGTCGAGGCTGTGGGCGTAAGTAACGTTGTCGTATTGAAGAATACATTACGAAAGTATGGGAGGCTTACATGTACTGTCTTCTCCTCCAGGGCACCAACGCGCTTGGCCAATGCTCGGTTCACAGAGGCTTGGTGGCTGACGCAGGCTCGCAGTGCATACTCACCCCTGTTGAGCGTCTGCGCCCGAACCCTCACCCAGCCGTGGTGCAGAACCCCAAGATATCCTACATCCCTGCCCTCGCCGAGTCTTATCATCAACGCTGTGCAGCAACCCCTGGTCGCCCAGAGTTCAATCTGACCTAGCCAAGTTCAGTCTTGAGTCTTGACCCACCCAAGAGCATGGTGCGCTGCATGTAACTGAGAAGCACTAGCTCATAGCTCTGATGCAGCTGGATTGCTCTTCAAGTGAAGAATCATGGTTGCTCAGATGCATAATCAACCTCCCTGTCGGGAATGGTACGCCAGTCGAGCCCGATTCTACATCTCCTACGTCTAGACGTGCTTCCGTTTCCATGGAATGGAGCGGCACCCACGGCGCTCTTCTCTAGTACCGATCTATTTGCTTCCTGAGCTCTCTTGGTAACTCGAAAATCTGTTTACTTTCTCAAAAGTCCTCGTAACACAGGGCCTGACCTTGGTCTTCATCTCACAATAGCGCCATAGGATTTGTTCTGCAGTCGCAGTCAGCACCACAGCCGTTCTCAATACAGCTTTTTTGGTCTGACGTCTCAACAAGCTGCCTTGAACACTGACCTGACGTTTGAAATTCTCACTTTAGCCCCATACCGTTGTTCCTACCCGTCCTAGTGTCGCCGCAATCTAGGCCAATTCGCAGTCGGAATTGCTGGCCTACCACTTATAGGAAATCGACTACTCTCTGCAACCATAGCAACATCAAATTTGGCCAAGGTCCCTAGCACTGTCCACGATTCGGTCGTTACAAGTCCCTGTTATTGCCATTGCTCACACTGGCTGCCCATCCTCCTTTGCCCATCTGGATCTTGACCTGCGCTTCCCCACCAAATCCGATTACCATCTTCATCACTCGGTTTACCGAGGCCTGAGTTGCAGTTCATGACCAAGAACATCAAGAAGATGGTCTTCTGTACATATTGCGGGCAATCTTTTACCCGAGATGAACATCTCGAACGACATATCCTTACTCGTGAGTTTGTCTTATCTTCATGCCATCGATTGCAAAGGAGACTTCGCTTTGACTTGCCATCCATGTGCTAATCGTCTTCAATGAGTAGACACAAACGTTAAGCCATTCAAATGCTTTACCTGCCACATGAGCTTTGCCCGAAGGTGCGTTCTTGCAACTCTCTGCTTTGAGGCCTCCCGATCAATTCACCTAATCCATTCAAAACGGAAGGCTGACCCGTTGACCAGAGACCTCTTGCAAAGACATTATACTGTCCACGGTCGTAATCAGAACAATGAAGAAGGCCTCCCAGTACAGGGCATCATCCCCAAGTCTGCCGGTCGTACACCCATTGCCTGCGAGCATTGCGCAAAGACTAAGACGAAGTGTGATAAGAAGTTTCCATGCAGTCGATGCGAGGCGAGAAATCTCACTTGTACCTCTCGACCAACTCGCCGTCAATCAAAATCAGTCCAACGCCTGAACAACCCTCCTGGAAACAGCAGAGCACCGAGCGATACGGGAAGCAGTCCGGATGCTCAGACCAAACAGGATGATACTACTCCATCCAATGAGTCGCAAGCCAACAGCCAACCTTCACCCCAAAAACCGTCACAGCAAAATGATCGCACATCTTCCTCTTCTCTTGAACCGCATTCTCGAAATGCATCTGTGGTGTCGCAGCCAGCACTGGCCAACATACAAGCCAGGTCTGTGAGTACAACGCAAATAGCGATCACAGGCACGCCTCCGCTCTTTGATCAGACACCCACAAATCCGCTTGCACACGCAGCTCCAATTATGTCGCCATTATCCACGCCAGTCCAAGGTATGGATGGCTTCGTGTCCTCGACACCTGTGTCTGGATACGAAGAATTTGCACAGACCGCCCATGATCAACCTCGGCACGAGAGCCCACAATTATTCATGAGTTCATGGGATGCCATACCCATGGCCACAGATTATGGCGCTATGCGAATCGATCCTAGTTTGCTCATGTCGATGAACATGGACATGACTATGGGTCAGACCAATGAAGACATCCTTGGGATGATTCCCGACATGAACGACTCACAATTCTACGGTCCCATGCAGACCCCCATTACAACACCTGACATGGACGAGAACATGTCTGACCTTCAAATTGGTAGCTCTGCGTCAATGTACTTCCATTTAAACAGGAATCCTTCCATTGCAGACACAGGCTTAATACCAGACCTAGGAGCTATCGTCGCCGCTCGTGATGGTTGGACAATCTTTCGTTGTACGCCGCCTATCGCACCCAACACTTGCCCCCGCACGGCACGTCTGAATGTTGAACGTTTGGAATTCAGCCTCAAGAACAATGAAGTTTGGGGTAACTGGCCATTTGTTGCATGGGATGAAAGTGATTTCCAGTACAATGGCCAGATCAAGATAGCCCCGCTTCAGGAGGCTACACGAGACAAGCTACTTGCCATTACGCAGAGCTTTTTGTACAAGGCTTTCGACATCCATAAAGACGGGAGTTCTTCTTCGAATAGTGGCGAGTCTCCAGGGTCGACTGGGTCTCATTCCACTTTCATTTTGCTGCCACCTGCCCGGGTTTTGGAATTCTTTTTGAAATCATATGCCAACTCTTTTGAGCAATTTTATCCGACTTCTGCCCATGGCGTTCTCGATGCAAACGGACTCATGCAGCACAACAACGATAAAGCTTCTAGCTTACTCATTCTCATGATGATTGCGTCGGGAGCCATGACTATACCCTCGATTGAGGCAAGATTACTCACTGGTGGTTTTATTGAAACCTGTCGGATCTCGCTTTTCGATCTCATTGAGAAGAATATCATAATGGCCAGCGATCCCATTGTCTTGCGGGCGGCTCTGATTTTTACTGTACAGGCAGCCTGGAGTGGCGACAAGTGGCAGATGGATATCGCGATGGGCCAACGCGGCATGTATTGCTCAATGCTTCGTCATGCGGGACTCCTTGCGCAGTGGCCAACTCCACTACAACCTGGGAATGAACATAGAGGCGCAGAGGCGTTATGGCGAGAATGGATCGAGCAAGAGAGCCGGAGTCGGTGAGTAGTCAAATCTGCATCAGTCGTAATCACACGGATCGTTTCGCTAACGCTTCGACAGTCTTGTCTATGCTTGGGTCATGGCAGATCAGGAAATTTCGTTATTCCAAGATTCCGCGCCCATCTTCTCGGTCACTGAATTAGGTGTATCCATGCCAGACACGGATCAACTCTGGCAAGCTCAGACTGCCAAGGAGTGGTCAGGCATTTTCGATGAAGTCCACAAGTTCTCCAACGGAATCTCGTCGGTAGGCTCTGGAGTTCGGCCGCAGAATCTCAGGGATCTCTTCCGGTGCTTTTTGGACGATGAGATCGTTGTGCATGATGTCCAGGAAATCCACCTTACGCCAATGCATCTACGTCTGTTGCTACATCCTCTGCAAACTCTGGTGTGCCAATTCTGCCAGCTGCTCAGCTGCTTCTCTGATAGTTTTGCTGCTTCGAGATCCCGCAACAGGGCGCTCAGTGCTGCATCTACTCGCGTTCGTCTCGAGGAGGTACAAGCACTGCTTGGACGCTGGTCCGACTTGGCCCAACGATATCTGGCGGCGAACATAATGTGTCCCATCATGCACGCCAATCTTGTCATGTTCCACCTCATCAGCCTGAACGCCGTCACAAATTTCCCACAAATTGAACGAGTCGCGCGACGTGAGGATCCCGAATTCGACTTTCAGAAGCCGGCAATTAGCGGAATACGTAATAAATGTTTGTCCGATGCACATGAAGCCATCTCCCATGCTGGCCAAATTCTCCGTCTGGTACGCGAAATGCCTCGAGGTACTCGTTCGCCATGGTGGGCGGGTGCTATTTATCGTGCTGCTCTTGTAATGTGGGTGACAACCTTTGCCAACGACAGCCCTGCCACTCCTATCCAGCAGAACCCACATTCATCACAAACTTCCTCCGTCCCAGTAGACCAGTTCCCTCCTGAGCATCCGACAATCCGACGGTATGTTTCTCGAGGAGAGGGTTACCCAATCCTTACCAAGCGAGATGGTCGACATGTTTTGTTAGACAATGGCTTTAGGGTCCTCGCCCACTGTATCGAATTGATTGACGAAGGAGTCGCGACAAGGTTTTCGGATGGTATCCGAAGCAAGCTCGATACTCTCGCAAGAAGCTAGTCGATCATTTTCTCATCTGACTCTTTGCCCATTCGTTCCCAGTCTTGCACTTCTATTGGACGCCCGAATCTTTCTCAACGAGTCGAGCGTTCACTGCTCTGTTTTTTTTTGCTTCGCGGCTCTTATCTGGCGTTCCACTTCCCCCTGTAGGATTCGTTCTTCTTGGCGTTACTGGTTGCTGATGTACCATGATGGAAGGTCATTCATCCCGGCATGCCATTGAATAGGGGCGTACACCAAGACCGTCATACCCTTTTGCATGTCTCGATTTGCAAACCATGAATATTTTGAAAGTCTGTCGTCAGTCTTCGGCTCATCGCGACTCATTGCTGTGGATGAGTAGCGCTTGAATAGGGCACAGGATACACATTGCAATAAAATCGTATATACTTACCTCGTAACATTTTTTCTCTTCCTACTTTGGTCTTTTTCAGACGTATGACGTTAACATTCGTTATGAAGTGGGGTGAAGCTCCTGCTGAGACATTAACTGACGGCGGACAGTGTCGGCCCACTATGATCATATTAAGATGAGATTCGAGGAGGGAAATAGTCGTTCATCAAGGTCTGTCTTTTAAGAGATGAATTTGATTGATGGTAGAGTTGATAGCGACGGGGTAAGTCTTGCCCACTGGAACCAGGGTACGTCTCCTTCTCCTTGCCAACCACGTACGTTGTCACAATGTCCTTGACCTTTTTTTTATGCTTCTCCGCGCCCGTGTTTCAGATGTACGCCAGCGTGTGTTGTTTCGGAGATTATGATTGGTGGTCTTCAGGTCTGGAGGCTGACGGTGGGTTGATGGGGAAACGTAGATCGATGTATCATGTGCAAAGCCGGCACTGCTATGGTGGGGTACTCCAGGCGTATGCCCTACGGGACAGGCCGGGCGTTTACACCTTGCGTGCCTCTTGCGTAGTTCTGGCTCACAACGAGCAAGTAGTAGTGGTTCGTGGAGGATTGGGAGCATGGATCTGATAACAAGTCGTACAGATTGTTCTCATCTCATTTTGGATACCGAGGCGCTCAAAGTCGAAGTCTTCCCTCGTGCGTAATAGGAGGTGTATAGGAGATGAGTCTAGTCGAGGTACTGGGAATACCGGCAGTATGAATGGTCATACGTGCCATCTAATTGCACAGAAGCGTCTCGCCTCTCCTCCTTCCCGAACGGCATGCAAGGCCTTCGTCACACCATTTTGACGCCGCAGTACTCTCAAACTAATATAACCCGAGCCAAAGTAGCCATGACGATCCAGAGGACCTTCACTGCGTTCCCTTCTGCTGGTAACAACCTAGCCGGCTTGCAAGTGGGCCCATTGCAACCCACATTTTCCCTTTTTCTGGCTATATCGGTCCCTTTGATCCGATCTCACTGTTTTATCAGACAATCACAGGATTCGGATTGCCAGCACCGAGGACGTGCAGCAAGAGGTGATACAGCAACAGTAAAGCGCATGTCCGTTTGATTGACATGCTTACGCGTCTGTCTTGGCTCTTCACCTCAGTCAGTAGCGAATGCAGGTCCAAGGATTTCAGGCGTTGGAAGCAAATCAGCGGTTATGGTAAATTGACATCATCCTCATTATCATGTCGTGGCACACTGCCTCGTCCCAAGACGAGATACCATTAAGCAGATCATATCAACACTGGAAATATTCACTCATTGGGCCCCATGTTCTGTCACAAACACGAGGTGCGGATAAGCATACGGGCATCCGGACGAAAGCCGTGGACATGGTAAGAGTTAGACCGTGCGAACAGGGTTGGGATAGCAGTACTTGCTCAATTTTAGCTCATTCTAGAGTCAACGCTTTGTTACTGTTTGAGAATCGGGTCGGGGAACCGGCGCTTAATATATGCCGCGGGTACAACGACGGTGAAGGGGAGCAGGGCTGCTATATGACTCCTATTTGGCGATTGCACAGTTATTATATAACTTGAAGACCACTGGAGGAACTCCTTTTGATGTCAGCGCCACCCATGAAACACATGTCATTAGAAGTAAGCTTGCGCAAAGTTACGGTATACAATGGTGTCTATCACATCATCAGATGCAGGACCTTATCAAGGCAGAAATGCTATAATGCTACACTCTATCATGGTGAAAATATAGTGTATCAAGGCCTAAATTCCGACTAGTGAAGCATCAGTTAGCTAGCTAATACGCTGTTTCTCCGTATCATCCATGGATACATCGGACATAGCCGATTGCTATACATAGTAGGTGATACAGTCCAAAACACTAGAGTAACACCGAAAATTGACCCCAACAATTGCTGAATTAAACATTAACGGGCAGAATAACCGCATGTCTGGGCCGAATCTGACCTTCTCCCAACGTTTTTTCCGTGTAACGGGAAATGGACTGAGGGGGAAAGCCAAGCGCTTTCGGACGTGGCTATTTCTCTGTCCACCACGCCGCGAAATCTACTCAGAGCTTGTTCTCGCGACCTAGATCACAATGAGGTGACTGCAGCACAAAGAATTCCGTGAATCATCGGAATCCAGAGCGTAAATCTCCTCTTATGTATATGTTTACGTCTTTGGTTCCTCCTGAATAATGGCGATGTCGGCGCGAGATGGCCCATCATCGCCCTCAAATTGGAATAGCGGTGAAGAATCCAAGTATACTGTATGTGTCAGCTGAGAATTCGGAGAAGGTCAAGATAAAATGAGAAATTCCATCCCTTATCCCAGCCTAGCACGCATTATTGTACATGGTGGTAGAGGCTGCAAATAGCCGTGCCGTGGTAGATGCACGACTTCTTTCCCTCGTGCCAATGCATCGGTGAAATTTTAAGCAGAATAAACAGTCCGTTTCTCTATTTATTTTCTTCCACAGCACCAATCAATCACCGTGGAGACTAGCAATTTCCATAAGTCTGGACAGTAGACGATTTTGCAAGATCTAGACGTCCCAGACAGAACGGAGGTTTCACGATGGAATCTCGTTCAATTGGTGCAGAAGCACAGATTTTTCAACTCTCCGTCGCAGTAATAAAGTTTTAGTACGGTTACGACGGCGTGATTATGAAATTGGTTAATCGTGCAACTACCGGTAACATCTTTATCGTTGACCACCGGCACAAACGAGCTCCACAAATTTTGGCCTTGATCCAAACATGAACAACTAGAACAAGCCATGAGTAGAGTACAATAGGCCAGAGTCCGCTCGGCTGTTTCAACACACTGGTCTCGAGATGAAGTAAAGTTGACAAGTGCAAGAGGCGGACATGGAGTTAAGCGGATCCCCGCTTTCCACAGGAAACCGGATCACCAAATAGTTGATTGCGACGCTCCCTTTAGCCGGCTTGTGCGACGCGAATCCACCAGCCGTCATTCGGATTCCTAGTCGCCAAGCGTTCACTTCGTTGTACAGCTTGATCGCTAATGATGGGGAGCCAGAGAAATGGTGAGGGAACCGATGGACACAGATGCTTCGCGGTTGAACAGCCTCAGTGACGGGAAATGATGAGCTCACACAGGCTATCTTCAATGGTCATGTGACAGGGTTCGAGAGTCGCGTTGGAATGATTGCGATGATGGATTCGTTTTCCGATTGTAGACTTGAATAATGCTTACAAACTGATGATCCCATGCCAGACCTTCACTCAACGGCCCTGGGTTGTTACCGTATCCAAGGGCGTGGGCTATGACCGCAGTCTAGACAGTGACGTTCAGCGCAGGTCCTGCAACCAACTTCTTCATAGCTCAATGCCCCTTTACAATAAAAGCTGCTTCGTCCTGAAGCAAAATCTTTGTTTCGCGACCACATGTTGCCATGGCTGGGTGCAGAGCGACCCCAATGTTCCACATTCATGCACCAATCATAACTTGATCGTCTTGCCCCCATCTTCGGCCCCTCCTTCCGAATCACCACTTCAATGCAATTGAGGCTCTGGCTCTCCTGCGGCGGGTCAGGTACGTGGATATACGCCCAGGATTCACGACTCTCGGAGGCAATGAACTGTCCCGGCATTCAGATGGGGGGAATGTGTGGGTGTTGGGACACCGAAGGCAGGACGGGCAAGACACTACGCATCGATATGCAATCTTCTCCGCTGGAGTGCCGGGTTGTATAGCGGTATATAGACCGGGTGTCTTCTCTTTGGATTTGAGTCATCATCACAGCAGCTACTTCCATCACATATTCTCAAACACCACTATAATCCAGCGATCGTCTCACTGCCCGCAAACCGCAGCCACCAAAACTTCACAATGGCCGAGATCGAGCAAACATGGAGCCTGGCAGGCAAAGTTGCCGTAGTCACTGGTTCAGGTCAGTCAGGGTACCACCGAGAGTCTTCAAATCGTGACTAACAGCCCCAGGCCGTGGAATCGGCAAGGCAATGGCCCTCGAGTTGGCCAAGCGCGGCGCAAAAGTCGCAGTAAACTACGCCAACACAATTGAAGGAGCCGAACAAGTCGTCAAGGAGATTAAAGCACTAGGAAACGGCTCCGACGCCCATGCCTTCAAAGCCAATGTAGGCAACGTCGAGGAAACCTCCAAGCTCATGGACGACGTCGTCGCCCACTTCGGCAAACTCGACATTTGCTGCTCAAACTCTGGTGTTGTGTCGTTTGGCCACTTCAAGGACGTGACGCCAGAGGAGTTTGACCGCGTCTTCACTATCAACACGCGTGGGCAGTTTTTCGTGGCCAAGGAGGCGTACAAGAGGATGGAGATGCATGGCCGGATTATCCTCATGGGCTCAATCACCGGCCAGGCAAAGGGCGTACCGAAACACGCAGTCTACTCTGGCTCCAAGGGTGCCATTGAGACCTTCACGCGCTGCATGGCCATTGGTAAGTTTTCGCCGGTGAAATGCCTGCCCCACATGACTGACTTGCCATTCCAGATGCCGGCGAGAAGAAAGTCACGGTCAACTGTGTTGCCCCCGGTGGCATCAAGACAGACATGTACCACGCCGTTTGCAGAGAATACATCCCCGGCGGCGAAAAGCTCAGCGACGACCAAGTCGACGAGTACGCTTGCACATGGTCCCCACATGACCGGGTCGGTCAACCAGTGGACATTGCCCGTGTGGTGTGTTTCCTTGCATCCAAAGATGGAGATTGGGTAAATGGCAAGGTCATTGGTATTGATGGTGCTGCTTGCATGTAAGGGTTGCGCTGTATGAATTTAAAGAGTTCTTCTTGACACGTACACTCTCTATGCGCGCTTTGGGATATTCATAGCATATATGGGGCGTTCTGGCTCGTAGAGCGAAGAGTAAAAAATATCAAACACCTTTTTGGCACTTGGATTTAAAACCTCGCTCCCTGTGGTCCCTACGCGGTCCCATTCCGGATATCAAGTCAATGGCATGCGAGATGTCCGTGGTGTGGAGTTCTCGTGTGTCGATGTTGAAATTTATGTGGCGATGATAAGACTAGTGGTGATGTTGATGATGAGTTGTTATAGGCGTAGTGTACCAGACTTAGACCAGAACTTCTACCGTAAGGTTACCATGTAATGCACCACATTACTCGTCCCTCTTCACGTTCAGTATACGACTAAAGTTTACACTCTGACTCGAACTCCTATCACGACGCTATCCATTTCCAATCCTCGCACTCAAAGTTTGCATAGCATCGAAACTCGTTGCTCAAACCCTTGGAGTGCTTGATCTCATAGTCTGTTGTCTTGGTACCAATCTTGCCATATAGTTTCTCCGTGATCAAATTCTCCATGCGCTCGCCCGTGCAGACAATGAGTCGCAAGGCATCCTGCGTCCAAGATTTGGCTAGCCAGCGTACTGTTAACGCAGCTGGGAAAACGTCAGCATGTGCACGATCTTGGGCCTGGTGCTGTTGCTCCATGTACTGTACCTTTCGTCTGGCAATCTTGGCTTAGAAAGGGTGGGTCACAGATGATTGCATCGAACGAGGCCTTTAGTTCTGCTGGTAGTTGGATCGGCTTTTCAAAGTCATAGCGGACGAATTCTTTGAATACTGCGAATCGCTCGTCGTATTCCAGGAGGGTCATGTGCGGCCTGCACTTGATCTCGCCTGAAGCCTACCGGTATCCTGCCGTTAGCAGGGCAACTCAACAAAGGGAGAAGTAATTCTTACCAGTATATTTTTCAACTGGATAAACGCACTCGGGGCAGACACAACCGCTATACGCGTCTCGTCTGTGGCGCCGACCAAGAGTTGCCTTGCGAGCAGTGTAGCCGTCTCATCGCTATACCAGAACTGGCTGGCGTTCCAGTCCTCGGTGAATGCGTCCATGGACAATTTACCATCGAAGTCATCTTCCGCCTTGCCTTTTAGCTCTTCGAATTGCTTTTGGCGCGCATCTCGCTCGCCGTAAAATTCTTTAAGGGCGTCTAGTGCACTGCTTGAGAGCTGCCTTTCGTTGCTTAGCCACCATAATGTGGAGTTTGAGAACGGACGTACAGTGGCTCGTCGTCTTCCTCTACCAATGGCATTATGATATGCACTTGTGGGGAGAAATATCGTGGTATTGTGCCTGAGGAGTAGCAGTTTGGAGTGCCATTTGGAAGATGGGCGTTATCGATAAGAATCGCAACAGTGCCTCGGCAAGATGCTTATGGGAGCATCATCATGTCCCCGCGTTCTGTGATGTATGTTCATGCGTTTTGCTTTCAAAAGGCTGTATTCAGTCATGGCTGAGCCTTTGGTTCCTCTCCCTGTGATTGAGAAGCTCAGCAGTCGTGTTATCAGAGTTCTAGGAGGAAATCCGAGCAAGGTGAGTTATCGCTTGCAGTTGGTCATGGACGGAGCGTTAATAGGAACAGTTTACGCTACAGGGTGTGTGGTGTTGAATCGAACAATGTGGTATGTCGTGATGGTTAACAAGAGTGCAGGTACAAATACATATATTGTGGGAAATGGTTCACAGCGCATCCTCATAGATACTGGCGAAGGCAAGCCAGAATGGATCGCCTCCATCAAGTCCGTCCTGAAGAACGAGAACATCAGCATCGACAAAGCACTCTTGACCCACTGGCATCACGATCACATCCAAGGCGTTCCTGACCTCGTATCGCACTCGCCCAGCACTCAAATCTACAAGCACGAGCCACACGACGACTGGCTGGACATACGCGATGGACAAACGTTCAAGACAGACGGGGCAACACTGCGCGCCTTTCATTCTCCCGGCCACACGACCGACCACATGGCCTTCATTCTCGAAGAAGAAGACGCCATGTTCACCGCCGACAACGTCCTCGGCCAAGGCACCGCCGTCTTCGAAGACCTCGCCGCCTACATGAAGAGTCTAGACAGCATGTCGCACGCCTTCAGCGGCCGCGCCTACCCAGGCCACGGCCCCGTCATCGCCCACGGGCCCGCCAAAATCCTAGAATACATACAGCACCGCCAGCAACGCGAGCGGCAAGTGCTAGACGTCTTGGCAACCGAAAGACCAGGCGGGTGGACGAGTATGGATATCGTCAGCGTGATTTACAAGGACTATCCGCGCAATCTTTGGGAGCCGGCAGAGAGGGGGGTGCTGCAGATTTTGGACAAGTTGAAGGCAGAGGATAAGGTGAGGTATGATGAGGCCAAGGGGACGTGGGAGTTGAGTGGTAGGGGTAGGTCTAGTCTGTAGGATAGTCTAGGTAGCCAATGAGAAGGGTTCGTTTAAGTGAGGGAAAAACTTGAATAAGCGGTTAATGACACATGCCCCGCCCACACTCTTGTACATACGTAGGGAGTGCGGTTGTTGCAACCTGTGAGAGATGATTTTTCTTTCCCACCTCTACTTTTCTGTAGGCTATGTATAATTTAATTACAAAATTTGTCATCGAAATCTGACATTGTGCCAGAGTGGTTAATGGGTTAGACTTGAATCTCCATGTTCATGTCATCTAATGGCTTCGGCCTCGCAAGTTCGAATCTTGTCAATGTCGTTATCACGATTGTAACCATTCCAAACAACGACCCCAAGTTGGGGTCTGTTTTCTTTTTCTTTTTGCCTAGAAAAGAGGATGCGATGCGGCTCAAGCATTACTTTTTGCTCGGGATACATGATGATGGCTAAAGCAGGCTCAGGCACTTTCTTTTCGTCGCAACACGACGGTATCCTTTTTGCTGCTCTAGTAGGTAGTAGTCACTGTATTGAACATCTGGGGTTTCAGCACAATTACTATATTTTTGATAACTCTGTCTATAAGAATAGATCCACTGCGACAAGATTAAGTGAAGTCTATTCCTGCATTCCTAGTAGAGTCGATGTTGAATGAGACTAAGGTACTACATCCTGCCATTGGTACCACAAAAAGGTGATTAAAGAGTCTGGTGACAGCCATATGGTGGGGGTTGGGCAGGAAAACAGGACATGTCGCGAAAGGGGAGGAAGTTTGGCACATTTTGTTGATGGTTGTATATTGGATGGACAAGGATTCCTTGTGCTTGACAGAACAGCGTTGCTAGGTGGATTGGGTATGAGAGCGGGCTAGAATGGTAGGGGTGCAGTGTCTCGTAGACGGTGTGCGTTGGCACTCGCAAGGACGGATTCAGGGCCGGGTGCCTGTTTGATCAAAGCGAAGCAGTCGGCGATGGTGTGTATTGTATCTGCAAACTCAAATATGGAGGATCGACGAGCTTAAGATTGACTGGCAGCTACCCAAGCCAAATTGCCTGTTCTCAAGATGCATATTGTTCCATGTACAATATTCGCTCAAGTGGACGTGGGTGGACATGGTCTTTTCCCAAGGGCGATGTCTAGATACATAGTAGAGTACTCTACATGTGCTGTAAAAGACCGAGCAAGTGGGTCTAGCGAACAGGATCAACGTGACGCGCGCAGATCGAAAGCATCGCGCTCGTGTGGAGTGGAGTGACACGGGAAGAATTAAAAGGCGTGTTGCCAGCCCAACCTCAGATCTGTACCTACCCTAGAATCCGCCACTGCACGTGCGCGACAAGGACAAAAAGAGATGTAATTCCGGCAGCGGACAGCTTCGGCCAAGTCAGGTCGAGATGGTCCATCTCAAGTACACCGCGGTTTTATAAATGGATGGATAGAGAGCGGTGTCGCATGTAGTGTGGGGAAGGCCCTTCGCCGTACGCAGGCTGCCACGTCGCGGCGGATCAATTGCAGAGGCTGGGAAGGGGAGGTACCGGTAGTGCGTGAGAGACGGTCTAATGCAGGAACAAGACTCTTTCTTCCAGAAGCGCAATGCTCCGGCGTCTATACTCCTAGTAGAGAGGAAGATGGGGCATGGATGAGCGGTCTGAATAGCGCGCTTGATTGGCGGTCGGAGGGGACGAAGGCTACGGTTGAGGTATGACGCAGGATGATGGGGGGTGTCGCGGGTCGGTTGCTGCGTTGCTATGCGGGCCCGAGCGTTGCCGTGTTTACGGTTACCAGCCATCTTTCTCCCCAAGTCCCCCAGCCACGCCATACCCCAACCTCATCATTTTTCGCCAGCCAGCAAAAGTAATCGAGGCTGCAGAGAGAGAGAGAGAGAGAAGTCACATTCCAAGCTCCCCACTTTCACTCACCACCACGAGCTCACCCAATTTTTTTTTGGGTCTCGTCGCAACAGACATCTGACAAGTCTTTCATCGCAGAACACATTCCGACCGAAGAGCTGCCAGAGCCCACACCCATCCACAGACCACCATTCCGCGCAATTGACCCGCACGCCTGAGACTTTCACCACCGCCCACCATCCTTCTTCCTCTTCTATCCATATCTGGGAGAACGAGACACCGGCAAGCTACTGTCTTGAGTGCATTCCGCCGCTCATCTCTCCCGGCCCATTGGGGGCGCAGGGAACTACTCCTCCAGCCAGCCTAGGCAAGGCATCCCGCTGAAACAAAAACACATTCACAATGGCCGGCCTACGGTTCGCAGTGAGCATGCAACGTGCGTACCACGCTTCCATTGCAACGCTGGAATGAAGACTAACACGGCTCCAGGGTTGATACCGTTTCTTGGCTTTCACCATGTGCTCATGATACTCATAGCAGTCGCAATCATCCTACTCTGTACGTTGGAATGGAAGCATGCGTCGTGCAGCAGACACTAACCGCACACGCAGCATTATTACTGGCAGGATGCTCATCAACATCACCCTTGATACCCGGCATCTTCCTCATCTCCATGTGGTACGAAAAGTACACACCCACCTATGCGCCAGAACAAGTCGATCCTGGTGTCACACAAGCCATTGCCAACATCGTCGGCAACGCCCAGCTCGGCGTGCGCGTTGGCTACTTTGGCATCTGCATCAACAGAGACGGCGGTGGCTACATCTGCTCCAACAACGCAACTGCACTCGTTGACAATCTGTCGATCGATCAAGATCCGCTCAATCTTGTGTGGGTCGCGGCCACCTTCAAGGACGCCGTCGTCTTCCCCTATCTGCTCATCGTCGCCATCATCCTGGCCTTCTTCACCTTTATTCTCCTTGCCACCTTCCCTGGCTGGCACGAGGAGAGGGACGAGCGAACCGGATCCGATGTCGACGTCAAGCCTTTTCCATCAAGACCTGTGTCGCAAGTCGCTCTCGCACTCATCTTCACCTCGTCCATCTTCGTCCTCGTCTCCGTGCTCTGGCAGCACACCGCCTCAGTCGCCGCCTCCACGATTGCGCAAGACTTGGGTAACGGAAGTGTCAAGTCGGGAGTCGGTACATCAGCCATGGTACTCGGTTGGTTCGGTTTCGTCCTGCTCATAATAGTGACCATCGGATTGCTCGTCATGATTCTCAGCATCGTCATTCTCGACCGCCTGACCGATGACTAATCGAACCATTAGGCATCAATTGAACGATGGGCGACCATCGCGCATGCGTTGTTTGTTTGTTTCGCTGGCGGTTTTTGTTTAATTTTCGCTACCGCATGTACTTACTTGCCTTCATCCTTTCTCCACTTCGACCTACGCTATAAGGATCGATTACATACCCTTGTTTTTTTGGACGCGAAGAGAAGAATATATCTGGCATACTTGGCGTTTGTGGACAGTCTGTTAATGCATTGGAGCGACCGGATGAGCCCCGACTTTGATCGAGAGGCGGGACCTGGGAGAGGTGAGGGCACCGGCACCTGGATGGCAAGGAAAAGGCTTGGGAACGATGATGTTGTAAAGCGGGAAAACGCCTTGAAGGACTGTATTTATGTAGTAAATGAAAGAATGAAGAATGTACGAGTCAAAGACTGCAAATCACAGGCAATCGGAGTCCGATGACCGCCGGCTACTTTTCGCACATCTGGTTGACGCCATGCTGAAAGGGGGTTAGTGCATTCTGTCTGGCGGAGTAAATTGGATTGTTGGTTGGAGGGGCTAGGGGACTTTTTTGTCGGCGGTGCTCACCTGCTCTCGCTTTGGAGTCTTTTCTTCATACTTTCTGACTCCTCACCTTTCACCTTTCTTCTCTCTTTCTCTCTCTTCACTATACTACGAGTCACGAGTAGAAAACAACATACCTTGATTGGCACTCGTGAGATAATAGACAATCAGCCACAATGTCTACATACGCCCTGCCCAAGTCTCACCAGGACGTAGGCGTACCCCGCCACATTGCCTATTAGACTCACCATTGCTGACCAAAAAAAAAAAAACAGCTCATGGAGAAGTCCTTGGTAGAGACTGACCAGGAGGTCGCTCAGATCATGGTTCGCCTCTCCCAACTTCTTGACCCCGAATAAATCCAGAGCTTGCCTAACACCCTGTCAAAGGAGAAAGAAATCCAACGCCAGCGCGAATCCATTCTCCTCATCGCCTCTGAGAACGTCACCTCGCGCGCCGTCTTCGATGCCCTGGGCTCCCCCATGTCGAACAAGTACTCCGAGGGCTACCCCGGTGCCCGTTACTACGGTGGCAACGAGCACATTGACTCGATTGAGCTTTTGTGCCAGGAGCGTGCGCTCAAGACATTCGGCCTCGACCCGGAGCAGTGGGGTGTCAATGTTCAGTGCTTGAGTGGTAGCCCGGCCAATTTGCAGGCGTACCAGGCGATTATGCGTCCGCATGATCGGTTGATGGGATTGGACCTGCCGCACGGTGGGCATTTGAGCCACGGGTACCAGACTCCCCAAAGGAAGTAAGCATATTCCCATCGCGGAGCTATCCTGCACTGGTCTTATGACAAGAAAACACTGCAAGTAATAGGGTATCCTAACAAGGACTCAGAATCTCCGCAGTATCAACCTACTTCGAGACCTTCCCCTACCGCGTCAACCTCGACACTGGCCTGATTGACTACGACCAACTCGAGCAAAACGCCCTCATGTACCGCCCCAAAGTTCTCGTCGCCGGCACCTCTGCCTATTGCCGCGAAATCGATTATGCTCGCATGCGGCAAATCGCCGACAAAGTAGGCTGCTACCTGCTCATGGACATGGCGCACATTTCCGGGCTCATTGCCGCCGGTGTCAACAAGTCGCCCTTCCCCTACTGCGACATTGTCACCACCACGACCCACAAGTCACTGCGCGGTCCCCGCGGCGCCATGATCTTCTTCCGCAAAGGCGTCCGCAAAACCGACCCCAAGACGGGCGCGCAAACCCTCTACGACCTCGAAGGCCCCATCAACTTCTCCGTCTTCCCCGGCCACCAAGGCGGGCCCCACAACCACACCATCACGGCCCTGGCCGTGGCCCTCAAGCAAGCCCAATCCTACGACTTCAAACTCTACCAGCAACAGGTGATTAAAAACGCAAAGGCGCTCGAGGTCGCCTTCAAGGAAATGTCGTACAAGCTCGTCACAAACGGCACAGACAACCACATGGTCCTCCTCGACCTCAAGCCCTTCAGCCTCGACGGCGCCCGCCTCGAAGCCGTGCTCGAACAAGTCAACATCGCCTGCAACAAGAACACGACGCCCGGCGATAAATCCGCCCTCACCCCAATGGGCATTCGCATCGGTGCGCCCGCCATGACGAGCCGCGGTCTGGGCGAGGAGGACTTCAAGCGCATTGCCTCGTACATTGATCGTTGTGTCAAGCTCTGCCAGCGGATCCAGGCGGAATTGCCCAAGGAGGCGAACAAGTTGAAGGATTTCAAGGACAAGGTCAAGTCGGGCCAGGTGCAGGAGATTGCAGACTTGAAGAAGGAAATTGCCGCCTGGGCTGTTACCTTTCCTCTGCCGATTTAGCTGAGCTGTGGAACGGTCACATGAGTCTGGGTGGCCTTTTTTTTTTCTTCGTCCTTCTCACTTTGTTTTTCGAGGGCTGCGATCAGGGCGTTTGGCTTGCATGGGCGTTTTCTCTTCTTTTCTTCACACGGGAGATTTCTAAACGAAAGTTGGGGTGGGGTGCATGCGTGGTGGAGGTTTTCAACAAAACACGAGGTGACAGACAAGTAGGGTGGGGAAGGAGGGGCTTTTATGCCATGATGTGTGTATGACTGGATTGGCAACGGAAGAGTGAAACGCGTATACTTGGCGTGTATTGTGGGAATGACGAGGGATTGACGAGGTTTTCAACACTCCATGTATCACCTGAATGAAATTTTCCACGGGGGAGATTGATGACGACGACGGGAGACTCGGAGATGAAATGTATAGATGAATGCATGCATGCATACATGGAATACCATTTCATACAAACAAACAATCCCCCGTGCAGCCATATATACATTCTCGATCCATGTCCTTTCCTATCCATCCGCATCCCCCTAAACAGCCTTCCAGCTAATCCCAACCCGCACCTGCCCCTCCCCCCCGGCACGCACCACGCTCTGCGCCGTCCCCCGCGGCACCCTCTCCGCACTCCAGCGCGAGCTGCCACCAACCACCAACAAGTCGTTGTCACGCGTGAAGCCGGTGGCGGCAGAGACGCTGTGGGAGCAAGAGAGAGCGCCAGCGAGGATGGCGCAGGGGCCTTTGGAGGAGGAGAGGGTGAAGGGGCCGGAAGCTGTGTCTGTGTCGGAGGGGTTGGAAGGAGGGGATGAGGAAGAAGAAGAGACAGGTGTAGCGGTAAAAGTAGCACAACTGCCCGAGGTAAACCACGTCCCCTTTGTGATTATGCATCCTTTTTCCTCGCCATCTAGCACAACCGTTAGGAAACCACGGCCGGAAAACGGGGTCCTGGGTTCTGGCTCCGCGGTGCTGGTTGGGAGCGGTGCGCCCGTCGTCGTCGTTGACGGTGGCTCGGCGCCCGAGCCAGGGCGCTTGGGGAGATAGCGAATGCCCGTTGCGGGACAGGAACTCTTTGTCCCATCTGGATCGGCGGGGACAAACTCACCCGACTGCAGCGGGCCGCGGACGTCGAAATGGTACCAAATCTCGTTGAGGGCATGGGCTTTGCAGCCCAGAGTGACGGCCACGCCGGGCCGGTGTTGTTGGATTGCGGCTTGGATTTGGGAAAAGGTGTAGGTCTGGGTGGTGCTGGGCGTGATGCCGGCGTCTGCGAGCCAGGTATAGCTGGGAAGGGCGTGGAAGAGGTCGACGGCGGTTTGGAAGTAGTCTACGACTTCCTCGGTGGGGGTGTGGTTGGGGTAGCAGTGGGGTTCGAGGGTGGAGATGCAGGTGCCGTGTTTGGACCATTCGTGTTGCCAGAAGGATTCGTCGTCGCCTTTGTAGTCCTTCCAGTAGGTAGACATGTAGGAGAGGAGGGTTGGGGAGGCGGCCGAGGTGGAGAGAATCGAGGTGATGTTTTTGTAGATGCGCGTGGGGTCGCAGTTGGCTTCGTAGGTGCCGTCGCAGCGGTCGGGCCTGTTAGGAAAGAGGGTCAGATGAGTGAGTTCTCTGGAGGTTGGAGAGGGAAAGGAAACTTATACCATAGTCCGTGGAGGGTCCAGCTATCGTCTGGCCCTGTGGCAGGCGCCGTGTCCCAGAACTGGGTTTGCAGGAGCTGTCCACCTGGGGCGTTGAAGCAGCAGAGATTGTCCACAACAGTCGTGTTGTGACAGCTCAGCTGCGGCATGGGGCAGTTTTGCGTAAAGTCTCCCGCCGCTTTGCTTCCACTCCCCAGGAGCATCTGCGCACCGCCCATGGCGAGTTTGCCAAACGTGCGTATCGAGGGAATCATGCTATCCCCTTGTTTGGCCTTGTCCAGAACCAACGACGGAATCGCAGCATTATGTACTCCCTCTCTCGCCGCCTGCGCAATGGAGCCCGGCATGGCCGGCATACTTATTTACAGCGTAGGTACGTACACGACCAATCTTTGTGCGTGCTCTACAGCCAATCCGTCCGTCCCCTGCGTCTCGAATCTGGGTAATCTCCCTAGCGGTGGTGCCAGTGTGGAACAAGCACGACCAAGCTTCACAACCTGATGGCTACTCCCGTAACGGCAACTCTTGATTCTACGCTCTCACAATGAAGCGGCTGATTCGCTAATGGTCGAGATTGGTGTCTACAATCACCTTCCGGAAGAGGAAGAGTGCGAGAGGCGGCGACTAGTTTATGGTGCTGGAGGCCGGCTGGATAAGTCTGTGTGCTTTGTAGATGGTGGAGTCCGACCAGGTATGTCTTTCGTGAGGTAACAAGTGGATGAGAAGAGCGGTGGACAAGGAGCATGGAAAGAGAAGGTTGCAAAGGGGAGTAGTAGATCTTATACTCTAGGCTCCAAAGTAGGCTATGAAAGGGAGAAGCAAGAAGGCCAGCCACTCACTCAGCAATCACATTACGCCGAGCTGGGCCAGGTCAGGCGGGTTGTATGAGGCGTGTGATGTGCATGGTAGGCTGGTAGGTAGGCTGCATGTGTAGGTAGGATGCAAATAGCCATGGGAGGGCGACCACTCAGATAGGCAGGCCGGGGGAATGTGGACAGCTTGATAAGGGCACGTGCAGATTGTACCTGCGATTACGCGTTGGACCCTGGATCTTGTCTGACACGCTAGGGGTGGACACTAGAGTGTTTGCGGGCTAGCGGCAACAGCCCTCCGTTGCACCCCGAGCACGAGTGCATTGTCACTTGCATGTCCTGATTGCTTCTCCAAAACACATTGCTGAAGGAATAGTGGTTTCTCTTCGAGTCCCACGTCAGTAGCCATTGGTATACATGAGACCTTTTTCTACCAGCACTCTTCGTGCTTGCTCAGCTTACAATCCTGATCCTCCTTCTACCATGTACTTGTGCCTGTGAAACGTGACGATGAACTTTCCCTATTCGAAAGATGATAGTACATCTCAGCTCGGCGCTCCATGGCTCGAGATGTTGGAAACAAATGCAGCAACGGAGTCTTCTACAAGGACAAGTGTATACTCACAGTGGCCAACTGCCAGTATCATTACCTAGTCTGCGCGGTCGACAGCACAAAGAGGGTCCATTCATCGCGGGGCGTCTTGTTGGCGCGTTTTGCATGTTTACGGGGTCCGTGCACACCACAACATGCGAGCCCGCACTCGCACCTCACCCAAGACGACATCGCAAACGGCGGCCAGCACAGCTCTAACCGCTCCTAACCCTCCAGTTTGACAAGACAAACACAAAAATGGCTTCCCTATCGCCGCGCAAGTCTACACGCGCCGCCGCCACGCGCAGAAAGGCGCCCATCATCGACAATTCGGACGAAGAGGAAAACCGCACTCCGAGCCCACAAGTCAAGGCTGAAGAAGAAGAAGAAGAAGAAGAGGAGGAATTCACACCTGCACCCGCACCGCTCAAAACGGGAAGAGGCCGAGGTCGTCCACGGAAAGCTGCAGCAAAGGATGAAGATGCCATGCCCAAAGCGGCGACGAGACGACGGACGCGGGTTACAGAGTCGGCCGAGCCCTCGCAATTGCTCACTCCTGCAAAGGAAAGCACCAGGGCGTCATCTCCGGTGAAAACCGTCCCCAAGAAGCGCGGGCGCAAACCCAGGATCTCAGTGGCCGAGAGTGTGGCAGACAGCGTTGCAGAGGAGGACGCATCGCAGTTGCTTACACCAGCAGCTTCTGCCTCGCCTGAAGCCTCGCGAATAGAGGAGAGCAGTGAACACACACTTGTGCCGGGCACACCGCTTGCAGACATCACGAGCAGCAGCATAAACGAGCAGACTCCTGTGCAGCCATCCGCGGAACAGTCCGTTGCGGATAGCAGTACAGCATTGGACGACGATGGGGAAAGGACCCCAAGGGCAGGCGGGACTCCAGAGCCACTCGCAGAGGTTACACAAATTAAAGACTCACGTCAATCACTTGAACCAGAGGCGACGGTCAAGCCAGAGGCACCAACAGAGCCACAGGCGGGCATGGCCTACAATGTCAGCTCACAGCAACCGCTCAAGGAGACGCCAGCCGAGATTGTCGCAAAGAGGCGGGCGGCGGCGATGCCAGTCTTGCACGACGAAAATGCGCCAAAACAAAGGACCGTCATCACCTGGCTGGTTCTCAACAACTTCAAGAGTTATGCCGGCCGACAAGAGGTTGGCCCTTTCCATGCCTCCTTTTCAGCCGTAGTAGGACCCAACGGATCTGGCAAGTCCAACGTGATCGACTCGCTGCTCTTCGTCTTCGGTTTCCGTGCGAGCAAGATGCGACAAGGCAAGCTTTCGGCCCTGATTCACAACTCGTTTGCCTATCCAGACCTGGACTTTTGCGAAGTCGAAGTTCATTTCCAAGAAGTCAAGGACCTGCCTGCTGGCGGATGTGAGGTCATTCCAGACTCACAGCTGGTCATCTCACGGCGAGCCTTCAAGAACAACTCGAGCAAGTACTACATCAATGGCAAAGAGTCCACCTTCACTATAGTCACAACACTACTCAAAGACCGAGGAGTCGATCTCGACCACAAGCGCTTCTTAATCTTACAGGGTGAAGTTGAGTCTATTGCGCAGATGAAGCCAAAGGCTACGGGTGAACACGACGATGGCCTGCTCGAATATCTAGAAGACATTGTTGGGACATCAAAATACAAAGCGCCCATCGAAGATACTGCCGCCGAACTCGAGACGTTGAACGAGGTCTGTCGCGAAAAGAACGCCCGGGTGCAACACGTGGAGAAGGAGAAGAGTGGACTGGAAGAGAAAAAGGACAAGGCTTTGGCATACATCCGCGACGAAAATGAATTGGCCACAAAGCAGTGCACACTCTATCAAATCTACATCTCCGAGTTCGACGATCACATCCAAGTCACCCAAGAGTCCGTCAACGAACTACAAGCTCATCTTGACGAGGAGATAGCGAAGCACCAAGGCAACGAAGAGGGTATCAAAGAGCTCGAACAGCAGTACAGGAAGGGTGCCAAGGGCTGTGAACAGCTCGAGAAGAAGAGCCAGGAGCTGCAAAAAGAAGTTGCTCGCATTGACAAAGAGACTGTCAAATTCGAGGAGAAGAAGAAGTTTCTGGCTGGCAAGCAGAAGAAGCTTGAGAAGACCAAGGAGACGAGCAGCTACGGCAGGTCCGAGGCTGATACACTGGCAAAACAATACGCTGCGGATCTGGAGCGCTACAATGAGGAGATTGCCGAGCTCGAACAAAGCATGAAGATTGAAGAAAAAGAACTGGAATCTGTGCGCCGCAGCCTTGCGGGCAAGACACAAGGTCTCTCTGACGAGATTGCAGCGAAGCAAAAGTCTCTCGAGCCTTGGAGTGCCAAGATCAACGAGAAGCAGTCAGCTATTGCGGTTGCGCAGAGTGAACTCGACATCTTGCGTGAGCGCGAGAACGCTGGAGCCAAGGGCATCGCCAGTATCGAGGAGAAGATAGCCGGCCTGGAGGCATCGAAAGAGGCCAAAGCTGCAGAACTGGCAGAGTGTAAAGCTGAGAAAAAGCGCATTGCAAAAGAGTTACAGAAGGTTCAAGCCCAGCTCGAAGAACTCTCGCAAAGGGAGCCAGCTGTACGGTCGAAGCTGTCTGGCGCTAGGGCAAAGGCAGACGAAGCGCGTGCTAGTTTGTCTTCTGCGCAAACCCAGGGCAACGTCTTGTCTGGTCTCATGCGTCTCAAGGAGTCTGGTCGAATTGAGGGCTTCCATGGTCGGCTTGGTAATCTCGGTACTATTGACCAAAAGTATGATGTTGCCATCTCCACGGCTTGTCCACAGCTAGACAATATGGTTGTGGACACTGTAGAATCTGGTCAGCAGTGTATCGAGTACTTGCGGAAGAACAATCTCGGTCGCGCCAATTTCATTCTCCTTGATCGCCTTGCAAAGCGGGATATGTCGCCAGTACAAACACCTGAGAACGTGCCCCGCCTTTTCGATCTTGTGAAGCCCAAGGATGACAGGCTCAAACCTGCTTTCTTCCAGGTCATGACCAACACCCTGGTAGCCGAGGACCTGGACCAAGCTGAACGCATCGCATATGGCGTCAAGCGCTGGCGAGTTGTTACGCTCGATGGAAAGCTCATCGATACGGCTGGTACCATGAGTGGTGGTGGCACTCGCGTTGTCAAGGGCAAGATGTCTTCCAAGTTGGCCTCAGATGTCTCCAAGGACCAAGTTGCAAAGCTCGAGCAAGATCGGGACATACTCGAACAGACCTTTGTAGAGTTCCAACAAGAGCAGCGGGAACTAGAGACCGCGCTGCGGGATCTCAATCAGCAACTACCCGAGTTTGACACCAAGGCCCAAAAGCTAGCGCTAGAGTTGGAAAGCTACGACCGCAACCTCGCGGATTGCCAACGACGCATTGAAGAACTTGGTGCAGAGCAGTCATCGACGAAATCAGACAAGGGCCGTGTGACTTCACTGGAGAAGACCATAGCGTCGCTCGAACAGGAGGTCGCCAAACTCCACACTGAGACTGCGGATGTCGAAGCAGAGATCAAGGAGCTTCAAGACAGGATCATGGAGATTGGTGGTGTCAAGCTACGAAGTCAAAAGGCCAAAGTCGATGGCTTGAAGCAACAAATTGATACATTGACGGATCAAGCCTCGTCCGCCGAAGTCTCAAAGTCGAAAGAGGACAAGCAACGAATCAAGCATGAAAAGGCACACGCAGACGCCATCAAGGAGCTTGAGAAGCTCGCAATAGAGGCCGAGAAGATCGAAGAGGATATGGCTGCCCAGCATCGCGATGCTTCTGGCATAAGGAGACAGGCCGAGGAGGCGCAAGAGGTATGTTTGTACAGGAAGGATACCACTTGGACGTTGCTAACATGGTGATAGGCGCTCGAAACACAAAAAGAGGAACTTGAGGTCCTGAAGAAGGAGCTCGATGAGAGGACGGCCGAGCTCAATGAGACCCGTGCTGCCGAGATTGAGATGCGGAATAAACTCGATGAGGGCAAGAAGAGTCTGAGCGAGTTCCAAAAGAAGCAGGCCTACTTCTGTGACAAGATGAGCAAACTAGTCTACCAGAATGTGACGTGAGTAATGGCAGCCCTGTGAATATACAACTTCTAATGTTCTTCAGCGATCTCGGCGAAGCACAGGAAAGCGAGGAAGGCCTCCCTTCGTTCAGCAAAGACGAGCTCCAGGACATGGACAAGTCCGAACTCAAAGCGGCCATCGCCTCGCTAGAAAAGAAGAATGAGTCTACCCAAGTTGACCTCTCTGTTCTAGAGGAATACCGCAAGCGCGTCGAAGAACACGCCGCACGATCGGCCGACCTTGCCGAAGCTACCAAGATGCGCGACATTGTAAAAGCAAGAGGGATCGATCTCAGCAACCGAAGACGCGACGAATTCCAAACCGGCTTCGACCTCATCAATGCCCGGCTGAAAGAAATGTACCAAATGATCACCATGGGCGGTCTCGCTGACCTCGTTTACGCCGACAGCACCGACGCCTTCCTCGAAGGCATCTCCTTCTCCGTCAAGCCGCCCAAGAAGTCGTACAAGATCATTTCGAACCTGTCTGGCGGGGAGAAGACGCTTGCCTCGCTCGCCCTCGTCTTTGCGCTGCACCACTACAAGCCGACGCCGCTGTACGTCATGGACGAGATTGATGCGGCTCTCGACTTCCGCAACGTCAGTATTATTGCGGGCTATATCAAGGAGCGCACGCGCAACGCCCAGTTTGTGGTGATTTCGCTGCGCAATAATATGTTTGAGCTGGCGGCGCGGTTGGTGGGTGTGTACAAGGTCAATCATATGACCAAGAGCGTTACGATTGAGAATAAGGATTATATCACGGCGAGGGCGTAGGAGGGGTTGGATTGAAATGGGCGGGGAGGCCGAGTCAGTGGGCAGGCGGTTACAAAGGAAATGCTGATATTTTGGAGGAGGCAAGGAGGTGCGGTGTTTTGACAATGGGCGTTTAAAGGCAGGAAGAATAAGATACCTGGGATTGGACAGTCAGGGCAAGGTATGGAATCTTTGAAGGTTCCAGTGGGGGGTGGGGTTTGTTGTTGGCATGACTACATGATGGCTATTGGCATGGCCTTTTGACAATGTTGACAATGAGTGTGAATGAGTAGTGTTTAGGTGATGATATGCGTATATATGTCTTGTCTTCGACTACTTCAAATCATGCGACTCGGCGCAAGCAGGGTCAACAGCATTAGCACCAGTGCCAGCACTTGGATGCTTTGCATGCGTGCAAACATAGGCATATCCAGGCTGATGGCTTGGCAGACTCAGCAGACTCACACTATCATACTTTTTGGTCAAGGGGCGGAGAGGGAGCGTTGAACGTCGTGAATGTCATGGCTCTTGTCTCAACCAAGTTAGCGTCAAAGTGGCGGCGTCCATGCCTCGGCTTCCTACGGGTTACCACCCAGTGTCAGTAAGCGAAAGACACAACAGTGAACAGCTTTGGGGGGCGTGGAACACGGTGTATACTCTGGATACACTTGGGTTGTATACTCGATATATACAAAAGAAGGCCTCAATCGCAAACATCCCCCCCTCCACAACAGCCCCAAACCCCGCCATCAACCACAACAAACAATGCTCCTCTCACGACCCACCCCGCGGCTCCTCCACCGCATACTCCAACGAAGAACGTACGCGACATCTGAAGCCCCTTCCCTCTCCGTCTCCACCGTACCAGCACCGCACTGCGGCAGCATACGCATTCTCTCGCTCAACCGGCCCGCAGCGCGCAATGCGATTTCGAGGCAATTGCTCGCCGAGCTGAACCACCAGGTCAGTAGTATATACGATGAAGGCGAGGGTGGGGCCACGCGCGCCCTGGTGCTTGCGAGTGAAGTGGATTCTAGTTTTTGCGCAGGCGCAGACTTGAAGGAAAGGGCTACGTTTACGCAGGAGGAGTGGGTTGTCCTGTTTTTTTTTTTTTGGAACTCCTCATTTCCAACACGCTTTCAATAGCTAACACAGGATCGCCCAAAAAAGCACCGCAAACTTCCTCACCTCCCTCCGCAACACCCTAACCTCCATCTCCCGCCTCCCCATCCCCACCATCTCCGCCCTCGCCGCCCCCGCATACGGCGGCGGCCTCGAACTAGCCCTCACCACGCACCTCCGCGTCTTCGGCTCGACCACCGTCGTCGGCCTGCCCGAAACCCGGCTCGCGATCATCCCCGGCGCAGGCGGCACCTACCGTCTCCCCGCGCTCATTGGGCTCTCGCGCGCCCGCGACATGATTCTCACGGGCCGGCGGGTGGCCGCGCCCGAGGCCTACTTCCTCGGTCTCTGCGACCGGCTGGTCGAGATTGGGGAGGAGGAGGCGCAGACGCAGGGGGCGGCGCGTAAGAAGGTGTTGGGTGAGGCGGTGCGGCTGGCGAGGGAGATTTGTGAGGGTGGGCCGGTGGCGATTCGGGCGGCGTTGCAGGCGGTGGAGGGGTGTGCGGCGGGGGAGAGGGCGGAGAATGCGGCGTATGGGGTTGTGGTGCGGACGAGGGATAGGGATGAGGCGTTGGTTGCGTTTGGGGAGAAGAGGAAGCCGGTGTTCAAGGGGCAGTGATTGATATCACCACCATCATTATTCTCATTTGTTCTCATATCCCTAGCCTACCATGCAATGCACCAAAACCCCACCACCAGCCTTGCCCCACAACAACAACTACAACACCACCCCCCCTCCTCCCTTTTACATCCTACTCTTAATCTCCTCCAACAAGCTCGCCAACTCCCCCTTGTCCGCCTCCTTGGTCGGCCACGAAATCCCCAACCCCTCGTCCGCACTCGGCTTCGGAATCAGATGAAAATGCACATGATCGACCAACTGATGGGCCGCGCGCCCGTTATTCTGCAGCACGTTGTAGTCGACCAGGCGCTGTGCTTGTGCAATCTTCTTCGTTACGGAGAGGATCTCTGAGAGCTGGTCGTCGGGTATGTCGTGGAGCTTTGCGCCGTGGTGTTTGGGGATTATGAGCTGGAGGAGGTGGTGGGGGGGTGTTTGTTAGTAGGGTGGGGTGGTGAGGGAGGGGGAGGGGGAGATGTACAGAGTGACCGCGACTCAAGGGGCCGATGTCGAGAAAGGCAAGTGTTTTTTCACTTTCGAAGATTTTGAGCGAGGGGATTTCTCCTGGGGGGCGGGCATGGCAGGGTCGTGTTAGTTCGGTTGTGATTGTCTTGTTTGCGTGTTTGGCGCCGTGCCCCCGGTAGATGGGAGGGCATGGGCCGGAGGGGAGCCGTGGCCGGCTTACCTTTGATGATCTTGCAGAAAATACAGGCGGCGCTGGACATTGTGGTGCTCGGTGCTTGGGTGGTTACGCGGTGATGTGTGTGTGTGGTCTGGTGGTGGTGTTTATTGGTGAGAGGGCGGGGGTTGGGGAGAGAGGGCGGGTGGGACGGGATGGAAAGTGGGGGGTTGTAGTTACATAGTTACTAACGTTAGTTACGTTACTCGGTCCCGTTGGCCGTTGATTGAATTCGCAACACGGATCCGCCGTGTGAACGCTTCTGTTTGGCTGCGGAAGTGTGTCGACAGGCCTTGCTTTTCTGTAACAGGAGGAAAGATGGAAGATGCTCTTCCAGCCTGTGTGTTGTTTGTTGCTGGCTTTGTACTTGAGCGGGCTGGGTTCGATGGTGATGGTATACGGTAGGCTTTTCGGAAGAGTGAAGAAACGCTCAGCAGTTTTGAAGCATGTCTAGTCTTCAACCCGTCTTTCTTTTTTCTAATGAAATGGCTTTACTTTCTAAGGTTATTTGCCTTGCATACTTGACAACTTTCACGCTGTTTCTCTTGTTGCTATTGCTACTCGTCGCACACCTAACTATTCCCCAGCCGATTGAACATGCATGTCGACCACAAACTCATTCACTTACTACCAATACATGCAGCACTATCGGATTCCACAATCAGCTACACAGACATCCTTCTCAAAACACTTATTTTCATTCATTCGCAAACTTCGGTCCATCAAATCTGCACAGTCTCCAAAACTTCACACAAGACCACTCGATCCCCTCCCCGATCCCCTCCACGCAATCATCCACAGATCCCCCTACCCAGTAAAATTCCCAATAAAAACCACAAGAATCGCACAATACGCCGCACTTGCCGCAAACAACTCATGCCGCGCCGCCCGCGTCAGCAACGACATGGCCGCACTAAACAGCAACGTAAAGACCATGAGCACGCCCACGGCATTGAACGTATTATGCGTGTTTGCATTCCCCGATCCCGCTGACAACGCGGACACTAGCAGTCTATCCAGTGTCGCATTTGCATGTACACCAGTGCTGTTCAGCAGGGCATTCGCAATGCTCGTGGGATGACTGGCAATGTCACCGCCACCGCCACTGCCACCGGTGATTCGGTACATGACTACGACGGGAACGACAAGGAGACAGAAGATTACAAAGGTGATGAGGATGTTGACGAGCTTGTCGATGCGCGTGCTGCTGTAGTAGGAGATTGTTGGGTCCGTGGTTTTGGCCTGGAGTTCTGGGGTACGCAGGAGGGGCTGGGCTTGGTGTTAGTTGGTTGTTTGGAGAGAGGAAGGTTGGAAGAGGGGTTGAGGTGGTTGGAAGGTAGTGGGATGAAGCAGTACGGCTGAGGGAAGAGGTAGTGACAGTGCTAAAATTCTAATGAATTGACTGGTTTCCGGGTGGAAGTGAACATGGAATTGACCAGGCCATGCATACCACAACGACTCCTATTCCCATCCTAACCACCTCCTCCATCCACGCAAAAAGAAAAGGACAAAGAAAAAGAAAAGAAAACACCATCATACCTGCAGCGGCGGGGTCTTCAGCCCAAACACCTTTTTAAGCGCCTGATCCACACGCCCAATACTCGACTCCACGCCCCCATCAAACGTCGCCCACTCACGCCCACCCGTCAGCGAAACCACGTCCTCTTTGCTGCGTATGGCGTCCATTGGCGCGTCCATGAGCGGCTTCTTGTTGTTGTGGTAGCGCCGGACGCTGCGGTAATTGCGGTCAGACGGCTTTTGAAAGGATTCCAAGGTGCGGGATTTGATAAGTATGTCGTCTACGCAGGGTGAGTATGAATACACTTCATCTTTCTTATCCTTTGTCATTTGCTCATCGTCTTTTCAACCGTTTGACTCCATGCAAGAATAGTGCTCGGCAGACTCACCATATTCAATCAACTTCTCCTTGATCTCACGCAGGACTACCCTGCGCGTCCGGGTCCCAGGCAAGTCACTGCTGCAGCTGGAATCATAGTCTCGGGATCGCAGACGGTTGACGTCGACTTCATAGTCGTTCCAGTCGATTTCATCGAGTTCGTTTTCGAGGCAGCGGAGTTCGTCTTGCAAGTCAAGGAGGACGCGGGAGTGGAGATAGCTGTAAGACCGGTAGAGTGAAAAGTTTGCTTCGCTGGCTTGGAAGGCGGCGAGTTGGGGGAAGCCTCTGGGGGTATTTTCCACTGGGCGATTTGGCGGGTTAGCTGTGGGCCGGTGTCTGGCACGGCTTTGAGCAAGTTGGGCTTACATTTTCGGGTCTTCGTGTAAGTGACTGCTGCGGGTTCCGGATCTGACCGAAAGGGTGAAGTTATTCGCTGTAGAAAGTTGGGCTTGATTTTTTTGGAATTGTCTGACGTCGTCTTAGCATGATTTCGTGACGATGCAATGTTGCGGCCCCCATTTGTCCCCTGTCAGATATTCCTGCTACTCTTGCGGCTACAGCTTTGCAACAGGAAGAGGCAGGATAATAGTAGGAGCAGGCGACTGAGTTGAACCATGTAGCTAGCGTCCATGTGTGCAGGATGCCTTGGGGGCCAGAATCGCGGGACATGTTCACTTACGAGGCTGTGCACTCTCAACATCGACTGAGCTGGGACACTCCGACGACCGTATCGAAGACCCTTCATCATCTGCTCTTTCAACTACGACGTCTCCTGTCAGTGTAGTGTCGGTGTTTGTTGGTGATGCAGGCGTTTCAGACATCTTGTCATCGGTAAAGGTGTCGTCGGTCATGGTACGTAGAGGAGGGGCCATTTTGGCAAATTATTCGCACGCAGCTCAGGTAAGATGGAGTGAGTTAGGCAATGCGAGTGGCAAGGCCAACAAAAGTATGGAAGATGGGGAGATCCTTGCACATAAATTCACATATGATTGCAATGACAAAGTATACAATGCGTGGCTCATAACACTCTGGCTCATGAAGCTTTGAGGCGGGTGAGCCGTCAATGTAATAACCACCGCAAGTATGGTGAGTAAACCAAAAGGGTAAGAGGATCATTGCTGTCTTCCCGCAGTCACAGCCACCCAGCCTGAGTACTACATACACGATTGGTTCTCATGATTTTGACCATGGTCATTCCGGTGAGCTCAGCCACAGCCAATGTAACACGTCACAATTCTCAGGCGGGTCGCTCCATCTTCAACACCCCATCGCGGTACCACTTGCCCTTGTTGTGTACTGCCTTCTTCTCCTCGTCCCAGAGCTGAAAAACTGCAGTGGCTTTGCTCTCGCTGTATCTTCCTTTGTGGATCTTGAAGATGCCCATGTCGCGTACCCCGTTTTCTACAACGGACATGTGCACTGTGTCGCCCTTTTTGAAAAGCGTGCCCTGCTGTGGTATCATTGAGCGTAAAACTTGAAGAATGGAGAAAAGCGCTTACCATGAGGGCGTTGACATCGTTCGCTACGCCGGACTTTTGCATGCATTCATCGCTATCATCGGATAGAGAATCCTGATGCTCATCCTGCAGCTTATCATCAGCTTTGCCACACAAAGCTAAGGGTCCAGATTTTACTTGCCTCGATTGCCTCCTGCGCGGGCTGGTCCTCTGTTTTGCTCGTCGACATGTTGGCTGGAGATGTGGTAGATTGAAACGATAGGAGAGCCTTGTGTGTGGTGCCTTTCAAGGCAAGAAACTACCTATTGATATAGCCAAGAGGATGTCATCACCAGCTTCCCAGTCCATAATTTTTACCTTGCAGCCCCAGGCAGCAGAAGGTTCACCGGTGTACGCTCAACAGGTTGCAGGGGGTTCACGACATGCATAGCCGCTCCTTTGAGTTCTGGCTGAAGAATCTCACCATGTCGGCCCCCCCCAAATTACTGCCTTGCTGACAGAAATGGACAATGCGACACTGCCTTCAAGCCATTGCGCTTAGTACTTGCATGAAGTGCCAACTTCAATCCGCAACATGCCCATCGTATTGGTGTGAGTATGCCATGTTCGGCCCCCAAACGTCAGATTTCAAGGCAACGACGGCTGATGGGCGGGTCGTTAGCTGCATGCGTGGCTGACTGCGCACTCTTGCCGCCATCTGGCATGTCCCACCGCTATGGAGGCAGAAAGATGGAGCGAGCAAACGCATTTCTTTATTATGGCTCTGTCCTGCGAACTCCTCCAGCCTTGAAGCCTACTCCTCGGCTTGACCAATGGCCTCTCTCTCATCTGAAATAGCGGATGCTGTAAGGACAGAGATTGCATCGAGCGCGACAAATCCTCTTCCAAACTCCGTCATCCATGCCACAGCAGACCTCGACATTTGTATCCAGTCGATCGAACAAAAGTCGACACGGAATGCAGGGCCTTCGCAAAGCTTGACTCCGCTGTTGAACAGTACTACTGGTAACTCGGCCGACGAGGATGTCGACTTCCAGAACAAGGCGCTGGCCATGCAAGCATGGTGGGGTGAAGCCATCGCTAAGAATATGGACCTGCCAGAGGGCTACGCCAGAGTTGCAGTTCTTCTCATCAGGTGGGCGGATGAATTAGACAAAGAGCTCAACACGGGTGAAGAGGTACGTGGGCGATCAAGTCTGGACTCAGCGTTTTCTCCACCACCGAAGCTATATTAACCGACGCGTAGACTAGAGAACTGGAAGCTCTCTTTCGTGACCGCTTCCACTATGATACAAAGACTGTGGAACTGAATGTTCGCCGCAAAGCCCAACACCAACTTGATGCCCACGTGAGCGAGTTCATTCGCGACAATGACGGGCCGCACAATCTGCTCATTGTATACTACACCGGCCACGGTCGATACCCTGAGGCGGAGAAGTACTTGGAGCTCACAGCCACTCGATCACCGTTGCCTGGCAAATTCACCATGGACGCAAGGGCAAATTGGAATAAAGTCGAAAACCTACTCCAGCATGAGGATGTCGAAGCTGATGTCTTGACCATCCTTGACACCTGCTACTCAAGCAACCATGTCAAGTCCAGCAAGCAGTACAACAAGAAATGCGAATTGCTTAGCGCCTGTATGTTGGACCAAACTACCTCATCGCCAGGCGACTACTCCTTCACCCGAGCGCTAATTGACGCCATTGTGGGAAAAGAAGGACTCCTAGGGACAGGGGAGCGCCCCTTCTCCACATTCAGTCTGAGCCAACGCATCAACCTCAACAAACGCCGCCATCGTCAACCCTGTGGCATTTGGGACCGTGGCAAAACGGTCCAGCACAGTGATCCCCATATTTACCTCGTCCCCCTCAAGCCTGGCATAGTTCGTGACCTCCAGCAAGCCACATGGCGCCCCCTTCCCAAAGCCTATCTCACATTACGCTTTGGCCTCCGAGACAAAACCATGAATGAAGAGCAAATCGAATTCATCACCATGACACTCGCCAAGAAATTCAATAGCAAAGCCATGGTTGGCTTACGAAGAATCGATTGGGTCGGCATCGAGCCCGCGCCACCAATCACGCACTTCCAACGCGTGGCGCTGGTCATGTCTGTAATCAAGAAGTGGAGGAGATTTCTCAAGAGGCCGAAAGAAGAGAAGGAACAGAAGAGATTGTCACAGAGCACAGTGGACAAAATTTCCATGGCAGCCTGCACGAAGGAAAGCGATGGTGAAGACTTGGGCGCGCCGCTGCGGTCACCATTGAAACGTGCAATGGAGAAGGATATGAGTGCAGAAAGTCCAATGGACTCCAAGAGACGACATCTTGACATCGCAGAGCCGCCATCGCCACCTGTGTCGACTTCGTCTCTTGTTGACCATGATCTCTTGTAGACATCGATGTAAAAAACAGCCGCATCTCTTATCCTATCCTGACTAATCGATTTATCATCTTAGTAACTCTCTTCCTATCCTTTTATCTTCGCGTTTTCCTTGCCCGGATTGCCTTACTCAAGATAGATACTTCGCGCGCATGAGTAGTTAGATTGGGCAGCTAGCTTGTTCAGCATTACAGTTCTAGGTACAATCATCTTGCTTGTCTAATATAATTCCATGGGAATCCACGAATTCGACTTAGCTCAACTTTCAAAACATACATAACACTACGGTACAAAACCGGTTTACAGTAGCTATATTTATCTAAAGTAGACTAAGAAGTAGTTTAGGTAGAAGAAGTAAACCTAAATAGGGTTTATTATACCATGTATTCCACAAAAGTAAACTACTTTTATTTCTACTTCTATTAATCTACTAGTATTACGTAGTAATACCTAGTTTCCTACTATTTAAGTATTTTACCCCTCCTTTCTTTAATCTTCTTCACCACCTCTACCACCACCTCTACCACCACCACCTCCACCACCTCTATTATCACCACCTCCACCACCTCTACTACCTCTACCACCACCACCTCCACCACCTCTATCACCACCACCACCACCTCTACTACCTCCACCACCTCTACTACCTCCACCACCTCTACTACCTCTACCACCTCTACTACCTCCACCACCTCTACCACCTCTACTACCTCCACCACCTCTACTACCTCCACCAGCTCTACTACCTCTACCGCCTCTACTACCTCTAGCCACCTGTACTACCTCTACCACCACCTCTATCACCACTACCTCTATTATCACCACCTCCACCACCTCTATTATCACCACCTCCTATTAGTAAAAATATCATGACTTATTATTATGTCATATATGCGTATAGCGTAAAGCTAATCTTCTCTACCCCTTTTAGTCTTAGTTAGGTACTATAGCGTATACTAGAAATAAAACTACTTTTTATACTTAATTTAAACCCCTACTATAAAAGTAAACTGCTACTTTAATAAAAGTAAACTACTACTTTAAACCTATTTATAGGTATATATAAGGTTAGTTTACACCTATATAGTAAACCCCTAGCGTACTATTCCACAGTAAACAATTTTTTACCGTAGTGCCAGGGTTTTCGTGTTTCTTAAACTTCCTAAGTAAACCTGGTGAGTAATTAGAACCCAGATGATATCCTAATAACATGTTATTAGTATAATTCAGGCTATTTCAAGATTGTGTTGACCTTCTTTGTTATAATAGAAGTGTTCACTCTAGCCTGTACCCTTCGTATCGTTGTGAATATATGTGTAGATACGCCTGTGCTGGACAGCATAATTGAGGCTTTGATGGGACAAGCCTTATGGTAGTCATCACAGTGACTTTTCATGTTTTCTGCATCTTAGATACAATAGATCTCACTTGGGTCGTGGTTCTATGTGGTGAGCAGCACCTGGCCAGCTGGTATAATTCCACCCTTAGAGATTGTTCGATCGCAGTTAGTGAGATAAGATGTATGACAGATGAGCTATGTAATGAGTGAATGGAAAAACTCGATAGACAGTCAGCGTCTCATCCTTGTACTCGATGGAAATAGCTGCCGTCGCCTGAGTTTGATCAGAAGTGCTCAACAGATAAGTTAATCACTCTTGTATGCAATCGTAAACCTCGCATCTACTGCATTCGTTGCTTCTCTCCACTTAAGCAAGGGTACGGTAACGGCCTGAAGAAACTCGCCCACTTCTATCATGTAGACAAGACGGAATTTCTCACTATATACAGTCAGGTCCAGCCAGCACATTCAGGCGGTGCTGGTAGAGGATTAAGGTAGAGTTTGGACAAAGAATCCAACCTTTCTGTCCCGACCGCGTTGATAGTCACTTACCGTCGTCCGGCAGCTGTCTCCACGAACACTTACAGCATAGCAAGTGGATATATTGGCGAATTATGCAAGCCTAGACATAGTAATTAGCAAGAAACTGTGATGTGTAAGCAACATTTCTTGATGCTCTGGTAGTCAGTTCCTTCCCGTGGCTCGAGTATCGGTGAGTTCGGCGCTTACGAGGGCGGTAGGATAGTGACACTTGTAGCTAACAGGTTGAAGTGGGGTGGAGTAATATCGATATTATTGATATTGCTGGGCGTTGCATACAATGGAAGGATTCAGATCAGGCCATTTCAAATCTGAGGCGATACGTAGCTTACTACCCAATGACCGCCGATTTCAATGCATCTTATTCTGTCACCATGTTTAGTATCTCTGTGTGTACAGCCACCAAGCCAAGTATCTAAACCATATACGAGAGGACGAGAGTACGCTTACTTCTGACCATAAGAGGTTATGATGTGGCGCCCGGTGCTTCCGGATCAAATGTAGATCTTGCTATCCGATCCCTTTTCTCAAAAAGTTCAATTGCCTCGAAAAATTTCGGAGTTCTCGATGAACCGAGATTCGGAGATTTAATGTCCGGCAAACTTACTGTATTGCTGTGCGCGACATTCCGTTGAAGAACGCCAAGTGTCTTGGTAGTATTATCGTTTAAAGCGAAATCGATGAGTACCTAACAAGTAGGATTGCCGAACCTATCCACATTCCGCTTGCTCATTGCCACAGCAATGATGAGCGCTGGCGTAACAAGCCTTTGTGTGCTCAATTAGACAGCTTCCTGTTGTTAGGAACAGTAGAGAGCAGGTTGTGATTACGGACATGAACTTCATACCTCGAGCCGTTTTACCGAATCTCAAGTGGGATATGAATAGCAGTGTCGTCAACGTGACCGAGGTTGCTAGTCTTAACAACGACGTTTTGGTGGCTGGAATAGAGAGCAGAAGGCTCGGTTGTAGTACCCTTGTGCTTCAAAGGAACGTGCGTATTCGGGTCGGTGGGTATGTTTTGTGTGACTTCTATAAAGGGTTGCTAAAGATGACTGGACTAAGTGGACCTCGAAGTTGAGCTACCAGCTGACCTTGGTCTAGACAATGCCGTCTGACTGCTAGAGTCCTATCAGCTGTCTTAACAAGGCCTTGGGGTAAGAACTAAAGGACCACAAATGTCAATCATGTCAACCGTGATACCTAACAGTGAGTCACAGTTGAGATGAGCAAAAGTCAACAATGAGATAATGTACTTGTATTGATAGTTTTCCAGTCAGACTGCGAGCTCAAACGAGGTATTGGAGCAGTATAGATACATGTCTGAAGACTGTGTATGGTCTAGTCTAGGTCTCACTCTCTGGTGGGATCATTACAACTGACATCTTCTACGAGCTCATTCCACGCCACTTCGATGTGCAGTTACTTCACGAGCAAAGAATTCGCCCATAACTTATGCCACTTAATGAGGTAGACGGATTTGATTGCTTATGCATTTGATAGTCTCCAGAGGTTGTTTGTAGGATCCATATGTGATGGAACATTAGTATTTCTATATTAAGGCTGGGGTATGATGGGTCTTCTGGTCTGATCATCGAGTCCCGGAATAAGCACGAGTCAATCACTGACTTTTCAATCTGGGACAAATGCCAATTTCAACAGGCTTATTTTTTTGACACAGCCTTAAGATTGTCCGATGGATTGGTCCGTTGCTAGTTCTGAGTTCCAGTCCAATGGAGAATACCGGTACCCGGTTTGCCGGAGGATCCTCTGGGACGAACATATTACCTGAGGTCATGTCAAAGGACATAAATAGGACGCTCTGGCAATCAAATTTCAATAAATAGCTCATCCAACTCTTTCACACTCGGTAAGTTTCACACATATGCCAGGGGCAAAATGTGAAACCCATCCTAACGAAACTATTTCCGTACCAGAATTCCTACACCAGATTTGCACTATTGGCACCCTCGATCAAGCACAATACAACTGTTTATCATGAAGACCTTTATCACCATTGCAATACTGGCTGTCTTTGCTGCCGCAACTCCAGTTGAGCTGGTAGCTAAGGATGCAATCCCCCAACAAGTAAGTATGCCCTCGATCTTACAATGCAACGACTAGATGCTGACAAGCTTGTTAAAGTGTACGACCGATGTAAGTGCCCAAAAGCTAACTCTAAATTCTGATCTCATCGCAGTCTGAAGGGCATATGCTAAGAAATCTACAGTGTTGTAGTACAGAAGTGAATATTTGCGATTATGTTCACTGTGGCGGCGGTATTTTCACTTGTTAAGAACGAGGCTGTGTGTATTTAAAACACTCAAATGTACAACATGAGGTTCTTCAGGTAGTAGACGTGCAATGTGTAGAGGACCTTGGGAACTACTGAACCTACCATACTCAATACACTCATCTCTACCGCATTATGCAAATATAACTTTAAGTTTAATTTTTACCTTACCAACAAGGTCTAGAGATCGGTGTGGATTGTTTTAAGAAATTTAACAAGGCCTTTTTCCCACTTCAATTTGATCCAGATCTCCCCAAATACGCACATTGTAACTAGAGTCAAAATATGAGTCAAGATGGTCAAAAAGTAACATGCGTTTGGATATTGATTACTCGTATTCATATTCATTACAATGCTGCGATAAAGCTGCTCCTTGAACGCCTAAACCCAATGCCAACACTACCACCCCCTTCGTGAAGTTCCGCCTCGTTGTGCATACGCACCCACAATCGGAGGCTTGACCCGCAATCTCTCCACACCACCATAACCATTCTTCCGAATCGCATTACCATATTCATCCATATGGCCTTGTGCAAGGCTCGAATTCGTCGCCGCTCTGGCACTCATAATGGATCCCATTGCGCTCATCTCGCTGGCCCTCGCGCTCTTGGTTACTTCACGTGCGCTCTTCTCGCTCGCTCTCGCAGCACGGCCGGAAGCATGTGCGGCGTCGACTGAGGCTTTTGCTGATATGGTGGATGGGAGTAGAGCGGCTACTGTGGCGACAGTGGCTAGACTGGTCCACACCGTCTTCTTATGGTACCATTCTTTTTCTTTTCTGTGGTCCCGGGCTGGTGCTGGCGCTGGTGCTGGTACTAGTGTTGGTGTTGGTGCTGACGAGCGCGGTGTTGCTGCTGGTGGTAGAGGTGCTTGGTACCGATGGCGTTCAACCTGTCGATTTTCGACCTCCCGGGTCAAAGATCGTGAGCGAGATCGTGATGGAGAGTAGAAACTCTCTCGAGAATCCGCGGTTGAGCGCCTGTACTGCGGACGGCCGCGTATCGGCTCATATTCGTCGCGTGGAGCAAAGCGGACGCGGGATCGGCTGCGTTGGTGAGACATGGTGTTTACTTCATCGGTTTGTTCAATATCCAATTCTTGAACCCTGTGTCAGGAGTACATCGCTTGAGAGGAAGTCGAGATGGTGTAGAAGACAAATTCATTCGAAGCTCGTAGGAATGGCGGCTTAAATATGAAAAAGCCTTAGGTAGGTGTGTGAGCGCTTGAAGTGACGGAAAGCTAACCCATCTTTCGTAGCCTCCGTTCAAACTATCGAACTTATGCTATGACATCAGAAGCGCGCACCGCTCAATCCGTAATCCTGCGATCCTTGATTCGACTCGCAGCTGGGTATGTTCGTTGCTAATCGGGCCTACTCTGTGACTTCGCGTTCATAATGAGGCGGAGACCTGGGCTCTCCCTGGCTGTCAAAGAAAACCGTTCAAAACGGCTCGAGCAAACCTGAACCCCAATCTCTATACCGTTCGCATTGCTACTAAAGTTGTGCGACAGTAACACCACTTTCCCAGGCACGATAGGACCGAGCAAAGACTGGAATTGACGACTTTTTGGTCCTGAATCTATAGGGTACATTCATGACTGTGAAGAGTGGCTTTACGGTATGAACCAAGGTCCACCCCTGCGTTACGACCCTCAAAGACTTCGCTCGACCACGATCCTACCATCTCTGTAAGACCAAAAGAAGATGCTCACGATCGGGGGCGCTTGTATCGATGGTACATTGACTTGCTGCGCCATCAACAACAAGCAAGAACCCTCGAAGCACGGTCATAGAGCTTCGAGTCGTTCCGGTTACAAGAGCCCAACCACGTTTGGGCAGCAACATTGCTTTTCACTATAGTCAGCTCTTTCTTTTTTGCTGTAGTTCGGTAACATGAAATTGCGTGAGTCGAACGGTGGTTCCCTGTTTCCTTACCGGTATCTCAAGATGGATTGTAAGGTTGTCAAATGCGCAGTCGATTTGCTGCCAACGGGTAACAGGTCTTGTGACGCAGTAATACTATCTGACTAACCCCTGAATTGTTGAACTTGATTCTATATAATTTACAGAACCGCGAATCTTTGTATCGAAAACGCTACATTGTTGTACAGCAAACCACGACGAGAGAATGCAGACCCCCGGATCAGCGCAACAATGCGATTCCGAAAACGCAAGGCCATTCCCGATGACCAGATCTGCCAGCGGACAGAACCGAACGAAATGTGGAGAATCATGAGGCGATCTCTGCCCAACCGCCCGGTCACACGTCGCAAGCAATGATAACATGATCAGCGGCCACGACGGATACCAATTGCCCAGCGTTTTGCAGTCAGGACATGGAAGGGCCCCTCCGAAGCAGGCCAGCACACTGCGACACAATGCCAGATGCGTCTCCATCGATGTCGTGGCACTCTGATGAGCGAAGCACAGCTTGCATGGTCCGGCCTGCCACATGAGCATACCTACCAGTCACCGGAATACTCCGTCCCGATTCTTACAACAAGCCGCTGTCGCCATGCAATCGAGCAGCATGCTCTTTTACCCCAAGATCTTGTGCTGACGCATGAGAACATTCATCTTCGTTCAGAATGGCAGCGAGGTATGTCTGCCTGGCCAGATACCAGCAATGGCCCTTTGAAGACTGTCATCTTGACAACATCTCCGTCCCTGACTCCACGTCTTCCCGCCTGGGGTCGTCCCACTCAATGACGCCGCTGGCTTTGCTTTTTTCCTCCCCCGTTAGCTGCGGTAGTCATGTACGGGTAAGTCTGAACTTGGCAGCGAGAGTTGCCCTCTTCGGGCGACTTGCACTCGGAGATCCCTCGCGTTGCGAGAGAGGGAGAGATTTTCCCGGCATCTTGTATGCTCTTGTTGATGTAGCGTTGTCACCTGACTCTCTGATAGTTTCTATGGCCTTTGGCTTCCTATAATCAGCTTTCAGGTTCTTTTTCTCCAAGTCCGTTCTTTGAAGATATAAAGCAGGGGACGAAAGAGTTCTGGATGTGTTCAATTTGAAGGCGAGGCTGGAAGCTGTAGCCTTGTTGTAATAGGAATGGCCATCTGCATTTCATGCATGCTGCGACACCAAACAGGCTGACGATACGTCACATTGCTTTCTCTGTCCCATCACACTTTAAAGCGGTAGAAAAAAAGCGAAAGGTGTTTAGCCAAAGCAAGAGGTGGCAGGATGAATTCACATCTATGTAGTGGAAGATAACTTACTAAATGCTCCTGGGCAGTGCGCAGAAAAAGTGCATAAGTCAAACAACTCTCCTAATTCCATCGCTCCTTTCCATAAAACCCGCACCATCCGATCCTCCCGGCGTTGTCTTTGCCGGACTTGGCTTCTCGCTCAAAACTACCACTGTCTCAGATTTTCCAATCCATTCCACCCCATCATCCACAACCTCAATACCCCATGTCACTTTCCCATTGCGGTTCCTGAACCAGGCTAACTTGGTCTTCAGCCCACTCTTCGCTAACTGCTCAGGACCTTGTCGAACAACTTGCTCCACAAAGTGCTCGCTCTCATAAACCATGGAGATGGCGTCGGCCAGGCATCTCACGTTACGCCTAAGGAGCGTGTGCGGGTACAGGAATTTGAGAGAGATGATGAGAACAAAGAGGACAGCAATGATGACGACGAGTATCGCGACGCACAACCATGTCGCGATTTCAGATAAAGCGAGTACTTCGATGCGCTGGGACATGACTACTGGCATCTGGAAGTCGCCGTTAGGCTCAACTTGGTCGTATGCGATGAGGTTGCCGTCGATCCACCGTGTTCGGCTTGCGTAGTGCTGGAAAAATGTCTGAAACGTGCGACGCGAAACATTGAACATGGTATCGCTGTCGAGGAGCGCCCGGTTGTCGCGATTCACTTGCACATAGTTGGAATAGCTCATAAAGTCCATGTTGAGACCAAGTTGTCTGTCGCGAATGTTGTAGCGCTCATCCTGGAAGTTCTCGAATTTCAGTGGATCGTTGTTATTCAGATTCAGACTTGCAGCTTGAATGAGTTGCGTAAGGAAGTATACTCCGTAGCTGGAATCATTAGTATAGTTCGACAAGTATTAACGTCATGACGCATGGGCGAGACCCATTTCGTCCACGCTCTGGCCTGCAGGGAGATGGGCTTATGATAGGATATGATTCTGACTTACCTTAATGACACAGTATAGTTACTTTGCACGTCATACGCATCCTGATCTTCTCCAAGGCCAGAATACTGATACGCTGCATCCCAAGGGTCTAGGATACGCTGGGGCTCCTGCAGAATCTCGTAGTCCAACACTTGTCCCGATGACCGAGCGACAGTGACCGTAGCTTCAGCAGATTCGATGGACGGCTCGCAACTCATTATCTGAGTTTCGGGCATTGTGGGGAAATACATGACCGTGTAGTTACTCGGAACGCCATTGGTATAGATGTTAAATTCCGTGGTCTCCGCTTGCCCAACAATCCACTTGAGCATCAAATTGCCAGGCCATTTGGGGGGTCCAAAACCAGTCCATGAAGGCAGGGAAAAGTCTATTTCTTCCCACCAGAGATCAGGTTGCTGGTGTGACCAGTAGGCAACAGCTGAATCGCGATCTTGCCCGGTGTTGTTGGCACAGCAAGCCACACGCAAGGGGGTGTTTGCTAGGGTAGTGTGATAATTTGTTCGGTTCAAGATGGCACGGGGAAGGACATATCCATCCATATTCACGCCTTGGGGTGGTTCCTTTGTTAATTTCTGAATTTCATTCTTGAGAGTCTCTGTTTCATCTTTGCTCAGTAGTGTTTTGTTAGCAAGCACGATGCTTTGACACTTGAGCTCTGCTCGTATAGCTGTTGTAGTAATGGTCACATTTGATGGAGAGGACAGTAACTCTGTGCCTGGAGAGTCATCCTGTTTCCTTCCAGTCGTCTGATGGAAGCGCAATGCCGGCAATTTGTCCAGATTGATTGGAGTAAAGCTCCACTCGTCTCGAGTCCAAGGAGGGGATGTTGTCCCGAGAGTCAAATCATCCAATGCAGTGTACAGCCAGTCTCCAGTCGTTGTCTTCATCAACGGCCATAGATATTCATCGTCAGCCGTTCCAGCTTGGTGTTGGTAAACCAGCGGCTGTCTTCGCGGCGTCAAGGGCCGATCAATCATGACAGTCTGCGTGTAGGTGCTAGGCTGTCGCTCAAATACTGCCGCCATCGCGACAATCACTGTTTTGTAAGCTTACTTCGACAGCGACTTGTGGAGGTTCAACTTACAAATTTGGAATAATGTTGTCCCCAAGGTGACCAGACTTAGCAGCCAGTGCTTGTTAAAAGCAGCCCGGGAGCTCGCCCATAACCAATACGACGACTGATACGAAAGACACGCTCCTTCACGGACGTCTGTTGGGCCCTTCGACATGGACAAGTAGGGCTGAAGTATGCGAAGCGACCGATCGATGGAGTCCCAGCATAGGGCCAAGGCCACGGCGAGTAGCGTTGACGTCACCGATATTGGTGAGATTTGTGCGTTCAGCTTGCCAACGCTCATGTGGTAGACAAACGAGGATCGATATAGTCCCCCTTTAACGGAGACCTTATGTAGCACGATGAGTGCTGTAGTGATTGCAATCAGAATGATGAGAAACCCAACCAGTGTCCTTGACAGCAACATTGTTGGTCGCCAGTCCTGAGAAGTTTCGTGTGGGGCTCCTTGCAATGACTCTGTAGACCCAGTAGATGAAGCATCAACATGCACTTCAGTGGTCGTTGTTATGGTGCCACCTTTGGTAGAGGTCTTGTTCCACGGTCGTTTGCTCCATATTTGCCAGCCACTCGCTGCCTTGGCATCATCGTGTGCGTTCAATCTGCGGGTTTCGGTAACGGCGAATGCGTCTACGATGTGGGATCCTTCATGATGTATGTAGTCTACCATTCCAGCAGCTGTGGTTGGATCTGTCCGGAGTGATAAAGCTCTAGATTTGGGCGAAGCTTTCCATATCATAAAGATCAAGTAGCAAGCAACGCAAAAGAACATGGCGGCGAGGGCTGCTCCGATTCCAACGATAACGACAACACGCTGCTCAGTCCTAGTCGATTGACCGGTGATGTTCTCCATGTTTGGATTCTCACGGGTGGTCAGGGAGGAATACACGAGTTCGCCAAAGAACCTCCCTCGAAGCCTGGTCGCTTTTGCAACGAGTGAATCATCGTGTATCATGATTGTGTTATTCGACTGTGATGGAACGGCAAGAGCTTCAATCAATCCAGAACTGATTTGGTAATGGTTGTATACGCTCGACAAGGATTTGTACTCGGGCCTGGTTCCTGAAAAAGCGAGATTGGCGGCGTTTTCTAAATTAAGTACACCCTCTCTAAGTGGCTTCCGACGAACCTTGAATTCCTCTTGATCAAATGTAGCCTGCATAGAATTTGCATTCACGGCTGCGGACACGAGCATGGTTGCTTCGTAATGAGTCACGTTGCACAGTTCTGCCCGTGCCTCGAAGTCAGGGCCCCAATATTCGTATCCCTTCACAGGATCGAAATTTGTCGTTCTCCATGGCTCCGACACAAATAGTAACTCTTGTCCATAGCAGGCTTCGCTGAACTCCACCAGCGGGCTTTCACGCATGGGCGACCAACCGTCATAACTTACCCATGGGATACCGCCCTGCTCCTGCGAGAATTCTTCCCATGTAACGTGAGATGCGGAGAGATTCGTCCACAAAGGCCCACCCTGAAGGATCGTTCGGGGGCTCCGTGGCAGCTCTACAATCTGAATGCGACACCCATTCTCGGCGACAAGAGCAAGTCCTGGTGTTGATCCAGTGGAGGTGTCGTTGATAGAATACGACACGTTGTCTGGTTTCGCACTATACTTGGTGAAAGTTCGATTGTCCCACTCATACGTATAAGTGAGGTTCACGGTGCCGAGGGACTCGACAGACATGGTCATACAGCTCCCCTCGGATTGGTATACAGTGGTCTCTGCTTCCCATAGCCCTTCTGACATAGTTTCGTTGTCGCTCTCGAGGCCTGGAACTTGGAATGGGAAAATCACAAAGTCATCTGTTACCCACATTGTTGTAGAGGCATTGTAGTTGAAACCACTTGTTGTGTGGAAGTAGGTTTCGCGGCGGGCGTCGAGGGCGAGGGAGCCATCTGAGTCCAAGGCATATCGCCTAAGATCGACTGGATTGACGATTATGACTTGCTCAGATACGAGCAGAGAGGATGACAAGGTCGAGAACAGCAAGACCCCGAGGCCAGTTGTCAATGCCGACATACTCAGCAATGTGTTGATGCGACCGCCGTTTTTCTTCTTGCTTAGGCCGAGGAAAAAGGTTTTCCACCAGACCTTTGATACTAGTTGCAATGCCTGCTCTTTCTCATCGTCCGAAGCTTCGTTTGAACGAACTCGGGACAATTGCGCGAATGGCTCTGTTCGCTGGACATCATCAAAAAGCAGCACCAAGGCCTGAGTGAAGAGAACAGCGATGAGGGTGGGCGTATATCTCCAGCCCATGAGTAGACCAGAGGAGCCATCATCTTTCCCCAGTCCATGGTTCCGGGAGGAATACCAGCAAAGTACAGCGAGCACAGTCGACAGTGAAAGTGCTACTGCGGCGAGAGCGAGGAGAAACGGCCTTCGCAACGTGTATGGTATCCATGTTGCTGGGCGGTCAGAATAGTTGTCCGCTTCGTGGGAGTAGCTTATGACTGGGTCTTGAGACGTGACCGGGACTGCGGTTGTTGATGCTAATGGGGAGGAGAAAACAGGGGCGTGATCTGTCCTTGTAGCATCCCCAAGCAAGCCCTGGGACTCATGGACGTCTCTCAGCGGCCCACGGGTATTTTGATGCTCTTCCTGCGGGATGTGTGTAGGATTGGTGGGCTGGTTGTAGTGACTGTTTGGGGTGGCAGGCAACTGACAATGTGGCTGTGAAGGTTCCACTGATTGCGGGATCGAGGGGTCCGTCGTCGGGAGCGGGGACCAATCCGCTCCATATCCTGGCTGACTCATCCTCGAATGCGACATGAGAAAGTCCAGACACAAAGCTCAGCTTCTCACGCCAAAAAAAAAAGCTGGGAAGGCTGCTGGCTTATAGAGACTGCACGAGTTGATCGCCACATGTTTGCGCCAAAGCGAGGCTGAATACGCAGGCGCAAGCATCGTTCCTCAGTGAAGCACAACAGTTGAGAAATGGCTGTCCACCAATCCGACAGCGCTTTAGGCGCGCACGCTTACGCCTTGCGCTGGTGCCAGCCTCCCATGTTGGAGGCCTGATGGCAGATGGATTGGGGGCCAAAACCGACAAATTTTGTTCCTTTTTTTTGTCAAGGCCAAACATGACGGGAGTTAGAGAGATGGTCGTCAAGCGAGGACTGCTGATGCTAACTGAAACCCATTGTGCATTCGGTTGCTTCTCCAACACGACGACTTACTTCTCCGTGCATTCATCGATCATCAGGATGGACAAAGCCAGCCTTGTGTGGCTGCCATAAACGCTCCATGGTCGCAAAAGGGATCAGCCGCTTTTAGTGTCGGCTGGTATGTTTCAGGATTTGAGGAGGCATGCAGGTACCCTTGCTGCATTGATAAATCTCCCCATCGTCAACAAGGGCACGTGGTCGTGGGTCTGTACAGTGCAAAAGAGAGCTGCATAGGTATTCCCCATCCTAGAGCCGGACCACCGTCACTGACAATAATCAGAGCAGAGGGATCCTTTTGATAGTATACACTTCCTGCCAGAGCATGCATCCACGCACCATCTCCCTGGACCTTGACACCCCCCAGTGTACGTTTACGAGGTGAGGTGAATTGTATGAGTAATGAATGCTTCGCTCTATCGCTTCTTCGAATCGACCTTCTCCTCGAGTGTACGGACGTAGCCTTCTATCCGTTGTACAGCTGACTGCAGGGCCTGCATGACTGTCAGCTCTGTCCAGGTACTGTGCAATTCGCAGTCTCATCTCTGACACGATGGAAACAAAGGAGACTAAAGTGCTAGAGAAGGAGGAAGAAACGTACATAGATATCCTCGGTCAAGAGCTGATTCGAGACACGGTACTCGTCTACAACGTAGTAGTACATGCCCGCACCCGAAGTCGTCGCGCCGAGGAGGAAACCAAAGAGGCTGCAAAGATAGGATTAGCAAAAACATCACTTTTGCCTTTTGCTTTTCCCCATTCTCAAGACATCCATCCTGCAGTAAAACACAGACTGTTCAGACAGGCCACACGACCCCAAACAGTGAAGACAAGAGAGCCCATCCACTCACCCTCCCCTAAAAGCTCCCACAGGCTTCCTGACTGGCGCCGCAACAACCTCCTGTCTCAAGGCGGCACTCGTCTGGAATCCCCTCTTGGCGACAAGCGGCGCCTGTGCCCCCACGGCCGAGGCAGCCATGCGCAGCATCCGGGACGCCATGGTGAATCACTCCGTATCTTTGAGGTATGATTGAATATCGCAGAAATCGTCGTACCGGCGGTTTGCAAGGGTGAAGGAAAGAGGGGCTGCTGTTTGTGGGCTTGTCGTGTGCCTTGACCTGACACCTCGAGTGACGTTTTTGTTGGCGGGCGCAAAGGTGGGAGAGCTTGTTGTTGGTCGGCAGTCGGGCGGCTTCTCCGCACTTGGCCCAAGCGCAAGCTCTGCATTCATCCCAGGCGGAATGCGAAAGGGAACGTGGAAGGACAAGGGACAAAGGCTTTGGCACCATGACATCGTCCTCCTCCTCAATCAAGATGACATCGCCCTCTGATGGATTCGAAACATTCAAATATCCTCAAAAGTCAAAGAAGCTTTTGCCGAAATGAGGATTTCATCGAATCAGTCCTGCATTTACTATGCTGTCTCATACCGGTACTGTACCTAGGTACCAACCCAGGGAGGTAGCTCTTCGCTTCATGACACTTCTGTGCCAGTGGTTCACCTGAAAAAGTGGGAAGAAGATTTGGATGACCCTATTCATTCGAAGAACTCGCATCTGGGCTCGCTTGACGACGTGTTGTAACCAAAATTTCTTGAATTGAAAACAGCAAATGTAACCAGTAGGTAGGTAGGCAGGTACATCACTTTCGAATACAAAAGTGGACACGCGATAGCGAAAGTGTAGCTGCGGTCCCACCACCCAGTGACCCAGTATATATGTACAAAGAAGCCTAAAGAAATCCGCATCCAAACATCTGAATGCCTGGAAGGTACCCGTATTGTCGACACCCACATGAGACAAACAGTTGTCCAAACTAAGGAAAAGTCTTCCTACTGGGCGGCAGAGTCTTTGTGCAATCGACCAGATTCTGCAAATTCTTTACGCCGAGCAGACTCAGCCTTACATACGCCTTCGCGTAGTCTTCGTTCCAATGTTGCTGATCGCCCACAAACGACTTCCACTCGTCGGTGAGTTTTGGATGCTTGGACAACGCCTTGTCCGATGGCAGCACAAACACCTTTTGCGTTGCCGAACTCCCAGCAGCATTGTTCAGAGTGTCGTTGTAGAACTCGACATCCCATACGCCAATGGTTGTGTCAAGCGGCTTGTTGACGGCTACGGGCCGCGTGTCGACGAAACGTTGTCGCGCCGTTGCATGAGCCCCGAGAAGTGCGGCAAGATCGTGCGCGTCAATCCCCTTGTTTTCAAAGAGTGCAATGATCTTGTCGGGGTCGTCGTGAACATCGGGTAGCAGGCCATCCGGAGGCGCTCGGGTAGCATCTTGACGGCCGATAAAGGTGCGGACGCGGGGGCCCTTGGGACAGGAGATGCTCGCGTGGTTGTGAGCATATTGTACGAGGTCGGCATATCCAACCCTGTATTGCGACTGCACACCCCGGAGCAGTGTCCGTATGCTTTGCAGGCCGTTATTCTCCGGTCGATTGATCTCGCCAAAGTCCATGAGGAGGGAGCCGTCTGCGCCACCGCTGGGTGAGTTCTTGTCCCATGCTCCGGCATCGTGGAATCCCATGCGAATAGCAGCTCGAGCATTGTCATTGCACGTGCCGTTTGATTCTTTAAATCTCCTCGTGAGCTCAGCAGACACATCCCACCCTAAACTGTTACCAAGGCCCAAGAGTAGGAAGCCGAACAACTTACAAACGCAGCACTTGTCAGGCGCAAAAATCGATAGTGAGCACGTTAGGGGTTTGCTGGATATGGTGTTGTCGATGGCAGTTATCGATCCGCTAAGTACATTCGAGATCAAATTTGTAATTGGGGTAAGAGCAATATTGAGGAGGTCCTCAATAAGTCCCGGACTCGCTTCGCGACGGTCAAGAGGATTGGCGGTTGCGACGGAAGAAAGCACAAGGGAAGCGGCTAACACTGTCTTTGGAGACAGCATCTTTTGTAAATGATTGGACACAATTGCTGTGAAAGGAAGTGTATGAATAGATCTTAATGATGGTGATGGGTGAGATCGAAATGAATGGAATATGAGCTCGTAATGACTGATGTTGAGAACACAGTCCGAACAAATCAAGTACAGGTATCAAGGGCGGTTTATATAGGATATCAGCCATTGATGAAAAGCCCTGCCGATAACTAGGCTGTCCGTAGACTCATCTTCCAGAGCATATGGAAGTGATAGCTTCCCAAGCACTTCGGTAAATGTCTAAATCTGGTTCAACTTACCGAGAGGCTACGGGGAACTGTGCTAGCCTGCCCTTCTCTTCGCATCGATCGTGTGTAGACATGGCCAAATTCGGGTACCTGCGAGTCTGGGTGCCTCTTCGGGATTTGGATGGCGTCGAGCAGACCCAAAAATGGCACTTCAAGAGGCTGACCATTTTGAAACGATCAAAACCTTATTTTTGCCAAGAGATCTCCGTCCAGGGGCTGAAGTGTATGCTATTATAGCACAGTCGTCTACGCACAAAGGCCTCTTGGATTGTGGCGTGAACTTGGTAATCCGGAGACTATGATCCATGGTTGACTTGCAGTCTGGCCCAAGTTGAGTGAGTACGATACGTGACTGTGGCCGTGAGGTCCCGGAACAACGGCTCATCATGAGTTCTTGAGCAAAACTTGACTCAGGCGGTTGAAGAAGGTGAATAGGGGTTGTTAGAGCATCGCAGCCCTGGCTCATACATTCGAGAGCGATGGTGAGCTTGTTGTTATACATGGACATCCATGGTACGGAGCTGCCGCCGAATCGTGGATACATGGTGGCTTGCTGAGCGCCAGTAGCTAGATGCTGAGTTCGCTCAGGGCTTCGTACGCTCACAAGAAAGTCCTGACTTGTAGTACAGTTCGTCGAGCAGGGGCAATGGTGTTCCGATTAGAAGTGATATGCACATGGTACGTCTTGCGATGGTAAAGGGATCATGATCGTCGCCATCGCCATGGAAAGCCATATCGCGGAGGTTAGGGGGGGGGGGGGGCTCTGTACAGCTGGAGTGAAGAGCGGTGAACTGTGTCAGGGGTTGAGGCGTTGGCGGATGGAAGATCGATGCGCCAACTCAGGGCAAGAAGAGCCAAAGCAACGCCACATTCTCGCTGCCAAGCTAGCATTGTTCCAAGCGTTCCCTACCGCAAGGTTCCAGAGCTGGAATTCTGAAGCCACGATGTTCTCGACTCGAGACTTGTGATACCACAATCACCTATCCTGTTCTTTGGTACAGACACGCGAATTCCCATTGTTCAATGGGCAGCTAGCCAATCAATTAGCAGAAACCGTGGTTCATTGCTCTGCGCTTGCGTGGAAATCGGGTCGACATCATCAGAGCTCGCCATTCGTGCGAAGAGCGATCGCAGTCCTCACTTGACATAGCATCAATCAGCAATTTCCATCGCAATCTGTGGAAGTACCGGTGAGCCGTACAGGGAGTCGAAATTCAGTCTGCGAGTATGTTATCTGGCACCCTCTCTTTGAGGCGGGAGCTGATCGTGTCGCAATCCTCCCAAGGCATGTTCTCTTGAATGGAGCGAGCGCTGCCCAGATGTCTTTGATAGACATGCCAGATTCATGCTTGAGCTAGACACGAGAGGTACGGTATGCCAAAATTTCGTAACTCTAAGAGTAAACCGAGTATCTTTGAGTAGGTAAGCTCGGCGCGATTTTCTCAACACGGGCAGAAGCCTTAGCAGCGACACGATTGATGACAGGAGCGGACTACCTACAAGTAAATCTCGGTACATCAGAAGTCGGCTGCAGAGCCGTATGATGTTGCCATTTCGTTCAACGAGGTGTCTACTCTAGGCTTGTATCTGAGTTGGTCTCGCTGGCGATAGATGTCTCTCTGCTTTGGACACCGAGATCGACCAACCGGAGAGAAGGAACCCCGCTTTCCGTGAAGCATCTTCACCTCTACCGGTAGGTACCGCTTTGAGCGACTGGTGCGTTGAACATCACAAACATACCTTGGTGCTCATGATTCCGTAGACGACAGATCCAGCTCGAGTTGTTATCATATGCAAGATGGCGCCAATTCCTTCTTCGCATCTTTCATCCTCGTCTCAGCTAATCCAGCTTCCACGCGAGATCCGTGACCTCATATACGAATACGCACTCCTGGGCAATAAGCATACCATAGCTCTCGAGAGTGCCATCATCAATACATCGCAGTCTGCTCACATTCAGAATCTGGGGTTCTACAAGCGCCTCGAGGAAAAGTTCCACTGTCTTCACACGCGAACCCATCGGCGAATCTGGTCGGTACCCACCTTCGATCTCAATGTCGCATTTGGGACACAAGATATATACAACATCCCAAAATATGTGTCCATGACATATAACCTTAACCGTAGATGTCACTCATTGGGCCGTCCCAATGTCAGCCTGCTGCGGACGAATAAACAAATTCATGCTGAAGCTTCTGAGCTGATGTATGGGCGGGCCACGTTTAGCTTCAATGCGGATTTTGCCCTCGCAGCTGCTTTCGCTTTTCTTTCTGATAGAGCTCCAGCCACGCTCCTTAAAATAAACCGGTTAGAGCTCGGCTTGTCAGAGGACAGTAACATGTGCGGCACCGGTACGGCTCACTATCCAGTGATGCTCAGAGCGACAGACTCCTCGGTACTACAGTACGCATATAACCACTACACCGACCTCTGTACATTACTCTCCAGCTCACGCATGTCTCTGCGCCATATCACCCTGAGAATTAACAGCAATTTGAGCCCTTGGCGGCAGATAAATACCCCACAGACTGCGGAGGAGTGGCTGTTGTGGGAGGAACGAGAAGCAAAGTCCTTGCGGCCTGCTCGACCTCTCTGGATTGAGCCCTTACTGCAGATAAAGAACCTCGACTCAATCGACATCTACTGGGGTTCTAACAGCTTGTGGGCACACAGGATAGCTGATGCGATCTCCGTGTTACGACAGCACATGCTCAAGAAACATATGAGGATTCAACACAGCGGACTTGGAACAGCGGAAACGCCTCTTACATTTCGATTGCTTGACCGTCAGGATTTCTCTGGTACGCTCGATAAGGCCAGTTCTCTGATCGACTACACTCTACATGAGAATGGAACGTGGCTTGTGTCCAAGTGCCCTGATGAACACTGGGCCAGAGAAACATTTGATGCGCAAGACTTGAATGGTTCTCGAACACGGTGTAGGTACATATGTTATCATGAGATGAAAGCTATTTGAGTGCTTCAGGCAACGTAATCAATGTGATTCTCTCTCCTCAGGGACGTGAACTCAGGGCGTCTCAATTTCACTTGGACATGGGCGACAAAGTGTAGAAATATATATGCTCAGCTCTAAGCAACTCAAGCCTCATTCAGTACGACAAGTCAACCGACATGGAAGACGTCGAGAAGTCGTGTCAGCGTTTTTTCTTTTCCTTCAAGTTCGATACTATTGTTGTATCTATAGTCTCGCAACCAGCCAACTCGATTACTCGATGGTGTCGAGTCAGCCATTTTGACTGACGATCTTCGCGGGCCGGTCAGGTTACACATGCCAGTCAACCAGGTTGCAGGAAGCCACATTTTGACTTTGCTGGTTTCGTATAGTCAGCGTTGTCAAAAGCGGTATCGCGGCCAATTTCAAAGGCTCGGCGGTGAGTCGAGCATATCGGTAAAGTTTACGTGTTTATTTTGAGCTTCACGAAAGCTCCAGGTCTATTGGATATGGTCAGTGTCTATTGGTAAATTTTCCGTCTGTCCAGGACCCACACGCAGCATTTGTATAGCGACACTTACCTTTCTGGTCAAACGTGATTCGAGCCCTTGAGCAGTACTAGAAATATTTTAGCGCGTACCGGTAAGCTGTAGGTACCAGTACGGTACCAACCAACCTTCTGATCTCACATGAGCACGAACAAGTTGATGCCATTTGGAGGCTTTATATGCTGCTACCTCATGATATATACATCCCCACACGGTGAGCGTTAAGATCTGGACTCAGTTATTGAGAGAAACGGGCTGCAATTCACCTCGGTGACGGTTCTTGTCACCCATCAACCGCTTCTGCTGATACCGGTACCTACACAAACTGATCGATTGCTTAGTTACATCTTTACTTTTCAACGACATGGTAGGCACCACCGAAATCCTCGCGCTCGCGACACACAAAACAATTGTAGCAGGACTTGCGCTAGCAACCCACTCAGTCCTTTACCAGGGAGAATGGGACAACGAGTTCCATTTCGTACTCGGTATTTGGATGCTCGCGTTGGGTGGCCTGGCAGCGGCAGAGTACATGTACAACCCACACATAAGCACCATAGGTGCTGCCCTTCAGATCACAGGAGTCACAGCTGCTGTGTACATGGGTGTGTTGATCACGGCTATCTTGATATACCGAATATTCTTCCATCGGTTGCGACATGTGCGTATGCTGTTGCTTTGCTATGGTCACACATCGTACTGACTACACCCAGATTCCAGGCCCATTCCTCGCACGTTTTTCGAAGCTTTATGGCATTTTTTGTGGAGTGCTTCCGCATTACCAATACTACAAATGGGCCGAAAAGCTTCACGAGCAGTACAAGACTGATGTTATCCGAACTGGGCCACGGGAGGTGACGGTATATACCGCTGATGCCATCAAATTGGTTCATGGCCCGAACACACGATGCAGAAAAGGGCCCTGGTATGCAGCCGCAAAACATGTTGGTGGTGCATCAGTGCATACAACAAGAGACAAAGAAGAGCACAAGCAGCGCCGCAAGGACTGGGACTTTGCCTTCAACGCAAAAGCTCTGCGCGACTATGAGCCCAGACTCGACCGGCACGCACTGGCACTCATGACAAGACTACAAGAGCAGGCGTCGCAGCCTATTGTACGATTGACCAATTGGGTCAATTTCTACAGCTTCGATGTCATGGGCGATGTTAGTTTTAGTCGCAGCTTTGGTATGATGGAGAAGGGAGAGGAGGCTGACGTGATTAAGCTTCTGCATGCAAGCATGGAACCTTTGAGTATCTTTGGGCATATCACATGGGGACTGAACCTAATTACGCGGACGCCTTTTGGGGTGAAAGCTTTGTTAGAGCACATTGAATGGACGGCAATGGTTCTTAAGGAGCGCAAGAAGGTAGTTACAAACTATGACCCTCATCAACATGATACTAATATTCATCAGGTCGTTCCTAAAGAGAGAGACATTTTCTCTTGGCTTCTTGACGAGGAAGATCCCAACGTCACACCAGAGCTCAACTCAGACGCGAGGTTATTGGTCGTAGCAGGCAGGTATGCATCTACATCACACGGATGGTCCATGAAATCTACTGAAGAAATGATAGCGACACCACCGCCGCAACACTATCATGGATTGCATACGAGCTCTGCAAAAACCCCAAGGTTCAGTCGAGACTGCTCAGAGACATCAACTCCACAGTCTCAAAGAAAGGTTTCCTCGGTGTCGACGACGTAGCAAACATCCCCTACCTAGACGGCGTCATCAACGAAGCCATGCGTCTCCATCCTGCCGTAAGTTCAATGACACCTCGCCCAATTATCAAGCCACTCATCTAACAAAATTTAACAACAAGGTACCCTCGGGCGTCCAACGCGAAACTCCACCCGAAGGCATCACCCTCCCCAACGGCACCTACATCCCCGGTTCAACCATCGTCTGGATGCCCATCCACACTATCCAGCGCGACCCACGCTACTTCCGCTCCCCACTGACCTTCCTCCCCGAGCGCTGGACCGACGAGCAACCGGATGCGATTATCGACAAGCGTGCATTCATGCCCTTTGGCTTCGGTGCGTATAGCTGTGTAGGCCAAAGACTGGCCATGATGGAACTGCGCAGCGTGACGGCAAACTTGGTGCGGCAGTTTGAGCTGAGCTTTGCAGAGGGTGAGGATGGGAGCGCCATGGAGATGGAGAGTAGGGATTGCTTCACGCTTAATGTGGGGAAGCTGGATGTCAGATTGCTGGCTAGAGATGGGGACAAGGCATAAGTTTGCGGGTGATGGGGTGGCTAGGAATCCGAGGTTGAAGCATACATATAACGTAGCATGACTCTATTATGTATTCATTCGTGTAAACAATGTGCTTCAAACTTTCTGCCAAGTCTAATAGCAGTCGTGTAACAACGTGGGTATCAGGCATAAAGTCACATCTCACATACCAATTATCATTGCCCCTCTTTCTCCTTTTCCATGTTTTAACTCTCGACTTTCCTACCCAGACTCCAAATCTTCCATGTTCGGCTACGTACAAATAATCATGTCCTTCTTCGGACTCCACAGATACCGCATCTCCCTGCATCACCAGCGTTTATATATGCGCTTCCTTTACATGTCATGCTCCTACAACGCCAGTAATCAGGCATCAAGTCTGGTTGGAGAACGTGCGTACATGCGTCGCAGGTCAACGCGGTGCCGGCATTGGCAAAGGAGCATATTGGACAGGATAGTGATGCGAGTGTGGAGGTCGAGGAGGATTTGGAAGAAGATCGAGGACAGGAATCGGTTTGGACACTTAGTGTTGGATTTGAGCGAGTTGGCTGCTTGTTCGCTAATGCGGTTGATGTGGCTGGCTTGTGTATTGTCTTGATCGACGCTGTGAAGCCCTGTATCTCGTCCATCTCTCTCCTCGCGTCGCCATCTTTGTCATCTTCATCTTCGCAGATTTTTATCAATGCCCGACCTTTGTCGTCAAACATGCTCGATCCATCAACATCCACCGCTGCATCAAGCTGGTCGCCGTCCACATACTCGTCCTCAGTCTCGCTTCCCGATGATGACTCTTCTTTCTTCACTGTCGCATCCTCTTTGGGCTTCAATCTATCAAACCTCGCCAACGCCGCTGCAGCCCTCAACTCTCGACCCCTTGCACTCCCAGCTACTCTCGGCTTCCCCTTCTTAGGCACTCCACCCTCGAGCTTTACCTTCTCTGCATCATCTGCACCCAGCGCCAACCCTCCAGTCCCAAACTTTCTCAATATCCGCCTCTGCTTTCGATCTGCATATGTAACCTTCTCTTTTTCCTTTCCTCCTCTTTTCCTCTTCCGCCCTCGTCTTCCATACGTCCCTCCACACAGATGGTCAGGCACATCCATGACTTCTCCCTCCTTCGCCTGCACAACCCCAGTGTCTAGGTCCCTCCCGCGGCCCCAAAGTCCCTCCCCCGTATATCCTCTTCCCCAGAGACTCCTCAGCTCCCCAGCATACTCATCTCGCACCTTCCAAAACGCCTTGCTATGGTTCATCTGCTTACAATGCGCAAGCTCATGCACCATGACCATCTCAACCATGCGTTGCGGTAACCAGCGGCCGCTTGCGTCGCGCAAAACCAATTGTATGACCTCGCCGGCGTTGAAGTTGCGGCCGACGAATTCGCGATTATAGGGGTACTCCTCCAGGGCCTGAACAAAGATGGTGTCGCTCTTCATGAACGGATAGCATATTGCAGCCACACGGTTCAGGATCTGCTCGGCTGCGGAAGAAGAAGAGCCCGGTAGGGTGCGTATAAAGTTGATGTGCGCGTTCGGGCGCTGTGTGCGTTCGTTCAGGCGCTCAAAGCCGAGGGGCATGGTGGGTGTGAGGTGAGGGTGGGGTTGTGCGCATGTGGTTGTGGTGAATGTCTCGTCGTTCCACTCAACAGCAGTAGGAAGGGAAGATCTCTAAAAGAGTGGTGGCAGAGTTTACTGAATCCCTCTTTGTGTTGATCGAGTGTTGGCGTTATAAAGAATGGAGGTGAGGATGTGGCGACCATGTAAAGCGGTGCCGGAGCCAGGACGGCGTTACGGTACCGGTAACGACGCGTTCAATGCACGAAGTCACGCGAGTTGTCCTGGATCATCCCGGGAGATTCACTACTCTCGCTTTCGCCATGTCTCGATAGCTTCGAACCCGATTTACGACAAACAATCCTGATCCTACTCAGATCTTGTGCAAGAGCTTGGTTTTCTTCATTTATTCTTCTATACCTTTCAAACTTCCTTGCATCTCTCTTCCTTACCGTACGCGTCATTGAAAGTGCTTGGTACCAATTCTCCATTTTTCTACTATCAGTCCCGTCAGAGTGCCTAGTAGTATGTAACTGTTAAGTTTTGCTTATCATAAAGCGAACTGAACAACTTCTTGTTCTATAGACTCACTAAAATTAGTTTGCAGCCGGACATTTTCTTTGGGTTAGGGTTGGAAATCGACGTTTTCGGCCCGTTTTGGGATGTATGGGTCTTCCAAGCAGTATAGTGTAGAATCCACAATTTGGTCGTCCAAGCATTATAGGGGGGTTTCCACAATGGTAGAAAATGAAAGAAGTTGACTACAAAAGGTCGCCTCCACGTGCCCATCTCCTGCTGCATATTCACTTAACTACATCATACTTTGCCTTGAACACGACATGAAACTGATCCTTCTCGCCCTTCTGCCTGTGGCAGTAGCCCAAGAATTCTACACGAATGATGGATGGTCCAAGCCAGACGATGACCGGCTCAACTCCGCGTGCAAGAATAACCAAGGGTGGGGCTATGTCTGCGTATGTGGATAGGACAACCGTCATAGGGAAAGCGTTGACTGTTAGATAGGGTTATTACGCGACCAGTAGCCATCAAAATGCATTCCCTGATGCCTTTCCTATTCCTCGCTGGGGTTGTCATAATGCAGACAAGTTTATGAAAGGAGTTTGCACATGGAAAAAAGCCTCGGGAATGGTATGTGCACGTTTACCTAAGGGCCAAATCAGAGCTTGATCAACTAACAACGTGTCGACAGATTCTTTGCGTTCGTCAACTCTGCCATGCAACAGAAAAAAATGTTAGCAATCTGCTTACTATTTATTAGTGTCCCCCCTAGAGATGAGATGATATTGACTGGCAGAACGTGAAGTAGAGACAATAACCAAAGTGATGAGTATTCTGGTGATCATTTGTTTTGAGACATATATTTAGGCGGGTGTTTGGAGATAGTATTTAGCTGCAAATTGGCCTCTGATCTTCCAGCATGTACGGTAAAAATTGCTGAAAATGAGATGGAGTTACCTGAGAGGAGTTGCTTGGGTCTATTGTAGTAAGCATAGAAGCTCATAATGGCTGAATCGAGCCAGGGCAAGGCTTAGCATGTCTAGACTAATGCATAGTTATAATTGTTTCACAACAGCGAGATTAAAATTCCCTTGCTACTCAGGCCAGCTAAGGAAGGCCGAGCTAGGGTGAAGCTACTATACAGGAACTCCAGGGGCCAGGTACAATCTTTCCTTACACCACTATTCCTAGCGAACCAATACGGTAGGAAAGCCGAACTAATAATAAAACGGAGTACGAGTCGTACTCCGAGAGCGACGCTCATAACCAGTATGGTAATGCACAAGTATTCTGCGGGCCTTGGCTAAGTGGACATCGGAGAGGTTAATTAAGGCCTCGGAGAGTAGCGTCTCTCTATAAAGGGCATGCCTACTGCTGCTGCATCTTCTCACATCTACTACTTTACTCTGTAACCAACATGAAGCTCATTCTTCTTGCTCTTGTGCCTGTGGCATTAGCCCAATTTCCAGGCGAAGGCACCTGGTTTACCACGGGCCGTGGCGAACCTGCGCCGAGTGACGACCGCTTCGTCAACTCTGCATGCAACCCTTATTTTCACTTCTTTTGCGTATGACCATGAGATACCTAATCCCTTGTAGGGTAGATACTGTAGAGGAATAGGCTAACAATAACACAGGGTGTCCAGGAGGGTAGTACCGGTCAAAATCCAGATAGCCAGGCTTTCCCAGTCAAGCGGACTTGCTTTTTTCCAGAAAAGAAGCATGGGGGTCAATCATGTTCTCCTGAGCCAGGTTACAACAAAAACGCAGCATATGTAAGTTTACCTCTAACCCAACTAGATCTCAATTAGAGTTACAGAACTAACAGCATGTCTCTATGTTGTTTGCGTAAGTCATTGACATGATACTATGAGGAACTCTTGAGTCAAAGATTGCTAACTATGTAATAGTGTCGGCCGTAGTGTCGGCGTGTTTTGAAGGCGAGAATTGTTGGTCAGCTACCGGGACCCGCACGGCAGACTGAATTGTGTGGTTCGAATAACGTAACAGTATCTACAGTGATTTAATTGCAATTTAATTGGAAGCCCTTTCAATACATCAAATACGTGCAATTCTTCATGTGATAATGTGTGAATCCGCTGTTGCACGGCGGAAACAGGCGGCCCCGTCGGCCATAATACCGTATTGCGCAACTGCTACTCACAAGTTTATACATACAGTTACTTCAACCCATTCACCTGTTTAATAATCCTATATGTTGCTGTCGTATCACTCTGCTGTCTATTTTACGAGGGGGAGACTTGATATGTTCGCTTGTAAGGAGAACGATCTCCACAGAGGTTACCGGTACCCACCGCAGTGGTTGCTTAGAGGACAACAGTATGCAGTACCTTGTACTGTACCTGACCTGCAGATAAGCACTAGATTCAGAATCTAAGAGGCATGACATTGCTCGCACAATTGCTTCACAGTAATGACTCTCAATGACTCGCAATATACGGCTTAATACGTGTATCTACTTATGTACGATAGCATCCATAGTAGGTGGAATGAGCATTGCGTCCAATGTACTGTAGTGGAGCGTTCGTCATAACCAACACAGGTTGTACTAGCTGCAGGAGATGAAGAAGTGTGTTGAATGTCCTTCTGAAGGCCTTTCAGTACCTTCATATATGGCTCTTCTCTATGTCCCTTCATGCGCCCGAGTCTGGTTCTTCCGCATTATCCCTGTTTCCTCTACCACAGAACTGCATCATTTGCCCTAACAACCTGGCGCGGATTATTAGGGGAGTTGGGACGCTCCACGGGACCACGCGAGATCATGGGAATGATAAACGCGTTCTCTCCTTAAAATGCCTCGTCTGTCCTACGTCCTGTTATTATATCTCCACGCCTCTTGTACCTTATTCACTTACTACCTGAATGGCTTACCTCTTACACAACATGAAACTACTGATAACTCATTCTATCGGGATCGGGAAGAGAGTACCCCTTGCGCTAAGGTAATGTGCCGACGAACCAGAGTGACAATGTTGGAGATATACCACGGTAGGATTACAACGTCGTGTCCATTCATTTTGTAGAGAGAAATTACCATACTGTACGACTCCAGGTGAAGTGCCAGTCAAGCAAGTCGGGTGGCCCCTGGGGGTTCCCGCACGTGGTGTGACGAGGAAGAATACAGCCATTAGTGTTGCAAGAATATTGTGATGTTCACTGCGTACGTACTTGTCAGTGGCTATGTCGTAAATTCTGCATGTCGTGTTGCAGCCTGCTACGGAAGGTCCCGTACCGGTACCGGTATTACAGCCAAGCAATTGCTATTTCTAGGGTCAAATAGATGAATTTCCAGGTTTACAGCATTAGCGCGGTCAAACTCGGTGTAATACGGTAATTAAAAGTCATGCAGCCCAACATCCCTACTGTAGATATAACAATAGCGTCCTGTTAGAGCTGTGTATTAAGGGACTGAACAGTAAAGCTCAAAATCATCTTGTAAAAAGATGATATTTCACACCCACCCCATATGGCGCAGATAGTGCAAGGGATAGCCTTCGCCATATAGGAGACTTAGCAGACTTGTCATACGAATCCAGAGGATATCTGTCTATACTCACAGTTTCTATGTTTTAATCTGGAGTTTGAGGCGTTTGCAATAAAATCACCTATAGCCTGAATTATCACAGGGTACGTTGGTAAGTGAACAAATAGAGATGTAAGTGAACCTACTGCCAGGTTCCAATTTCAAAATGATATAGAAGATTGTTGCCATCATACTTTGGTCGGTGTACAGATCGAAGTAATTGTAGAATGATCAAAAAATACCAACCAGCTTTGAGAACAATATACCCGTTGTGGCCGTCTATCGACTACAATGCACTATTGATCCGCTGTCTTTCTATGGTCATCATAATCAAATCGTGTAATGCTGAAGATCACGATGGGCTCATGCAACTCAATATTCAAACTCAGCGTCTTATGACTGATCACTTAAGAAAATATGACGGATGGCAAAATTGATCAGCATACTATAGGTCACGGCTATGAGTCCTGGCCTAACGTCCCGTCTCCCTACGATGAAGGTAGTAAGTCTTTCTATTACAACGCAATGGCGTACTGCTAGGATCGATTAAACTGGAGTCTTGTAGTGCATGAGAGGCGAACGAACATATGGATATGTGAAGACAGGCAATATATTATTCCGCGTTAATATGCTAGCTCGAAACAAAAAATCGTTAATTTGCTGCGTTTTTGGGCTAGAAGATGTTTGAAACTTTAGGTCCTAGGATCGCTGTTAGGATGATAGTAGACGGATGTTGAAGCTCTAATAAGACGAAACGCTAGGGTATCGAACACTTCTTCAAGTTCTGTGAAATTTAGAATGTGCTTTGATTGCGTTGGTCTAGCAAAAATTGACATGCATAATCTGATTGCTAAATGCAGCAAAGGTCCTCTACTATAATATAAGTTCTAGTAGTTCTTCTCTCCAGCCTCCGGCTGTAGACAGAGTCAGTCAACCTGTGGGTACTTTACACGGTACCAAGGGATTAATCGGTTCTGCGAAGTCTTACTATTTTCTCATGTATTGGTATGAAGAATATTCGCTCCTGCTCGGATCACTATGTCGACCGCCAGTTCCGCCAGCTAAATCGCCACATCAACAGAAGGCCCCCCCCATGGCCATCACCCATTCTTCCTCCGTAATCCCATCCTTATCGACCATGAACTGTTGTTCTCCAGTGCTGCAATGATATCCTAAGACTGTCGCAACATTCGTATTCTCATCCTTCTCTTCTTCCTTCACTACGACCTCATTCGCACCATCCAGCTTTTCACCCAACACTGCACACATCTTACCATTAACTTTCCCAGTCTTGCCCTTGACACCACAAACCCCTATCTCACCTCCCACATCGCTCGCAACCCACTTCCTCAACCTCTCCAGGTTCTCTTTGCCTGCCGCCCAATCTCTCGCTTCATACGTACCCTCCTTCCGCGCCAAATCCTCCGGCCCATTGCCATACGGCTGAGTCGCCTGCACCAGCGCAATTCTACGCTTCCTAATTGCAGTAGCACTCTTTCCTTTGAATGGAAATAATGCTGCAATCTCCTTGTCTGTCTTCATGGCCTTCCAGAGCGCCCAAATGGCCTCATCTTCTTCGCGTCTCCATATCACTGGTATCTTGCCATGAGGCTTTCCGTTCCGGCGTCCATCTAAAGCGAGTACATCTGTGGGAACGAGGTTGTTTGATTTGAGGTAGGCCCAACGTTCCTGGATCGGGATGCGTGGAAGATGCAATGAGGCTGCAATGGATTTATTGTTCTGATGGTTGCGGTGGCCGTTTATGATGGCGGCGTCGATTTCATCGGTCCAGTATATGGTGGCGTACGTCTGTTCTGACAATTTGAACTTGGCTAAGGTGGGTGGCTTCTTGTTGCCGCCTCGTTTCATATAGACGTGGTGTGTCTTCACGGCATTGGTGCTTCGTGAGAGGATTTTAGCAATATCGGCGTACTTCATTTTTTGACCATTACGCAGGTGCAGAAGCTGGTCTTCTTCTTCTTTTGTCCAAGATACATGAGATTTGGCTCCCCGTGGATGTTCTGAACCAGGTTTGGGTAGATCCATTGTGTATGATGCGGTTTGATGGCGAGCTTTTGATTTCAGTTGTGTGGATTGTATAAGCGGTACGTGAGGGTTGAGCTTAATCTCCCTGTAGCTTTTGTTTTTATATCTGCTGGTCCAAGAGAGGTTTTTATGCTTCATGGTCTGCTCTTATCAGTAGGTGGGCTTCCGCAGTCCGTCTGTGCTGTTAAGGTGAAAGTGAAGTGAAATCCACATCACGGTGTATGCGCAGTTTCAGCTCATTTACAGAAAGTAGGTGAAGCATATTTGGTTACTGGGAGACCACTAGGTGCGCGTCATGGACAGCAACTCGCAGTGAAGGTGTACACTTTCACGCGCACGTGATAGCTTCGACTTTATTTGCGCAACCCCTTCGAACCCCTTCTCTTCCACATTTGTTCACACTACTATAATTAATCAACATTCAATACTATCTCGCAGGACAAGTGTCAGCCACTGAAATCCCTACATCTTTGTGTCTACTCAGGCCCGTCCAGAATTACGCCATCGCATCTCAGATCCACGGTGTCCACTCACAGTCCAACCCACTACATTGGCTCTTGTTATACAATACCACACTCCGGTAAACGGAAATGTTATCAAACTCCACCACCCCAAATCTTCCACATGTTCCCATTCCACCTCACCAAATTTCCTATCCTGACGCTATCATCGGCGAAATCACTCCAAATCACCAAACCACCAGGCGCAGGGACTATCACCCTGATCATCCTGGTTCCTCTACCCAACACGTGGCTCCACCTAGCGCCAGCATCCTAAATAGTCCTTCAGCCGACACAACACACTACCTTGTATCCTGGCGCCCAAATCCCGCAGGCATCATCACTGACAAACCAAGTCTAGTGGAAAAAGGTGTCCTGTGCGCTAGATTCCCAGACATAGTGGAGCAGTGGGAGGAGAAAGGAAGACAGAAAATTGAAGACGGGCAGAAAATGAAGGCTAGGGCAGAAGGGTTGGCTAGATTGATGTGGGGCGGTGAGAAGAATTCGAGTGCGTTTGGGAGATCGGAAAACAGTGGTGTACTGGATGAACGAGCAGCGGGTGTGAGGTGCACCCAAGGGGACAGCACAACCCACCACTGGGGCGAAGTACACCCGTGCGACGGTCATCCAATCGACCAGGACGAAGAAGATATATGCAAAGGATGTAGGGTGGATCACTGGAGCCAGATCACGTTTAATCTTCAAGGTCGTGGTGCCCGGGTGGCAGTTTGTGCTGAGTGTGCGAGGCGGGTGCAAAATCCTGGGGGCGACAAGCCCAGACTAGCACAGTGTGTCTGCGAGACAAAGTGGAAGTGTTGGGCATGTCGAGAGCGGGAGTTGAATGAGTTGGCGAGGGCGAGGAGGATGTGGGAGGTGAGGAACGGAGGCGCGTGTGGGAGATGTTGTGGTACAGGGGAGATGGTGGATACGATCGGATGGTGTGTGCTTTGCAAAGGGTTTAGGGTGTATGCTGAATATGCTGAGGAGCAGGTATCGTGAAGTCCATGGATGTGATGGAGGTGAGCTGAATAAGACTGAATATGTCAGAGGTGAAGGAGTGGACTCTTTCTACTAGCTTGTTTGGTGGGAGATTTACGTTGACACAAGAGGAACATGCGAGATGTCGCTTTCCAAACTTTTGATGATTCTTCCATCACCCCTTCGTCCTATGAGGCCATAAAAATCAGATAGCCAGTAAACAACGTTTCTGTACTTCTGGTACTACGCTGTGTATCTTATGCTTGAAAAACCACAGATTTCTTTATTTGTACATAACTCATTCCTTCCCTTTCCCCTTGGCGCGACCGCGTCGCTCATCATCTGCATCTTGCGGAAACTGTACACCCATCAGTTTCATCATGTTCCCCGCCGGTCCAGCCATGCCCGCTTGCCCTTTGAACGCCTTCAACATGTTATCAGCGAGATTATAGTCCTCATCCAATAAATCGTCGTCATCATCGTCATCATTACTACCCCTTTCGTCGCCTTTACCCACGTCTTCAACACCGTCCTCATCAGCAAACGCAACCTTTGCTCTCCCCTTTCCCTTTCCCTTGCTTTTGATTCGACCCATCCCAGAGCTCTCATCAGTGTTGGGGTTCATATTCATATTCAACGCCCCATGCGCAAACAACTCTTCCTCCATCAGCTTACTCAGTTTTTCAATTTCTTCGTCCTCTTCTTGCTCAGCATCTTGCTCGAGAGCCAGGGCACGCGCTTCCTCTGTGAGAAGTGCTTTCTCGGCTGCGGAGAGCGTCATATAGGCTGCGTGAGCCTTTTCGTACTCAGTGAATTCGGCGTCGGCCGAAGCGTCGGAGTTGTCGGTGTCGGAACCGGAAGGGTAGTCTGGAATGGGGGGTTTCGGGGCTCGACGAAGTTTAGGTTTGGTGTCGGTTGGAGTGGTAGCGGAAAGAGGAGCAGAGGGGCGTGGTGTTGGCATTACATCATCTTCGCTACTACTGTCTTCTGGGTCCTCCCACCCGCGATTCTCGGCATCTGAATCATTGTCTATGTCCATAGGGTCGAAATCCCCTTGAGCACCTTCAGCGCCGGCTTCATTGTCTGCGAGGAACGAGTTGAAGCGCTCAACCATTTTCTTCAGATTGTCCTGTGCAGCTTTGTCACCAAATGCTTCTTTATTACCTGTTCCCTTTCCTTCCAGCTCTTTTTCGAACTCAGCAAAATCGATATTCAGCCAACTTTCATCGTCTTCACGTCTAGGCCAGTCTGCTATCTCGGCGTCGGTTGGGAGTACGTCGTCACCGGTCTCTAGGTCGTTCAGAAGTAGGGCGATTTCGCGTGTCTGTTTGCGCGATGTGTAGAACGAATGTGAGAGTAGCATTTGTAGACCTGCTGTAATTTTGATGCCAATTTCTGATTTCTCTGCTGTTCTTCCGGAGTTTATAAGCTGTTCGAGTGCGGTGTCCCATGGTGCGGGAGGCTCCCAATGTTGACCCAGGAGCTGGGCGTAGAGGACTTTGGTGAAGCGGACACTGACATCGACAAAGTCCTCTGGTGGAAAAGTCAAGGAGATGCTTGATTTACTGGGCTGAACGAGGCGAATAGAGATGGGATCGCGGAGATAGAAAGCCTCAACTATGGCAGCAATGTATGAGGGATTGATGTGGAGAATATGTGCAACTTTCCTTGGTAACGGCACAGTTGCGTGATGTTGGTTTTCTGAAATTGCGGCAGGATAGCCATTGAGCCTGTGAAAAGCTTCCTTCTCTACCTTGATGTATTGCTGTGGTCGAGCAGGGGTGTCGTCAATGCTGCGCAGTGCTTGTGCCTGGTCCAATGGCTTTGGTTCTTCTCCTTTTCCAATCGGTATAATCAACAGTCGATGGCTGTTGATCCAGACTCTGTTTTCCGCGACTTCGGGGTTTAGCCATTTCGGTAGCGCATTTGCGGCCTCGATGAGCAAGAATTCGCCATCCGCATCATATATTCGAATCCAAGCGTCTTTGAACTCCTTGCTCAATTCTCGTAGCAAGTATACAATTAACCATTCATCAGCTACACTGTCCCCGTAGTTTGTCTGACCCCGTAACAGCCATCGATGTTCTTCTCGTACGAGCTCAAGTTTAAGAGCGTCACGCTGCCAGATGTACTCTTTGAGAAACTGCTTCTCGAGTGCGTTGAGGGCCCGTTGGAAAGCCTGAAGACGCTCTCGGGTCTGAATGTCAGAGAGGCGCGAGTCGATGATGAAGATGATGTACTCCACGACGTCTTCAGGCAGCTTCTTGGGGAAGCCGTCGAAGCCTTCGCCAAACCACTTGAGATTGTCATGTGGGCCTTCCATGGGCGAATAATAGGTCGGCGCGGACCGTATACCGAGATGACAGTATTCGTATTAATCTGAGCGCAGCCGATGCGTTCGTGCGTGCGTGTTTTTGTCGATGAGCGAAGAGTGCATACGAGCAAGAAACAAGCACGTGATGGACGTTGACGCTCGCTCCAAATGAGGTTTTCGGTCAAGTCAATGGGCCCGTTCTTTCCCTGTCGCGGTTGGACGCGCTTTCCCTTTCTGCGCTTCCCCACCCCCCCCAAGCCGGATGGTCCGAGCTCTAACAACAACAAACATTGGATCATCAACACCATTCAAAGCACCAAAGTACTGCTGCCATCAACCAAATCAGCCATACGGAAAAGCGCATCCCCCTCCTCGACTGGGCTGCGCGTCCCCAACACCATCCTACAAGCCCCCTCACTTATGCGATATTCAGAAGCAGCCTATCCACCATGGCCCACATTCTCGCAACACCTCGCACTGATGCAGGCGACGTGACGCGCCTCACAGTGGGCGACCTCTCCTTCAGCCGAGAAGAGTCCTTTCAAGCCCCAGCCGAACGCGACCAGCTATTTCAGAAAATGGGTGGCGCACGTACACCACGGAATAATCTCGCACGCCGCAACCTCAGCGCGAAGAACGAATTCACGCCCATGCTGAAGAGCGCGACTGCAAATCGGACACGCCAGGTCAATGGATTGATGAACGGCAACCTCACCACGCCCGCTGCGATGAAGCCTGGATTTCAGATTAGCAACACACCACTGCCCGAGGCAAGCACGTTCGACATCCAATCAAGCTCTTTTGCCGATTCAGTGGATGGCCGCACGCCGGTGCCAGACAATAGCTCAAGTGACATGAGCACACCCATGGCCTTGCCGCGACGGGCAGCAGGTGAACTCGACAATGGAAACGGCAATGTGCTTACGTTGCGCGAACAAGAAGCTCGCCTCGAGCAAATCGACAAAGAGAATTTTGGCCTCAAGCTGAAGATCCACTTTCTCGAGGAGAACCTTAAGAAGATGGGCCCCGAGTTCAACATCAAGGCGCTGGAAGAGAACATCAATCTCAAGTCAGAGAAAGTCACCATGTCGCGCGATATGAAGCAGTATATGAAGGACCTCAAGAACGCCGAAAAGGAACTGGATTCATACAAGCAGCAACTACGTGAATATGCCGAGAAGGTCAAGCGGCGGCACGTAGACGAGGGATTGCGCGAGGAAATGGACGAGCTCCGCAAACTAGCAGATGAACGTGCGGCTGAGATTGACAAGCTGGAAGATAAAGTCGAGGAAGCCAGGAATGCTGAGGCTGAGTTGGAAAAGGTTAGTGCGGAGCTGGAAGAAGCGCAAGCAGAAGTCTCGAAACGCGATCGGTTGCTGGACGAACATGACGACCGTATTGAAGAGCTCGAGAAGGAGTTGGAAGCACAGTCATCTCGATCGGCTGGCCTTGAAGAAAAGGAACGTGAGATAGCTGATCAGGCTGAGCGCATCGCTGAACTCGACGCACAATTGCAATCACTTCGACAAGCTCAGCGAAATGACTTGGCAGACAAGGAGCGCTTGCTGGCAGAGCAGAACGATAAGATCAAGGACCTGGAAGATCAGCTACGCTCGCTCCAACGCTCCAAGGAAGCCAAGATCAATAAATTACAAGATCGAATCGAGGCAGCCGACAACGAAAAGGACCAAGAGATCCGAGAGCTGGAGCTGAAGCTTGAAGAGGCAGAGCGGGAGCTCGATGCTGCCAATGATGAGAAGCGACAAGAACTTGGTAGAGTAGAGGAACGCTTGCGCTCCCTGGAGCGTGAGAAGGATGCCGACATCAAGGAGCTACAACGACGTCTACAATCTGTGCAACATGAAAAGCAGGCCGAATTGGAAGCGGTACGCGAACGTGTGGAGCTGGCAGAGTCACAGGGCGATAACCAGGTTCAGCTCGCTCAACAATCTGCCAATGATGCTCGACAAAAAGTACTCGACATCACCCGTGAGAAAGGCGTAGAGTTGGAATTACTGCAAGCCAGAGTCGACGCGGCAGAAACCAGGGCGGACGAGCTCGAGGACTACCGCAGACAATTCCAGGACGCCATGCAGCAGATCACACGCCTGCAACGTGACGCGTCCAATTACGAGCAACAGCTCCAGCAACTTCGGAGAGATCTCAGCCAGAAAGACCGCGAGCTCGAAGACCTGGACAGGCTGCGGCGAGAGCGTGACGATGCGACCCAGGAGATTACCGGTCTACGTTCTACACTCACAAGCAAAGACGCCCAGGTACTCGCGCTGAATAAAGCTATGCGCGAACGCGACGCGCTTACCCGCGAGCTTGCCGACCTCCGTCGCGACCGCGATAATCTTGTCTCCAAGATTGCGAACAAAGACGAGCAGGTCGAAGTACTGCGTAGAGGCAACAATGACCGCGATACCCTTGTTGCCACCCTACGGCAAGAACGCAACGAGATCGAAATTGAGATGCGCAACTTGCGGTCAGCGGTGTCTGGGAAAGACACGCAGATTGAGGCTCTACAGAAAGTCACGCGTGAACGAGACGCGCTGTCAAGAGATCTGTCCAACTTGCAGTCGTCGCTACAAAGCCGCGAGCGCGATGTACAAAGCCTGCAGAAGAAGATCGAAAGTCAAGAGGCGACTCTTCAAGAGCTTAAGCAGCTCAAGAATGACCTTGGTAATCGGACCCGTGAGCTGGAGACTGCGCGACAAACAATTTCTGACCGGGATGCTGAGCTTGAAGCCCTTCGAGATCACGCCGATGAACCAGACACACAAATTGATGTGATGCACAGTTTGGTCCGCAAACGTGACGATGATTTGGAAAATCTGCGTGAGGAACTCAATGCGCAACGAGGCCAAGTCGAAGAACTCCAACGGTTGGCAGAAGAGCGTCTAGAAGCCCTCGAAGAGCTGCGTGACGAAGCCCGCCGCGAAAAAGAAGATTACGAAGCAGAGATTGAGGTCCTACAGGAAGACGCAGACGAGGTCGCTGAAGAAAAGGCCTCACTCGAGGAGAAAATCATATTGCTGGAATCCATGATTCGTGAGAAGGAAAACCAGGCCGGCGCGCTTCAGTCCGAGTCTCGCGCGGCCCAACGCGAACAAAAGGCAGCCTTAGAGGAGAAGATTCGTGGCCTTGAATCGAAACTCCGCGAGAAAGACTCCCAACAGCGTAAGCTTCTCTCCGAGGCCAAGGCGACAGCCCGCGAGCAGAAGCTCACTTTGGAGAACGAGCTCCGTGATCTGCAGTCTCGCCTTCGGGAAAAGGAATCACAACTTCGACTCACGCAGGCCTCCGCGAAGGCTATTCAGCACAAGGCTGATCAGGACGCCATTGACTTGGATGAGCAAGCTGGTGCATTGACGAAGCGACACGTCAAGGAGATAAACGGTCTCGCAAAGCAGATTCAATTCCTCCGCGCACGATGTTCGCGTGCCGAGGCCTTCCGCGAAGCCCTTGGATACCAGAAGCGGTTCTTCCTGATGCAGATCCAAGTTTACAGCGAATGGTACGCCTAGCCTCCCTCCCCCTCCTTGCGCCGAGTTCAAAATACTAACACATTTCCAGCAACCAGGAAGATCTCAACCTCATCTCGCAAATGGGTATCACACCCGACATTACTGTGCACGAGCGTCGTCCTACACTTAAATCCGCCGCATTGGCTGTTGTGGCAGCCATCAGGATGCAGAAACTGGCAGAGGGCTGGGCGCAGAATCGCAAGATTCATGAGCAGTTGAAGACGAAGCTTGAGTCTATGAGACGAGCAGGCAAGGGCAGGGGGGTGGGCGGCACGTTGAGAATTGCGCGATAGACAATGTGTGGATATTGGCATGGCGAGGATGATGATATGATGGCATGGGGCGGCTTCTTGGTGTACGGTTGATATATGACGGTCATTTTTAGGCATGGGAGAGATTGCGGATCGGTACGCTGCCAAATTGCAAGCGTCTTCATTATTCTACCGAAGCCTTGAGCACAGCTGGAAACTATGCCGTGCTGTTTGGTCACGTCCTGAACATGGCTTCCGAAGCACACACATTATAGAACGCAACGAAAGACCAAGTTTCATGAGTGCTGATTTACAGACGTCGCCGCCGTACCTAGTCTCAGTGTCGAAGTCTTCGAATTCGCCAAGCAATCCCATAAGTTGCCGATTCAGCTTGATCGATTTACGATTAATGTACCGGGGGGTTTGGGGACATGCAGACGAAGTGTGTGCCGACGTGAAAAGGGGCCATAATTTCGTCAGCTTGCGCATTATCGGCTGTGCTCAATGATGCTCACAAAGTCTGTGATGTTGCAAAAGTCTGTGATGTTGCAATGTTAATGGAGTGATTGCTTAGTCAAACAGACGCCATACTGTGGTGGTTAGACGTCGGCCATTTCTTCCCTCAGTAAGACAGGCAGGGTATTAAGCGGCGCTCATCCACGATACCTACAGAATGCAGTCAAAGTGCGAATGAACTTTCACCCGCCACCCGGGCGGAAAGACTTCCACGCCAACGGCAACGGCAACACTAGCGTACAGAAAGACCAAGACTGGCGGATGATGGATGGTTTGTGAATCCTGTCATGTCACGCCGTTGCATAGGGATCAAGATGGTAATAGGAGGCTGGGCGAAGGGCGGGTATTTTACCACAAGCCGATTAGCCTCACTGTATTGCTGTTCTCTCCGGACCCACCATGAGGCTCTTGAGGTTCAAAAACCTCTTCCACGATGCCTTGGCGGGCTTCAACAACTGGACTGTCCCGGTGGCTGGTCCAAAGCTGCTGTCGTGCTAGTCCCTCTCCGCCTTTTCTCCGCAGATCCCTCGGGAGGTGATTCGGGCCGATCGTGAAATGTTCAATAGTGAGGTACGGTGTATGACGATGGAGAGCGGGCTGTTCGCTTGTTTGAGCGATTCCAGATGATTCCCGACATGTGTTCCGATCGATGTTGCGGAAGGGTGCGGTGATATTGTACAGTGAATGAACGCGCGTGCATGGTATATGATGGAAGGTTCAGGGTACCGTGGATCGAGCAGTATAAGTACCAGCGGTGAACCTTTGATGGTCTTCCCAAGGCGACTTTGACTCTATCCTATTTTCCGGTCATCATGGTTCGGTCATCGGCACTCGTCGCCGGCGCTGCTCTGCTCTTGGGAGTAGCAGATGCCTACTACCATAACAAGCGACAGACTGGTAATGAGAGCCCTACTGTTGTCATTCCAGGAGCATCTTCTTACAATGGCCTGAACCTCGTCCCTCAAATGGGATGGAATAACTGGAATGTAAGTTGAATGTAAATCTTTTCTTTTGTACCTTTAGACTAACATCGCTAGGCCTTTCACTGCGATGTAAACGAGAGCTTGCTACTCACCACTGCGCAAGACATGGTTGACTACGGTCTCCGCGATCTTGGCTACAATCACATCGTTCTTGACGACTGCTGGGCTGTTGGACGCAATGAGAGCGGCTACTTGGTCGCTGACAGTTAGTGCCCAAGCTGACCGATCAGTAGCCAATCAAAAATTTAACATTGTTCCAGGCTACAAGTTCCCCAGCGGCATGCAGTCCATCGTCGACCAAATCCACGCTCTAGGCTTCAAGTTCGGCATTTACTCATCCGCCGGTGTGCTCACCTGCGGCCGCTTCCCTGGCTCTCTAGGCTATGAGAAGCAAGACGCAGACCTATGGGCCTCCTGGGGCGTCGACTACCTCAAGTACGACAACTGCTTCAACCAAGGACAATCCGGGACTCCCAAGCTCTCCTTCGACCGCTACAAAGTCATGTCTGACGCGCTCAACGCCACCGGCCGCGAAATGGTCTACGCAATGTGCAACTGGGGCAACGATGACCCATTCGACTGGGCGTACAGAATCGCAAACTCCGGCCGCATGAGCGGTGACATTTACGATAGTTTCAACCGCCCTGATGACCGCTGCCCTTGCACAGAGGCAGTGGGATGCCCGTGGCCCGGCTTCCACTGCTCCGTCATGAACATCCTCAACAAGATGCCCGCGATAACTTCGCGCACCATGTCCGGCTACTTCAACGACATGGACATGCTCGAGATTGGCAATGGCGGGCAATCCGACTCGGAGTACGTAGTCCACTTCAGCATGTGGGCCATCAATTCGTCCCCCATGCTCATCGGCACAAACGTCGGCACCTTGTCTCCCGCCAACCTGGCCATCTACTCCAACCCTGCCATTCTAGCTATCAACCAGGATCGTTCTGCGGGCGCAGCGAAGCGTGTCTGGCGCTACCTCGAGGCTGCAGATGACAATGGCCAGGGCGAGATTTCCCTCTGGACCCGCACCCTTGGCAACGGCGACCGTGTTGTTGCGCTGTTGAATGCGGCAAACGTTTCGATGAGTATGAATGTCACGATCGACGAGGTATTCTTCGACGAGAGGACCGCGGGCGCGTACCGTGCGCCCCCAGAACTGAGCCAGACATGGGATATTTTTGACCTCTGGGCAAATCGCATGAATGAAACTGAGGCTGCTGCTGTGCTCAACGGTACGAGTGGTGCGATCCAGGCGAATAGCACGACAAGATTCAATGCTACTGCGACTAGCTATGCTGATGGTGTCGCTAGTGGACATCCTGCGCTTTTGGGTAAGCAGGTTGGCGTCTTGGAGCCGAGTGGAACATTTACCGCAGAGATTGCTAGACACTCGGTTGGTGTGTATAGGCTTCGCTCCCGGGAGGCTGCTTTGAGGAAGAGGGACGAGCTATGAATCTTTTTTATGAAATCATGATAGTGGAACGAACTGAGGCGGCAGGAAAGCAGGTTCCTAGTCACCCCCAAGTACACGTAACGCGTCAATAAATGAATGATGATATCCTTTGACAATTGGAAACTTTTTGTTTAGTTTGATTTCTGGAAGTGGTTATTTAATGGTTCTGTACCGAATCACGTACCTCTATGCTGTACTCTTCTCCCGCATCCACGCCGCAACAACACCCTCCAACACCTCCTTAATGACCCTCAAGTCCCTGCGCACATCAGCCATCCAATTTGCAACCGCAAATCTACACGCGGGACTCCCATCCCAAGTGGTCCCACTAACATAAATCTTTTTCTTTGCCTTGATCCTCTCCACAAGATGTCTGTTTAACTCTTCATCCCTCGCACGAAAAAGCACAATGATGAAAATCCGACTCAGTATGTCCTCCTGATTCTCAGTTCCCCAAGTTGCCTGCGGTAAGAGTTCAAATGCACTGCTATCTAATACAAATTTCGCGATGCCGCGAGCCAGCGCAATTTGGCGCTCAAGCATGTCCTTGTACCCGTCCCGTCCATATGCAACCAGCGTTGCGTAAGCAGGCAACGCTCTGAAGCGACGAGAATTCTCCAATCCAATGTTTAGAGGCGACATGATGCCACCGGTAACTGCGCCGGTGGCAAGGTACGCAGCGTTTGGGTTCTGAAACACGCGGGCGGCAAGATTGGCATGGCGCGAGAGGAAGAAGCCAGAGTCGTAGGGTACATTGAGGAGTTTGTGTAGGTCACCGGTCAGGGAGTCGGCGAGAGGGATGCCAGAGGCTGCGTTGATAAGTTTGTCGTATGTTGTGTTTGACGTGTTGGTTGTAAGTGTGTGCGTGGAGGGGTGAGATAGAACGCGAGCGAAGAGACCAAAGGCGCCGTCGACGTGGATCCATGCACCATACATGTCACATAGTCGGCGTAGCTCTTGCATTTCTTCGAGACTGATGGTGGCGAAGAGACCGGTATTTACTTCTGATGCGCTTACTGCAACGATGCTTGCAGAGCCTGGTTGAGCAAGCAGGATTTTCAATGTATCCATGTTGAACTTGTGGGGAGCGTGAGTCAAGCCGATGGTCTTGACGCTTGCTCTTCCTAAGCCGAGTATACTTGCTGCTTTGGAAAGGGAAGAATGTGGGACCGTGGTGAGAATTTGGATCTCGTCGATGCCTGCGCGGCGCATGGCTTCAATTATCCCAACTTCACCGACACTGACCACTTCATCTGTACGGTGAGCTGATGCTTCAGCAATAACATATTCGCGTCCACACGCCAGACCGAGAACGTTACTGGTTGTTGCACCAGTGGTGAAGGTACGGTGGGGCCAATGTTGTGGGTCCAGGTCCAGCAAGTTGCAGACAAGATTGAGGGTGGTGTCTTCAACATTTGTGGCAACGGTTTCGAAGGGGAGATGCACTTGCACATTTTGATCGTGGTAAGTTACAAGGTGATCTGCAAGAGCGGCGGCTGGTGTTGTGCCACCGGTGACAAATCCGTAGCTGCGTGGAAGGTCAGGAGTTTTCCAACGTGAGACTTACTCATTCAAGCATCTGGGACTTGGACGAGCGACGTTGGGTGTAACATACTACAGAGCGTCAGCGATAATAGAATCTTGCTTCTAATGGGGCCGCGGGGATGCAGGAAAGATGGAGAATGTTGCAGGAAATGGGGAATGGCTTCAGTGTCAAGACATGTAGCACTAAGAGGAGGGTATTGCAGAGAGCGAACAGCAAGCACAGTGGAGATGTCACTACATACCTAATTAGGTGATCGAGCAGAGGCATTAAAGGCTGGAGCAAGATCTTCTTGTATATGTCGTATTGTTCCTTCAAGACCTTTGCCCGAGGGCGGCAGAATAGACACCAGCTTCTCTTGGCCATGAGCTAATGCGACTCCAGACGGAAGCACTTCTGTGGGTGTAGGCTGCGAATGGAGCTTGGCAATCTCGGTCGCAAGCCTCTCGAATGCTTCGACATCTCTCGCATCCATAGTATCGAAGGGACTCGAAGTTAATCAGAGTGAGGTTGAGATGGCTGCCTTATGAAGATTGCACAATCAATCATGCAATGGGCCAGGTACCATGAACGTTGGGAATTATGAACGTCTACCACTGATTGCAAGAAATTCATGAGGAATACCGGTACTGCATGAGGGGATTCCAAGATGCAGGATTCTTGGGGTTTTTGCAAAGGACTGCGATGGGAGATTCTATGGCTCCTGGACAAGCATTGGGTTGTCTTGTTCCTTGTACCGTATTACTATAAGGGATCGTGACTGATTGTCAATCTTGGGCATCTGTATATACCTGTCGAAGACATTCACCGGTTACCAGTTGAGGGCAAAGGTGAAAGATGAGGTTATGAATATTGAATATTTGAAGTGAGGGGGAAGTACCGGTACGATATGTCACGTGCCTTGGTGCCGCGCTAGAAACGCGTCGTGAGGGGCCCACAACACCACCAACGCACACCAACTATGTCATCGCCACCACGATAGCCGGACATCTTTTCGACAAGCACACAATCTACGCGTTAAAGTACCAATGTGCACAACTTCTGCCAGCCATGCGACGCTCTGATGCCTCTGAACAACCTCAACAAGCATCTCCCTTGGCTGTTATCCGAGAAGCCTTTCATACCGCACGCTGGATCGGTTGTAGCCTATGATCCCAACTCTCTTCCAACCAGTTCAGCCACCGCCTCGCAACCCTCGTCTTTGCTGGCGGAACAGGTAGAATACAATGAACCAGCACCTGCATCTGCCCCACAGCCCGCTCCACCCCTCACTCGGCCTGTTGCACCCCGCATTCTTACTCGGTCGAAGACGATTGATATACACAACCCACCAGGACAGAAAGAGGCGACTGCGGATATGGCAAGGCTGAGACAGACACCTGCCAGTGGAAAGCCTAAACTTGTACTGGCTGGACTTCCACATTACGACAGGGCAAATGAGGAAGTAGCTGTGCTACGCCGAAATGCTGGGGCCTGTAGTACGCCAGTACCGACACAGCGGACCGCCAGAAGGGTGCGAATCGTGTCTGAACATGTAGATGCCATCGACCTTACTGGAAACGACCATCTACGCTCTTCGCCAATTGCAGACCGTCCAGCCAAAGGGAGAAAGAGGAAGAGCGATGAGTTTGGGCAAGACTTCCGACGCGCGAAATCTCCGAGGCCGACGCGCAACGCACCCGCGCCCAGTCCTCAGCTAGACGACGAAGATTTTCCAGACATTGACGAAATGGTACTGGCTCCTGAGAGCCCACCTCCACCTTATTCCACCGTGGTCCCGATCGGACGCGAACAGCAGCCACCCGGCGACATGCCAGATGACGAAGATATCGAATCTATGCTTAAAGCAGAGCATGAGGATCGGATACGGGAACAAGCAGAGACCGTGCCATCTACCCAGACACGTAAGCGCAAGCCATCAAGTCGTACGCCTTCAGAGACCTTGGCCCCAGCTCGTAAGCTGGGGAAGCAAACCTGCAGTCCTTCACCAATCAAGAACAATATTCTGAAGGCCAAAAAGACCTCTCTTACAGACAAGCCCGTTATCGGCAAAGTTGGGCATACTGTATTGGACTCAGAAGATGAAGAATATGGCGCATTCGATGAAATGGACGAAACACGGTCTCGTTCTCGATTAAAGACGCCCACCAAGGAAAAGGTGGGCGAGAAGACCCCTGTGCCAAACGCGAGCATGCCGCTGCCTATACGCTCCCCATCGAAAGCCTCGTCAAGTCCAAGACCTTACAAACCGGAACACGATTCTATGCCCACGCCAGCAAAGTCGCAATCGCCACGAAAGCAAATGATGGTGTCGAAAGAGACTGGCCTTATCACTGATGCTGCCGTTGCGCAGGATCAATCGACGCCAAAGTTTTCCCAACCAACCAAGGAGCAGCGGGATGCTATGCGCATAACTGTCAATGCTTTCCTCAAATCAGAAGGCGCACATTTACAACAACATCTGAACGCCGCCATTTCTGCATGGGATAGTGCCCGGGCGGCCTTCGTCACCTATGTGGATGAGAATGGCACGCCTGGCGTATCAGAGCTGGAAGTCGTGAACCGCGAGCGCGCGCGAAAGGATGCAGTGGAGCAGCTAATTACACTAAAATCGACTTGTGATGATATTGAAAACCAACGACGGCGTATCAGAGAAAAGATCGACGATGACTTGAACAAGGGACAATTCGATGGCGAAGATGGCCATAAGCTGAACAAGCTCTTCAAGTCACTCGAAGATGCTCAGATACAGATGTACTATCTCCTCGATACTGCTGCGATCAAAACACGATCAAAGCCAATTATCAAAACTGAGCGTGCAGAATCTCCTTATGTTGTCATCCAGTCGACGCAGACTAGCCCCATCAGGCAACGAAGGCGGTCGCTGGCCAATGCCCAGTACGAACAAACTGCTCCGACGCAGAGAGTACCGCAAACACAAGTCGCAAAGCCAGAAGTTTGGACGCCCACGCGCCGCATACGATTCGCCGAAGAGCAAGTAGCTGCATCTTCATTGCCGCAACCGGATTTAGGTTCTCATGTTCAATACAATGCTGGGGGGGCCCAAGATACGTCCACCTCACGCGACCGCTCCCATCGCATCCCGGAGACACCATGTCGTCACAAGAATTATGATTCTACCGAATGTGAGTCTCATGGTACACTTGACGAGTTTGATGACCTAGATTTGGAAGAGGGAGACGAGAATCTGTTCACGACCAACATGGGTCCACCTCCAGGTCCGATCGAGATTAAAGATGATGATGATAATGATGATGATGAAGAGTTTGGTGGTGGCTTTGATGCAGATGAAGAGGAAGACTTCCTCCACGAGATTAGCAACATTGAAAATCAGGCACCGAGTGGTTTTGATTGGAAGGGCGAGAGGACTAACACGCAAGCATCAACCTCTCGAGAAGTCTTCCGCGAGACAAACGCAAACACCATCCAACCGCCCAAGACTCATCCGTTGCCGAAGAAGCCGCAGATGGACATACGCGCAAAGAACTACCCTGGAATGGACTTTCCGTGGTCCCAAGATCTGCGCAACGCACTTGTTCGTCGATTCGGCTTGCGCGGGTTCCGGCCTGGACAGCTCGAAGCTATCAACACTACCCTCGGCGGAGAGCATTGCTTCGTGCTTATGCCCACTGGAGGTGGAAAGTCCCTTTGCTATCAATTGCCATCCGTCATCACGTCAGGCAAGACACGCGGTGTGACCATAGTCGTCTCACCATTGCTCAGTCTGATGGAAGATCAGGTTGCAGCTTGCGAGCAACGTTTTGGTATGCAAGCGTTCCTGATAAACGGAGAGTCTACAGCAGCGCAGAAGAACATGATTATGGATGCTCTGAAGGAACGCGACCCCCAGAAGTTTATCCAAATCCTCTACGTGACACCGGAGATGCTTAGCAAGAATCAAAGGATGGTCGGTACTCTTCAGCAACTACATTCGCGAGGCCATCTCGCAAGAATCGTCATTGATGAGGCGCATTGCGTGAGTCAATGGGGGCATGACTTCCGTCCAGATTACAAGGCACTTGGAGATGTTGTACGGCAGTTCCCTGGTGTCCCTGTCATCGCCCTGACAGCTACTGCAACTTCGCTCGTCCGCACTGATGTTGTTGCCAATCTAGGTATACAGGGTTGCCGACAATTTTCCCAAAGTTTCAACCGTCCCAATTTGTCTTACGAAGTGCTTCCAAAGTCAAAGGGTGTAGTGAACAGCATCGCGGAGCTAATCAAAGACAGGTACTCAAAAAAATCTGGCATCATCTACTGCCTATCTCGTAAAAGCTGCGAAGACGTAGCGAAGAAGCTTTCCGATCTTGGCCTCAAAGCGTTCCACTATCACGCTGGCATGGAATCTGCAGAACGTTCCGCAGTCCAGCGCAAATGGCAAAGCAATGAATATCATGTCATTGTGGCGACTATTGCGTTTGGTATGGGTATCGACAAGGCCGATGTTCGATACGTCATCCATCATACCCTTCCGAAAAGTTTGGAAGGCTACTACCAAGAGACCGGACGTGCTGGCCGTGATGGCAAGCGATCGGAATGCTATCTTTATTATCAATACACTGATTGCAGGACGTACCGAAAAATGATTGACGAGGGTGAAGGGAGCTTCGAGCAAAAACAACGGCTGCATAGTATGTTACGGACGGTTATCCAGTACTGCGAGAACAAGGCGGATTGTCGACGAGCGCAAGTGCTCGGCTACTTTAGCGAGCCCTTTGACCCGGCCAAGTGCAATTCAACCTGCGACAATTGCCGATCAGATTCCACATTTGTGACGAAAGATCTCACGGAGTATGCGGCGATGGCCATCAAGCTCGTTAGCAAGGTGCATGAGGATAGTGTCACCATGCACCAGTGCGTTGACGCGTTCCGTGGCGCCAGTACCGCCAAAATCAAGAAGTCTGGACTGGAAGCTTACGGTTGGGGCTTTGGCAAAGATCTGGAGCGAGGTGATAATGAGCGGATCTTCCAGCATCTTGTTGACGCTGGGGCTTTGAAGGAAAAGAGCAAAGTCAACAAGGTTGGCTTTGCCACAAATTACCTTCACGTAAGATATGTGGATCTCTCGAAGGCGTGCTTCGCTAACACAAACAGCCTGGTCCGGCACGCAATGAATTTCTTACCAAACGCCAAAGGCTGCAGTTGCAAGTACGATCCTCGCCTCGGAAGCTTGCAGCAAAGAAAACGACGGCGAGGAAACAGACAGAATACCCTTCGACAAATGTCTCATCGCCAATTCACGCACCAAAACAGAAAATACCGCATCTTGTGTACCAGGGTATCGAGGAAGAGGAAGAAGAGGACGAATACTTCGATAAACCCAGCCATCCGACACGGAAAAAGGCACCACGCGGTCATGATGAAGATGGCTTCATTGGCGGGAATTCTCAAAATAACGCCGACGCTGCCCCTGTTCGCATGGCCAAGTCATTGGGGCCGACGACCACGAAACCCCTTGGAGCTCCCATCACAATCGATGAACGCACGGCCAACCTCACCACCTTTCAACAGGACGTACTCCGCGACTTTCTTACCGGCGCAAAAGCCCTCCGAAAGAGCATCATGACGCAAAAGGGTCATAGAGAAGCCATTTTCACAGACACTGTTCTGCGAGAAATGGGTATCGATTTACCTTCAACCCTTGACGAAATGCGTCTGATCGAAGGCATACGACCAGAAATGGTGGATCTGTACGGGAAACGCTTCCTCCCTCTCATCGAGAACTCACGCGCCTGCTACGGCGAATCGGCACCCATACCCAGGAACCCAGCACTGCGCCGTCAACCAGCCCCTCTTCGAGTTGTCCACACCGTTTCAGATGATGAAGAACAAGTCGCAGATATCAATCACAGACTCGTTGTCGACCTCTGCAGCGATGACGATGACGATGACGACGAGTATGGGCAAATGCCATTTGGTGCCGACAACCAAGCTGAAAGCGACTACTCTTATGGCGATGACGACGATGAGGAGGAGGACGACGATGCAGAGCACAGTTCCCGATACTTCGACCAGAGCCTCGACCCCCAGGTTGCAGAATTCAATAATCGCTACACACAAGCTGCCGGGCCATCATCGTCGGCGAAGCCGCCCAAGGCTCCTCCTGCTGCGCGAGCCAGTTCCAAGGTGACTGGTGGACCAAGGAAGAAGTATTATAAAAAGAGGGCTTCGGGTAGTTTCGGAGGATTTGCAGGAGTGAAGAAACGTGCACCCAAGAATCGGGCACCGCGAGGCGCAGTGGCAGCGGGGAAGAGGGGTAGTGGTAGTGGCGGGAGAGGCAGAGGCGGAAGAGCCGCTGGAGCAGCAGCTGGAGGGGGTGGCTGGGGCTCAATTATGGCGATGCCTACTTAAGTTGCAATCAAGTTGGCGTGAGCAGACTTTGATACTACCTTTGGCGCTGGATTCGGCTAGGAGCATATCATTACAAAAGAGAGATGTTATCGTTAGTCAGGGCAAGTGTGTATCATCTATTTGCTAGATATTGGATTACTACAATATATTTTTTAGGCGAACATGTGCATAATAAGCATCTCTTAAGCGTTTTAGAACAATAGAAATGTATTGTATAATACCTTCTAGGAACTTAACATAATAACATAAAGATGCATGCGAAGGGATAGCGTTTACATTAATCCTACGAAATCATGCACAGTCAGCCCTACATAAAACCCCAGGGACCCTTTTTAAAACGGGGGGGGGGGGGGGCTGCTCTTGTAACGAGTGCTTGCACTCGTTCTAGTTCTTATTAGACTAGCCAAGATATCGCAAGCCCTAATATAGCTCTAAGTCTAGTCTAAGGCCCCTCTACCTCTATATATAAAAGGAGCCTTATACTCTTAGATAGATAGATAAGTTCTTCTTATCCTTTTATATAAGACCTATATGTGTAACAATTTATCCTTTTCTATATAAATACGTACTCCTATATACCTTTAAGTTATATTAGATCCTATTTAGATGCTCCTAGTTACCTACGTTCTTATATTCCTAGATAGGTTTATCTAGTTTATAATAGGTGTCTATTAGTAGAAGAGTTACTATTTACTAGATAAGGACTATAATCATATTATAAGCTTACTACTCCTCCTAGATATAAAGGGCTTAGGCTTATGCCTAAGCCCTAGGTCTAACACAAGATAGACTAAGTCTAACACTACTACTAAGCGAACACACTAGACACCTATAATAAGGCGTAGAGGGCTTACCTCTCCTTTAAGATACTAAATACTATTATTAACGCTTATTATATTCTCCCTTAAGGCTAGTCTATAATATTTTAGTATCTTCTTCTAAATATACTATAATAGTAATAAGAGATAGACGCGCTAGATATTTAGAATAACTAGGTGCAACCTAATATAGTAGAAAGGCTAATATAACAGGTCTATAGTTTAATAGAATAATAGGCTTAAGACTCTGCTATAATAGCTATACTACGTTAATAGAATAAGGAAATACGCAATTAGATTCTATCCTAACCCTCCTCTAAGCCTGCTAGGTTTAATAACATGCTACCTCTACCCTCTCCTACCTTATATTATAAACCCTTCTTAGTTAGCTTACTATATAATAGCACTAAGGTAAACTTCTCCTCCTAGTAAATAACTATAGAGTTTAAACTACGTGTAGATAAGGTTTTTATTAGGGATAAGGAGGCAAGGTTTATATATATTTAGTCCTAGTTATTACCTATAGTCTAGCGTGCTATAGTACTATACTTTAAGGATAGTATACGCAAGTATTAGGATATAAGTAGGTTTCTTAACTACCTAGTGTTCTATTATAGTAACTATTATAGGTAGGAGTGTACCTAAGTTATATTAGAATACTTATATTAGGGCTAAAATTAGCCTTTTATAAAGTTCTTTATAAATTTTATATAGCTCCTTATATAGTTAGGAGGTTTATACTAAAATAATAAATAAAAGCTTTTATAACTTTAGTAATCTCTTAATAGTTATATATACTTAGTTTCCCTTAATAAGGGAGTCTCTAGGATAAACTATAATATAGCTATAAAGGAATATAAGATAATTATAGTAGATATTAAAATAGCCTCTCTAGAACTAGGCTTTCTTTAGGCTAGTAAGTCTAAGGAACCCTAGTAGAAGTCTAACTTAGATTAGGATAGTAATATAAATATAGTAGAAGTAGCAGCCTTATTAAGTGCACCTACTAAACTGCTAATATTACGCCCTAACTAGATCCTATAGGACCTATTTAATATATAGAAACTAGCAAGGGTCTATACCTAGTGTAGATAGGGTGGTTATTTTGTGCGTGTATGCCCTAATACCCTATTACTATAACTAGTAGGTATTAAGATAGTTGTAGCATTAGCAAGTAGCCCTAATTTAGGAAACTAGCTACCCCTAACTTTAGGCTAAGTTAGGGGTATAAGAAGGACACTATAATAAAGGAATTATTAATAGTAGAGGCTATTAAGTGTCCCCTAGATATTAAGGCTAGGTTAAATAATCCTCCTTTCTTTATTCCCCTCCTCCTAGGTAGAGTAGAGAACGTGCAAGCGATAGTTAATTTAGGGTGCTAGTGTTTTAGTGCAGTTAAGGAAAAGTTAGTAAGATAGATTAGTAGGAACTTTATTAATATTCCCCTATAACCCTTATAATATACCTAGGGAATTGCTAAGGGTATAAGAATTTTATAGTTAGTAGTATTAGACTATAATTTAGATAGTTAGTGGTCTTAGCTTTTAGCTTATATAGTACCTAGTCTCTCCTATTAACTAATACTAGGCAGACTATAGCTATATAGAGAGGGCGTTGTTATAGATATTCTATAAGGCGAATTAATAATTAGGAAGGCAGGAAATATAGTAGTATAAGAGAGCAGGAGACACCTATATCCTACCTATATCTCTACTATCTTAGGTTTAGTTATAGCGGGGTTGCTAAATTAAGGATCCTAATAAGAAGATGTGGAAATTTGGATCACTAAGGTTAGGAATAATTTGGGAGATAGATTATTAGATTGTATCTACTACGATCGTACTTATATATATAGAGCTTTAGCTACCCTTACTAGAAGGTAAATAATTAGTAAACCTTCCTTACTAGAGCTCCTGCTTTTTATTAGGCACTTAGCAGTAAGCTAGTAGTTAATTAGATAGTAGGTTATATAGGGGTATTAATTAGGGTTAATTAGATTAAGATGCTCTATAATCTAGTTAATATCCCTCCTATAACACACCCCCTAGGTATAGGTAGATCTTCTATTATTATAGTTGCGCTTATAGTTAGTAGGTAGTGTAGCTAATTAGAGCGTTATATATCTAAAGGGTTAAATTAGCTTACCCTTTAGATACTAACTAGCGCGCCTTCCTTATTTAGCCTGCGCTTGCGCGCGTAGATATTATCTAGACTAAGCTCTATAACTCTATCTACCTAACTATAATCTTTACTATAGCTTAAATTATAAGATTATATAACCCTAAAGATCTAAACTATACTTATATCCCTACTAACCTATATTTTAGTTAAAGTTAAAAACTACTACTTACGCTTACTCTACCTATGCTACCCTTATTACCTCCTACGCTACTAAAGCTACTATTACTAAAGCTACTACTACTAAAGAAGAGCACGCTACTACTAAGCGTAAGACTATTATAGAGCGTATAGTAGCTAAGTGTTGCAGGAGGGATATTAACTAGATCACGGAGCATCTTGATCCAATCAACCCTGATTAATACCCCTGTAGGACCCACTATCTGATTAACTGCTAGCTCACTGCTAAGTGCCTAACAAAAAGCAGGAGCTCTAGTAAGGAAGGTTTACTAATTATTTACCTTCTAGTAAGGGTAGCTAAAGCTCTATATATATAAGTACGATTATAGTAGATATAATCTAATAATCTATCTCCTAAATTATTCCTAACCTTAGTAATCTAAATTTCTATAGTTATAAGCCTAGTACGCGCTTTACCTTATTAAAGATTGTCCTATCTATTTAAGCGTATTATTTAACTTGGACACTAAGCTAGCAAGCTTTACTCTTTCTTTATACTATTTCTTAAGTAGAAGCTTACTTATTACTCTTCTACTATAAGCAACTAAATCCTAAAGGGGGATATCCTACTTACTAGATTAACTAACTAGCCTACCTAGTATATTTAATTTAGATACTATGCCCTAACTAAAGGGATCTAGGTAGAGGTAGACCCTAAGGCTTAGGATGCTAAAAACCACTTTAAGAATAGACCTATTAAGCCTAATATACTAATAGATATTACGCTATCTAATAAAATAAGCAAGCAGTACAAACTTAAAATAGCTTAGTACTAAGCCCGCTTATTAGATTAGGTATTAAAGTTATTAGTAATCTAGAACCTTTTTATATAGGTTAATAATATAGTAAATTAAGGGATCCTTACCCTAGCCTATATAGAGCTTATTAATTAAGGAAGAGTAACCCTCTAAGCACTTATCTAAGTGCTCTGTAATAACCTAGCGCTAACTAATTTAAGCGCTGTAACACTAGCGAGATTATAGTATAAAGCTTATCTTGCTAAGGCAAAGATAAGTAGCTAAGACGCTAATTACTAGTAGAAGGAGTAGATAATCCTTTATACGTAAGCTAAGGTATATAACGTTCCTAATATTAAAGGATAGCTTGTAGTATAGGATTATCTTAAAGCTCTATCTACTAGGATCTTACCCATAGATTAGGGTTAAACTATATTTTAAAGGATTATTAAAAAGTTAGTAATAGGAGAGCTAACTTATAACCTCCTATAGGTTACTAAGATCTATTTATTACTTCTCTAAGAAAACAATATAAGATTAAGCTCTAAAGGTCCTAGAGTCTTTATAATAATAGGAGCTCCTCCTTCTAATTAACTAAAGAAGGAGTCTTTATACCTATATAGTAGATCCTACCTATAGAAACCTCCTAAATATAAAAACGTTATTAAAGCTTAGACTAATATAAGTAATAAGCTTACTACTACTTAATAATTAGAGATTAAGAAAAAGATTAATAGGAATTAAAAATTTAAAGAGTTAAGAAAAGCTCTAATTAAGTCCTATCCTATTAATTAAGATTATAGTAGTAAGGTAAGCGCGATTACCTATCTAGGTAGTATCTAGGTGGCACTAATCAACCTTATATTAATAGTAGAGAAAATAAATAGGATCTATTTAACTATAGACTTTAAAGCTTACGCTCTATTAAAGAGCACTATCTTTAATAATAGGGGTGTAGTGCACCTAGTTAATAATATAAGCTACCTAGAAGAAAGCTTGTTTAGATTAGTTAAATATAAGATAGTTAAAGCAGGAACTTAAGCTTTTCTAATCTTAGGCAGAGGGACTAGAGTAATCCCTAATGCTC